ACGTCCGTTGCGTTTGGGACAAATACAATTGTGTATTTTTACTGTCACTTTTACATGTCACGGTAACTGCAAGCATAATCACTTGTAAATAACGTTTACATGTACATAATCAACAACGCCGGACATTATAGTAGGTTCTGTGTGTATTCTATTATTGTGTTAATTTGGGTAAAACATGGCTCATTTTCGACTAACTGCATACGGGTTTCGTTTTTAAACAGACCGGTCTGGCTACTTAAAGCTCACGGAGAAACGAAACATAGATAGTTGTGCAATACATGCAAATTTAAACAAACATACAATGCGATTCTCTTACGCGTAATTCGCAAAATTAGTCCGGATGAGCTCATATGCTAACTAAAAGAAAACAAAACATACATACCTAATAATAAGAATTACAAACTAGATATTTAGCATTACAATGTGCAGTCCGGTTTATAAATTCTACGTATGTAAATCAGTCCCTCGACACTAAAACTTTCACACAGCGATAATTATTATACTGTTTACTTCCTTCGCGTGCCGTCCAGTTGTGTCCATTGCCCGTGGCAAAAGACCGCGGAAGCAAGGAAGTATCTACCGCCGTTCGGATAGACTGCATTAAAGAATGATAGACTGATAGTCAGTCCATATAGCGTTCAAAAACAGGTATAAAAAGTGAAATTGAACGCCCGATAAAGAAAGAAGCCGCACCGCGAAAGTAGTTAAAAATATAATAATATAATATAATACATATGTATATATTAATAGTAACACCTACAACTATTTAAATAACCAATGCGTGTACATTTTGCTAAAATATATGCTATCTATAACATTGTGACGTATATAATAATAATATTGTACATCACTTTCGCTTATATAGAAAACGGTCGAAGGGTGTAGGCACACATACCTATTTATGTAGTGGTAGAACAATGCCAAAAATATGATATGAAATTTTCGAATCGCCATGGTATGCCAATGGCCAAAATACAAACTCCGGTTAAAACCGCGTTGTCCAAAACTACCAACATAATTCATTAGTATAACAATACCGGACAGGTGAACATAATAGTATCACTATTGTAAAACATGAAAATAATTATAATCCATTGCGTATAGTATATTATAGGCCCTATAATATAGGGTTTGAAAAAAACAGTCCTCGGCGAAATAAGTTGACCAAGAAATAATTACAAAACTTCGTGCTAATTAATTTAAATAATAATTCAATAACTGTCACAATACCAGATTTCGTTAAAAATGTTTTAAGGGCATATTAAATACCGTCGTGATGTGCATTTAGATTTGATAAATTGTATGTAAAGTGCATGGAAGAAAAAAAATTGTTTATTTGAAATCGACGATATATTATGTAGTACCATATTGATTGATTGATGGTGTTGAGTAATGAGTAATACATCATCGTCAACGGTGATGTTTTAACCAAAACAGTTAGAAACTCAACAAGTTTTTACTATAACACAATGGTAAGATACGTTATAAAACGAACAAATAAGAATTTAAAAAAATATTAGTAATATTATATTGTATTATGCGAGATACACTAAACTATATATTAATAAGTTTAAACAATTTTGTTATACAAGAGAAATAATTAGCTAAAGATAGAGTAATAATTTTTAAGTGTACTGAAGAATTATTGATAAACCTGGTTTCTGATTTTATAGCTAAGTGCCCTCAATTATACTTGTAAAAATAAAATATAAAGATTAATTTTAGAGGAAATAAAATAATCAAGGCGCCTAATTTATAAGCATATAAATCATCAATAAGGAAGTATTCCCATAAAATTATTTAATAATCATCCTAAGATGGTTAATATTTTAGTAACTAAATTAATAGCTGAATGAACTATTAATTAGCTATTAATCAGCATTAACACATATTTAAAAATAACGAATGGATTATAATGTAAGTGAATCTTAAATTAATTGCATTTGCACGTTGATCTAATACTTAAATTTCCAGTTATATAAAAATAACTAAATTGCTTATTATTTAAACAGGTTAAGTTACGGATAGGATAGCCAGTTGTCGTTGAAAAGCCTTTAATTTGTTTTTATCTGAAGACATTAGGTTATAGCTCAACGACTGAACTATTTTCAGATAACGCTCAATAAACACTTTGGGTTCGTTGAATAAAAAATGTTAGCTTTTTTCTAAACACCGTCCAGTTGATCTCGGCCTAAATCTAAAAATTCAATTTAGGCAGTAATTGTTATTTTATCAATTAAATTTGAATTGTACGTAATAGAGGGTAATAGGTAACAATAAAGAAATGTTTAAGAAGACACAGGTTCCTCATTTAGAAGCTACAAAGTATTGTTATTAAAAACACACCAGTTGGCTGAAACTACGGTCGTTAACTCCGTTACCCCTAATTAACTTAAATATATTTAAGCTAATTTTATTAAAAAAATAAATTTAAAAACACGGCAAATTTTGAACAAGCGATGTTTAACATAGTAAATAATCATACATAATAAGGTGTCGCTAAGACATTAAATAACATAATAACACTCATAGCCTTCTGAAACGTCGTTCACAGTTGACGACGAGAACACCGTGGCCCATGACTAATGACACCTTACAAACAGACAGACCTTCATATGCCAAGTCCAGTGAAATTCCATATGCCAATTACTGTAGCGTTTCAAAGTATAAAATAGCTCGTTTTCACTTATTTAATATTCGCTTTAAAATTATTCGATGACAAATAATATAAACCACAATACACAATATTACGTTATCATAGGTATTTTCAGTATACGGAAATTAAGATGACTATTGACTAACCATTTTGATAATCATTTATTGTCAACTGATAAGATTGTGTACCATCAATTTTATGACACAACTTTGTATATGCTATTTAAAAGAAGTTTAATTGTTAAATTTGAATAAAATGTCATATATATTTTTCTAAGATTATGTTTCCGTTACTAATAAAAAACCGATTAAAAAACAACTAATTATAAAGTAAACATTTCTTTTGCTCGATTTATATATATATTATATATTTAGTTATTTTTTTAATTTTTAACAGGCAACTTGAAATAACATTGTATTTAAAGATAATAATTGACAGTATTCATCGATAAAGATTTAGATAAATAACAATGATTTAAAAATTATTATTTAATTTAATAAATACATGCAATTTTTAGTATATTTTGTTAAAAATAAATGAAATTACTATATAATTACATCGTCATAGTATTATCTATTATTAGGATTAAGTTATAATTATATAATAGATAGGATATAATTTTGAATTTTGAATATACATAATTTTAAAATATTACACTACAAGAATAGTAATTATAGCAAACCATTATATTTGTTTACTGTATATTTTGTAAAAATAAATTACTTATTTATGCAAATCGTGTAACTTCCGCTTAAAAATGTATGATTAACAAATGTTATGTTTAAAAAATGAAAGTCACGAGATAATAATTAATTTCATTTTGTATAAACGAGAAGGAAATATATAGAATAAAAAGCTTTTTATAGTAGTTATTTGCATGTAGGTACTAAAAATAATGACAACAAAACAGACTACTTTTAAAATAAGTTGTTTAATCTATTTTCTAGCGTCTGATAAACATTTTCTGAGGAAACGTCAGAATCAAGGTCTTAGAGTTATTGGTAATGAATAGAATGTAAAAAAAAGTCAAATAGGATATTATCTTTTATTATTTTAATAAAAAATAAACTATATTAACTTTTGACCATGGATTCAGATATTGATCCTAATAAATAAAAGCACTGATGCAGTATCAGTGATACTTAATTCGGTTTACATTAAGTATCACTGCTACCAGTATCAATTTGCAGTGTATTTCTAAAATTTTTTTATTTACTATAATCTGTGAATTAACTATGGTAACTTTCTTAAGTCATTTAACTCCCAAGGAAGAAACAACATGCGATCACTGAAATAATGAACCATAACATTAATCTCTCTGTTAAGTTTTGCTCAAAAACAGAAATCTCTTAAGTATATTGTTAATGCACACCTTCTTTGATGCCTTCGTGTTTGGTAATCATTATATTTTAATACTTACTCGTTGTAAGATTGTAAATTTTCCTCAAAAACTACATTTTTCGCAAAAAACTTATACCCTTGTAGTTATTTATTTTTAATAGGAATTGTAAAACATTTTCTAAACAGTAATATAATATAGCAATTAACTACCTTATGTATAACTATTTTATGAAAAAATAGTAAAAAGTCAAAACTGAAATAGAATATCGGTAAAATAAAAATGTTTTAAATAATTTGTTTTTTTTTTTCTGTCAGTATCGTTTTAAACATTATAAATTCGTTTAATTTATGTATTGTGTCTTTAGAAATCTGTTTATTAATATTACGCATTATTCAGTACTTAAAAGTAGCATCGTTTTTTTTTTTTTTAATCCCTCCTTTATAAATTAAAAAAAAAGTGTACCTGCAAAATGACGACTGTCGACGATTAAATCAATCGTGTGGGACTTTTTTAAGGGTTGGAACATCACACCACCGCGCAGGAAGTATAGGTGTACTTTCGGTATTTTTTTGGGGATAGGGGGGGGGGCAGAGGGCGCGTTTAAACCTGGCAATATTCTCGGGCAAACAACACGACATTACCAAAGTGAATCACACTGGCGGAAATGAAAAATCGCCAACAGCAGAGTGGAAAAAAAAAATGACAGAGACGGAGACGAAAAAGAAGTAACGCGCACGGCCGGCGGTCAACCGAACCGGAACGCGCGGTCGACAATGTCGCGTGCGAACGCAACCGGTCGCCTTAAGGACCGAGCGACGCCGGCCGTCGTCCTGCTGGAGGACAAGTTCACAGGCGGCGGATCGCGCAGGTGCCAAGGGTAACAAACGTAACGGCGGCATCGACCGGACCGAAAGTAAAAGTGGTCGGATCTTCGGCGACCGTGTGTTCGGCACCGGCGCGGCCTTACGGTGGGAGAGATGGTCGGTTCGTATATATTCACCCGGATGGCACTATGAGCTACTTACATTGCCGGCCGTAGAGCAAGAACACTTCTGAGACGGGACACGATTTTTTTTTTATTACAACAAAACGTTTTCTTTGTATGTTTATTTTAAGTGTGTGTTCGTCTAGATGATATAATATTGTTTTAACAGTACAATCAATTGTTGGATTACTATATACACACACACTCATCGGCGATCGTCGCAGACCACAAAACATGTCGCTGAAAACAATGCCGGTAAGTCAGCCGTTGGGGTCTGGTGATATACTTAAAATAAAAGCTTTTCCGTTTTATCCGTGTACGACAAAATAAATAATTATTCATTTTTTGTGTAAAAAATGTAGGTACACTTACAATAACTCTATTACAGCCTATTTATTTATTCACAACTAAACATACTAATATTCAAGTACCTGTAATAATGTAATTGGAGTGTACCTCATGGACTATAATATAAACACTTCAAAATTAATATAAATGCTGTACCATTATAGCCTATACATATACATAGTTTTCAATGTCTAACTACTTATTCTAAAAAATCTTTTCAAAAGTGTGACCATGATTGTAAAGGGCTGATGTTAGACTTTTGTTTGTAGAAAAGTAAGGGACCCACCCCCATTTTCACGAAAAATGTTTAGTCTGAACTCTGACTGAATATAACACTTCACCACATCACTGCAAAAGTGTACACTTATTTAAAATACAAAGTTTACCAAAAAACTTTCAATTTTCGCTATCAAAATATATATTTTTATTAGTTTAATAACATAAATTATATGGCATTATGATAAATTCACTTTGTACTAAGGTTTGACTTTAAGCTTATGTCCATATATATATAAAAACGCATACATTAATTCATAACTGTAAAATCACCAAAATCTTTATAGTAAACTAATAAATATTAATAATATTATACAATACCAGAAATGAAAATAAATTTGTATGAATAAGTTCTTGTGCGTTGTATTCAATATAAAAATATAAACCCAAAGTTTTGCCATGACTTTGAAAACATATTTTATGTGAATCTCGTGTTTATATTGTTAGCAGTATATGCAAATTAAATTGTATTTTATATAACTTTACTTTAAAAGTATGATTGATTGTAAGTAGGTAAATATTGTATATTTAAATATGTTATGATTATTAATAATTGCATTAAAAACCAGTTAGAAAAAATTACCATGCTCTACAAATTCTAATAACCGGCTTCCTAGTATCGAGATTAAAATATCAGTTGAAACAGTTGATGACATATATTTGAAGAACCTACATGCAATGCGGACTTGCTAGATGTTAGACTTGTGAAATTATTATTTTAAAAAAAAGCAACTATAGGCTAAATGAATCCACCTTTTTTAAATAAAAATTGCAAGTAACAAGTTATACTCATATTTTAATGATAAATAAAAAACTATAAAATTATTTTTGCTAAATATTAACAGTAAAATGTATGTTATCAAACCAGTGGCAGATAAAGGGCTGTGGGTCATTCTACAGTAGTAGAAGTTTTACTACTTATTCCAGAAAGCCAATAAACAAGAATATTTACATTTAATATATTATACATTATGTATAATACGAAGAGGGGTAACTGTAAATGATTGGCGTAAATGTAAATCCAATTTTTCCCCCAAAAACAAACAATTGGTAAATGTTACAAGTTAATTGTGCATTACATTGAGATCTTATAACTAAAAGTTCTCAATAACAATAAAAAGACACTCTATTATTTTATTAACAACTGACTGTCATTAGACAATGTAAAAAAAATAAGATTTAAAAAAAAACTAGTTGCAGTCAAGTTGTTTAAATATCGTATTTAAATTTGCCCGTTTCCTTACAATTACACGGTTTAATCCTATTAAAGATAGAATTAGGATGATCCATGCCACTTGTATGAGATCAGTAGAATATAATTATACATGTTAATAAAATACTGAATTAAATTAACAATACATAATAATATGTGTGCATGTTTTTTTATATAATACAATATGATCTAACAAATAGTTTCCAGGAAAACAACCGAGTCATCTTAGTCTCTTCCCCGATAATGGATCGCGACTAGATTTAACAATTGATCAAAAAAAAAAAAGAAATTTTAAAATAAAAGTGAAAAGAGACGTGGGTGAATAATATGTAGGTGACTTACGTGAAATGTTTCAAAGTACCTACTCGGCCTATTGTCATGCAAATTCGGTGGTCTTTTATTCACTAGAAATGAGCATAATTTAGAAGTCTCCAATTGTGGTTTATCGGGAGAGAACTTTCCTGAAAGTAGGAAACAAAAATTAGTGCAGTTAACCTAATGAACACTATGTCATTGTTAAATGTTCTGGGTAGATACAACTCCACTAATTTATTTTCATAGAACCATAAAATATTCTGATCACAAACGTGTACGCGTCGCTAGTGAGATTACATATTTTCTAATGCAAGAGTGTGTGTGTGTACAGTGTACACTGTAAAAATAATGTTAAAAATTAAATTTCTAAGCGTTGTTGATGTTCACAGTATCGTTAAGAACACTTTTCGGATTGTTTATTTCTTGTAAATATCATTAGCACGCTAATAAACCAGTTTGCATATGCAGTTGATTTGGATTAGGTTCATCTTGATAATGAAGAGATCTATGAAAAAAAAAAACAAACTTCGGTCAACATTTCACTGAACGCATTCATTCAGTGCATTAGACGGATTAGATGTATATAAAAAATGAATAAATGATGAAGCGATCGAAGCGGTAATAATGTGCACTCGTTCTATACGGCTAGATCATTAATTATAATTTATAACTCTATAGCAAAGAAATCAGAAAGTTGTGTTTCAATAACATATCTTTTTTATCTACAGATGATATCGCGATAACTGGTTTGCAATTGAATGTAGACAATTTACATACTCAATTCGCCAGAAAAACCGCACTTATCGATTTTAATAGGAAATTTCCATAATTTAATATAAAATTTTCATAATTTAACTTAAAACCATGTAAAGAATCAGACATGTACAAATATTGGTGTTGAGAATCCAAAAATTTCGGATTTTCCAAAAAGATTACGTACCTTATCATCACTAGTTACTATCAAGAAAATGTTCAGTATAACAGATGAAATACGTTTTGTAAAAAATTGCATGAATAAATAATTTTAAAAACAATGTCGAAAAAAAATTATCATTGAAAACAGAAAATCTGAAATCCCAAAGCGGATTTTTACGATTTTAATATTTGTACATCAATTTTATCAAATACTATTTATTTGGATACATATTTTCTATAATCTATACTGTACTTGAATTGATTGTTTATAAGGCTTATAAAACGTTTTTTAGGTAAAATCCGAATTTTTTTTATATTTCCATCACTAGTATAAATACGGCGTCATACCTTACAGACACAACTACTGTATCGTTTTTTTTTTAGTCAAAACGCCGGAATTTAATTATTTCAGATATATATACATATATTTTTTACATTGAAAAATCGATTTGATTTCTCGACACAAACGTTCACTTTTTAAGTGCCCGTCTATCTGTTTATTAGTGTTTTATTAGGTGTTATATTATATTGTGACAAGCAAACAACGTTTATAAACGCATCAGGCATCTGATTCATTCCATTACGTGTGTGTGTAACTGGGCGAGACGAATCGACCGGCCGTTTCTTGTCAAAGATCCGTAAACGTGCACGAGCGTCGCCACAAGCATATATAATTATATTTGCTCACTTATGGTTAATCAGATGTAAATATGTATCACTGCCATGTAGATGAAACAAATGCGTTAAATTGCATAACACGTCCCTACGGCGCGATACGACTGTAACAATAACGTTTAACAACGAAAACGACTTTCTAACGTCGACAGAAAACGATCCGTTTTTCCAAATGCTTAGTTCACTCGAGACGTCTTAGTTTCAAAACCAACTAAAAGACATTTTGAAAACGTGTTTTTTTTGCATACCATAGTGTGGTATGCAAAACTATCATTGAGTAATATCAAATAAAGATCATAACTAACTCAAACTGTATTGGGAAAATCTTGGTTGGTTTCAAAATCGCCCACCTATGAAGAAATCATTTTTGTTGTGTATGAACATTTTCAAAATTCGTTTTTAGCTGATTTTGAAACTAGACGTCTCACTAATTGCCAGCCAAAGTCGACGGGACGCACACCCGTGTAACGGTGAAAGGTCTGAAAGCTTCGCGGTTAGGTTATGCTGTATTGACTACAACCGGAATGAAATAGGTATATACATATTGAATTTCGCTCTAAAAACCGGTATGATTATGTTTCTGTATAAAAACACACGGTGCACGCGATACGATGGAAGAATAGAAAAAAATCCCACTCGACGATTTCTACTTTTTTTTTCTCACTATAATAATAAAAATATATGATCAATATTATTAATATTGCGATCTCGCCAACGAAACTACTAACAATATAATAAATGGATACATACTCGTTTTATACTAAATTACACAATCGATCTAAGTCAGCGGGATTTAAGACCGATAGAAAGTCTTATGGGTTTTCCGTTTTGCACGTGGTGACTACGCGGATGATAATAAAGTGATAGTTAGCGGATCTTGAGTTCTGACCACAATATTACTTTTTATCCAAACCGTTTGACGTAACTGGTTGTCGTTGCTTAATGTATTTCCGGTTGTAAAATTGTCGTTGATTTCATGTGTACTTGAGATAATCTGTATATATTTATTTTTTTATCCCATAACCTTATCGAAATGCGAATATCGTTCAAAAAAATGAAATTGTGTTTTTTAACAAATTCTTTAGGCGTGCCAAACGTACGCCATATCAATGATATGATATGCTACGTACGTCATATCATGATCATTCAATATATATACATGTTGAAAGCTTTAAACCTCATGAGATATTGTTTTTAACTAGTATAGCTACCTAATGATAGGGGCGTATATAAGGGAGGCGATTATCCCCCCTTGGATATTTACTTATTTTATTATGTAGTTTAAAACAATAAAATGATTAAAACTATTATTTCAGATAATTGGCTCTTTTTATTTTAAATGTTGTAAGACATTTTTTTTTAACAATTCTTAGCTTATTAGTTTTTGATAGGAATTATTATCATGGTTTTATGAAATATGTTATAACGACAATTACGACAATTACGATATTACGACGATTATTTCAAATAATAACATGGTACCAAAAAACAAACAAAATATTAATGCTTACTTAGGTCTCGTAAATAAATTGATAAATTGATGTTTGTATGAAGATAGTAATGCAGTGATATAAAATTTATACAACAGTAGTTTATGTAAAATTGACGTCTTATGCAATTTTTTTTTTCTATTTGCCTTTCCCTCAAAGGGCTAAAGTAAATACGCCCCTGCCTAATGACATATTTTGTATAAGTAAATAAGAATTACAATAATAACGTATTGTTTTTTATTATTTAGTTTTTGGCGGCGACACTGCTCCTGTGTGCAACAGTTGCGGTAGCAGCAACAACGACAGCGTCAAGCAGTTCAAACGTTAAACCAGAAACAGCGATAGGTAAACGGGACGCCCAGGACTATGGTGATGCGTATACTGGATACGCGCAGGGTGACTCCGGATACGCGCAGGGTGACTCCGGATACGCGCAGGGTGACTCCGGTTACGCTCAAGGTGCCGCCGGTTACGCCCAGGGCGCACCGGATTACGCGCAAGGAGCGGCGGGATACGGCCAGAGTGTGGCCAATTATGGAGCGCAGGGTGCGGCTTACCAGTATCCGGCGATCGGTGCCCAATACGCCGCCGTCCCCGCGGTAGCTCCAGTCGGCACTCTAGTGCTGCCCACATCCGGACTGCCGCTCAACCCGCTGTTTTACCCGGGCGCCGCCAGCATTTCAGGGCAACAGCAAGGGTACAGGTCGTACGGCCACCCGTCCGCCGGTCACAGTTCTTACCCAGCAGCCGCGTTCAGCTACGGCGCTTACCCGGCAGCCCAGTCGGCAGCTTCGCCGTCATCGTACAAACCCGGGCCCGTAACGTTCGGTAAACAAGAGTACTCTTCGTCGTCGTCCGTGGATAGTGGATCCTCCTCGCAGGCGTACACTGCGCCGTCTTACCCGACGTCCCCGGGACTAGGCAGTTACGTTTCGTCCACGTACAAGGGTGCCAGCAAATACCCGTCGTACGCGCCTTCCAAAGATTCGTCCAATTACCCGTCCACGTCCAGTAACTACTACTCGTCCCAACTGTCGTCGTCATACGGCAGTCCCGTCAAATCTGTGTACTCGACAGCCGGAGACAGTTCTTCGTACAAGTACCCATCGTCCAAACCATCGTACCACAGTTATAAGCCCACGTTTGAGCCTTCCACACCGTCCTCCTACGAGACTTTCAAACCTTTATACGGTTCGGGGTCTTCGTCAGGCTCTTACGATACACCCGCTTACCCGTACAAGTCACCTTACCCTAGTTCGGCGTCATCACCGTACAAATCTCCGTACAGCAGTTCAGGGCCTTCGCCTTACGAGTCGTCTTCACCGAACAAACCGTCGTACAGCAGTTCCGGACCTTCGCCGTACGTGTCATCTTCACCGAACAAACCGTCGTACAGTAGTTCCGGACCTTCGCCGTACGTGTCTTCTTCTCCGTACAAATCGCCATACATAAGTTCTGGACCTTCGCCGTACGTCTCTTCTTCCCCTTACAAGTCGCCGTATAGCAGTTCTGGTTCCTCGCCGTATAGCAGTTCTGGTTCTTCGCCGTATAGCAGTTTTGGTTCTTCGCCGTACAGCAGTTCCGGTTCTTCGCCGTACAGCAGTTCCGGTTCTTCGCCGTATAGCAGTTCCAGTTCTTCGCTATACAGCAGTTCCAGTTCTTCGCCGTATAGCAGTTCCAGTTCTTCGCTATACAGCAGTTCCGGTTCTTCGCCGTACAGTAGCTCAGGATCGTCATCGCCCTACGCAATATCCTCTTCGCCGTACAAATCTTCATATGCCAACAAGTCACCTTACAGCAGCTCACCGTACAGCAGTTCACCGTACAGCAGTTCACCTTACAGCAGCTCACCGTACAGCAGTTCACCTTACAGCAGTTCACCCTACAGTAGCTCGCCGTACAGCAGTTCGTCGGACTACGAAGGACCGTCATCGTCACCGTACAAATCCTCTTCTTACCCGTCTGACTCGTTTAAACCGTCTTCGTCGTACCCGTCGTCGTCACCGTACGAACCGTCCTCTCCGTTCGGCAGTTCCAAGCCTAGCGCTTACGAATACAGTTCAAAATACTGACGCCCAGCCAATGTTCCTGTCGTACCAAAATAATTGTGTTAATTAATTTAGCATATAAGTAATATATATATATTATTATTAATACACGCTGTACAGTATAATATAAATATACATATAATATATAAGACCACCATTTTTACATTGTAGCGACCAAATCATACGAGTCGATACTATTACAATGTTATAACGGCGCAAACTGTGGACTTGCAGCATTCTTCGAAAGCATCAACATTTTGGATTCGATGGACGTTTGACCTGTTGCAAAACTCACCAGTTACCGTTTACTTTTCGACCGTTAAAATGCGCCGGTGCAAAAAAACCCGTTTATTATTTTTTATCATTATTATTATTATATTATATGTAACGAGCGAACCGGCTTATGGAGTCGTTCTCGCCGAGTTGAGTAATTCGAATTAACGATTTGGTTTTTGTTTTCTTAGACTCATTATTTAAACTGTACTAGAATGATATATTATTTTGTAATGTTATTATTTATTTCGACGGAGATCTGATATAATAGTTATCCGAAATCAAACTTTCTATTAATATAACCTACTATGTTATACATTATACACATAATATATGTAATTCGTTATAATTATAGTATGATAATATATTAATAATATAATATGTCTTATTATTGTTTGACTTGAGCGGTCGTATTGCGTAAAAATGTATTTCAGACCATGAGCTCGTATTGAAATAGAACTTTTTTTTTTTGTATTCATATTTTGCCTCGATATACTTTTGGGTGACATAATATGATACTTACAATAGTAGGACGTTATATTATATTTTTATGGCGTCGTGATTAAACCAATGCTGCCGGTTGCATCAATATAAATAGAATTGTAGTAGAATGAAATAGGGTGGTCTTTTATTCGGCAAATGTATAATAAAAAAGTCCTTCTCACGGGCGTGGGTTCTCGTTTCGTATACTGACGCAACTGTAAATTAATATTAGCTATATTGTGCTATGTCATTGGCGGTTTCGATTCGCGGTCGCTGTTTTGGTTGAACGGAGTCACGACCGGCAAGCAATCGTGCATGCGAGTCAACTCATTCGCTATATGCATCGCCCTAATAATATGTTTTATTATGTAAAATAATGGATGTGGAAGTAAAACGGTTTACGCTTAATATGTATGTAGATATTTAAAAAAAGTCCCAATTATTCATTAGAGAGTCTAAATTTAAACCATCGCACTAAATGCTTAGGTATTTTTTTTCAACATAAGTTTTTCTTTATTTTACCTCCTACCTCCTACTGGACAGTTTTGGCTATTACTTTTTTTTTTATAAAATAAAATAAATTTTATTCATGACAATATAATTATTATTTCAATAATATTTCCTAAATCATAAAAATTTAACAATGACATATCATTTTTTTCGAGTTCTTAAATAAATATTATATTAGTTATAATACATTCCAACAGACCTCAAACAAAACGTATAAAAATAAGTTTCATAAATGCTGTTATAAGAATCTGAGATAATTGGAAAACAATGTTAGCACATTCACTTGCACTATTGGTTATAATCAAGTTCACAAACTAGATAAAAGATATTATACTGATTTAAATAATATATTTTCTAGTAATAATATAAATATTACATTATACAAATTTACCCGATTATTTAAGTAATGTTTTTGTGATTTATAATTAAACCACGATTAATCATTAAAAAAAAAAAAAATAATATATTGAAATGCACCGTTGAAGTTTTTGTTAAGAACCGAATTAAGCATTTTCACAGACAGCTGTCCTAGCAACGCGATTAAAGAGAAACCGGAACAGACAAATCCGTTTTAACAGTAAATGTAAATTGAATTAGTTAACCCGAAACAAGTTTGACCGAAATAAAATTAACAAACAATAATTAATAAGAACCGTCTGGTTGAAATGGTTCACGTTTTAAAATATTTTAATGTGTTAATTTACTACGTGTCACGGTCTAGTTTAAACATTTAAATTGAGCAATCAACTCTGATAAATCGAATGAGAGCTACTATTTTAGTGTATCGGTTATTTTAATACAGGTTTGATTCCGTGGTGACAATGTAAACAAATCAGCATTAGATATATTATAATAATTTAAAAAATAATATGTAATTATGTAAAAAATGTAATTTTTATATTTTTCACTGCTTCTGCTTTGGTCGTCATTGATAATTAATAATAAGTATTCAGACGTTTTTAAATGTAAGCAATCTAATTAAATACATAAGTATGTACGTATGATATAGCTTGAAAATAAATTATAATACTATTGATGTAATTTGCTTTGTAGAAAACGTACATTTAAAATAATATAATAAGATCGTACAGCGAATCTAAAATTGCAAACAGGAATACAAAAAAATAATGTCTATTACCAGTTTTGCATATTCAGTTGAAAAGGAAATTATATTATTCACTGACATTTTTGCTATAATTTTTAAAAACTTGTTTATCTTTTAAATTTTATGTTTTGAACATATACGGGTATCTATTGCTTATATTTATTATAATAACGTTAAAATGCAATTATTTAACTACCCAAGTATAATAATTACACTTTTAGAAGAGTTGAACAAATAGACAGTTCCGAACCGTTTGTTATTGTTACAACTACTACTATTTTGTAGAGATTAGCGATTATATAGTGTTCCACTTTCCTCTTTATTGTAATGTTACTCTCATCGATATATTAAATGATACTTCCTTTTGTTCTTACTTATTCGATTGTTAATACAATAACTTAAAATCTTAAGGGTTTTGAGAATTCATTTGTATCGAATTCAAAACAATAATTTATCAAAACCGGTTGAAAGCTCAGATCGTTAAATATATATTGATTATACATATATATATTCGACGTTATAACAATAATTATAGTAATTTACATACACAAATATATATACATATATATATACAACATATTGTTATGGTCTCTGATGAGGTGTATGAAATTAAAAGAAATCGGCTATCTACTGGTTTTGTTTTTTTATTATTCAATACGGATGACGATGGGAAAAATAAATTGAACAAACATCGGCATTCGGCGACCTTGCCAACATAGAAAGCGGCCGCCCACAAAGATAAATTGCCAGGACCAGTTATTCACCTTTTACTTCCCTATGTCCGTTCGAGAAATCCGAGCGAAAAAAAGTAAGGCCCGCAGTATACTTTTGAATCTAAATTTATACATCATCTCATAGATACTTTTTTACAACATAATATACGTTTTTCCAGTTTTGTCTCTTTTTTTACCATTTTTTTCTAATCCGATGGAATTTACACCACATAAAAGCAATGTCGAAACGAAACTGGGACAAATAAACATGGCGATTTTTCAATACCAATACAGATTACGTTATCCGTCGATAAGCGTGTACACTAATTACACTTAATTCGAGTCGTGTGCATAATAGAGTTACCGTTGGCAATATTAAGTCGCCCAACAATAGGTTAGATGGCCTAGACGTGTGGTTCTCGCTCATTGTTCTCTCCGCCAAAAAAAAGGAAAAAGCCAAAGTTATGTCATTGCACAGGATAATTATTGAATTAGTCGTTAATTTGTATTTTCTTTCATTACCTATGTGTTTTTTGTTTGCCCTTAAACCGTTCAATACCCGTACCCTTTCTCTTTTACTTCCTCTGTCAGAGTATTAACATTATTTTACATTATAATTATGTATTGGTAAATTCACCGTCACAATGTAAGTATTTGAAACAATTTTTTAGTACGGTATTTTATTATACTACCAATTAACGTCAAATCAATTTTTTTGCCAATATGCTATAAAGTAATAGCTAATCGAATATAAAAGTTAAGGACATTATATTATTTATTTCAAGAGCGTTTTAATTTGTCAACTCCAAACTCAATTTGACTTCAATACCTCGATGATCGAATTTCGATCTTTACACTCTTTGTACAAAAAAGTAAAAACCGCCAGTCCATCCAAGGCTAGTGTCTTTCTTAATTATGACAGTTATCATAAAGTAAGGGAGTTGATATGAAAAATTACCAGTAAACAATTAACATTAAATTTTAATAGCTTAAGAGCAAATATATTGTTATAATATGATTCAATAATTATTACGCTGGATAAGTAGAACGACATATTTGGTTAAAATATGTAGTGTATACTCTTAAATGATATGTTAGTGTAAATATCAATACAACACATAAAAAAAAATGAAATATTTTGATAAAAAATTAGGTAAACCGATGTTTGGTACCAGCATTAAGCCATTTAAAAAAGTAGTTTAACATAGAATGAGTGTAAAATTAAAAAATTAAATCATACATTTATTTAGTTTAAAAAATCTGGTTGTAATTAAAATACATTTTTTAAAAAATGTATTACTTATTACTAATAAAAATATACTTTAAATAACTGTTTCTAGGTAATAATAACAGCTATGATAGATTAGAATACTATTTAACATAGTATAGCTACATTTTTTCACAATTATTATAGTAAATATTAAAACTTTTTTAACTAAGAAACTGATATTAGGTATTATAAATTTTGAGTATCCCACTAAAAAGGTAAACAAAATTATATTTACGGTTCAGATCATAACTACTTATAGTCTCGCTCAAATCTAAAGTCGGGAAAATATTTTAGAATTTATAAAATATTCTCAGCTAATTTTCAACGTTTTTTGTTTATTGTTTGGCCACAGTAACTATAAAATATAAAACAATAATAATTATTTTAAGCATTTGATAATTTGGGGTTAAATAATTAAAATTAGCACTCCATAGACGAGTCAAGACTTCATAAATTAAAAAACGACAAATTTAAGAATACATTCACTGTTTTTTTGGGAAACTTGAAACGGTCCTTCTGTAAAAGATGTGTATTAAAAATAGGAGTGGAAAATCCAAAATCTAGGTACACAAATAAGCAAAGGATGTTTAAGCATTAAAAAAATTAATATTAATTATAAATAAAATATAGTAAAAAAAAATTGTATAATAACTAAATTGAACGAGAAAATGAATAAAGTTCGGAAAATTAAAATTACTTGGAAGTTTTCGAATGCTATTGATTTTCTCGTTCAGTTTGACTTTTTAAAAACGGTTTCATAATTTTTTTGTAATTCAGGGAAGTATCTAATGTAATGCGTACAAGTAGAAATCAGAAAATAGTATTTAAATGTAGTATTACTAAGATTTTTGTACGGGGCTAGAATAACGATGTCCGTGGTCATAAATCGTCTAGTAAAAAACATAAACGCGAAATGTCTTAAATAATTTACAACGGTAATGACGATATAAACATGATATAAGCATGTAAACATTAAATTATTAAACGTATAACGTTTGGCGGGAGATTTGCGCGCTGAAACCATTAAGTGGCGGTAAAACATTGTCGTTCCAATAGAACAATGACACTACGATGACATTGCTCATGACTCGGCGATCCTTACCGGTACAATGCAGGAATACACGAGCATATAAATATATATATTGTATTTCGGTGGGGAAAAGAATAAATCTTAAAGGTGTTTCCCTATGAAGTGGCTCGACGAAAGCGATCTAAATTAACAACAATCCGTACAATTATTCGCACTGTCCTCCCACTATTTGTTGTGGCCACGAGGAAAACAAACCCGCTATTGACGGCCGTGGTTATTTTTTCGCGTTTCCCGGACAGTGCGCGCAGAGTACTCGCGGAAAACTCTTACCGTTAACATGTTGCCTTCATTTGCGGTAAGTACTGTTTATTTATTTTGGTCATTTAATCAATTTATTAGGTGGTATAACGGTCGAAAAATAACTTGCAAGTACATACATATAAACCCTCTCGTGTAAAAAGCATAATAAATTATTGTCATTTTAGTGATATAATTTTTCTGAATGCAAATTTCCGGCGATTACTGATTGCTATTAGAGTTATTTGTGATCTTGATAGCCGTTGAACAAATTTCAACTCAGATACTCGACTGTGTGTACCTTCGAATATGATTTAGTTATCAACAGACGTTGCTCCAGATCAATAACGGGGGTTACGCACTTGTTGATCGCATAGTTTTAATTGACTTTTATGTTGGGAATGTTTCTATCGCGAAATTGTAAATTAAAAATACCACAACGATGAATGGCTTATGAAAAACTATGTAAATCATTTAGTAAAAGAGCTAGATAACAATAATTTTGTTATAACTAAAATACAAATCTTAATAAGTATTATATTTTTACAGAATGCTAAATCGAATTCCACGCTTTTAAGCTTTAGGCTTTTCTGTGTGTTCTACCTATAAATATTTGTAAACAACACAGCAAAAGGGAAATCAGTTAACCGTTAATTCGGGACTACTTATCAAGTATATTAGCTTTCATGGCGTTTAAAGCCTGGGCGTGTCGAATTTGATTTTTTCGACGAAATTTCTAAGTATTTTCACCATTTGTTTTTAATGCAATTAATTTTGATAATAATCTAATAAAAAATGTGAATTTATTTTGTCTTGAAATACTCTTATACCTCGTTGTTGATAGAAAATTTTGTTATGAATAAAATGGTAAACATTTATTTTTCATAGAAAATTAATTCAAATTCAAAACTTATCTTTTACATACTTGAGTATCAAAACTTTTTTTTCTGAAATCATTCGTCTTAAATATTTCTATTTGGCTTAAAGTTTTCGACTTTAAACATAGTTCAAAAAATAACTTGCACTTTTCGCCTATAACGATTTTAGAAATTTTAAGCAGTTTTTTCTTAAAAAATATCTAAAATTTCAATAAGTGTTAACTAGTTTTGGAAATAGTAGCCTATTTAATAATAATATCATATATTCTAAACGAAACTAGATTTTCTTTTGATAATATTATATGTTAAATATTACAATACATGAAAATATTTAAAGCGTTACGCGTCAATCGGCAAAACCTTTATAAATTAACAAGGCATTTAATTAAATTGTACAATATTTTTTTATAAGATTGGTTTAGGTGGATATTTACCCACTAAGTAAAGTTTGGTTAAATTGACTTAGTATGGTACTAGATAGAATCTATGTATAATGTATATACATTTTATAAAAATAAACTAATCAATCACGATCTACTCAAAATCATTAACCCACTCGTGGTCGTTTAAAGTGAGACTTAATATTACATATTACGTTATTCGTAATACAAAAAAAAACACTATTATGAAACAACAAATACTTTCCCTAATTTTCATAAAATTTCAATGATTTGTAATAGTCGGTAATTTTATTATGACTCGCAAACGTGTTGCTTGCACTTATCTGCCTTTTTTTTATAGTCTACGATAACATTTTTAGTGCGATGTAATACTAATAGTTTTCAAAATGTATAATTTTATTTTTTACACAGTTTTTGTTATTTACATGGGTATTTTATTTATTTTTGGTATAACAACATCGATTTGTAAATAGGTAATGTTGTTTCGTGGTTTATCTATATAAATTTGTAAGTTATAATCAAATAGATAAAAAAGATTATACATTACAACATCTGATATTAAATAATTACAAAACTAATAATATTATAAGAGTGTTGTTTTTAGTATGGAAGTTGGTTGGGCTAAGCGCTTCCTGATATTCCCTAAATTGTGCCTAAATATAATTTTTTTATTATTGTTGCAACCAGGGATTTGTTGGAACGATCGCTAATGAGGAGAAGCCATGTTATCAACAGTATCCCTCATTGGTTCTGTATAAAAAAAGGAGGGGTTATCGAAACAATGTGAATATTATCAAAAACTATTTAAAGTTTTATAAGGGTTGACTCAAAAGTGGATAAAATGTTAGGTTAAGGGTACTTATAACTCTTGTATTTGAAATACTATTGACTTATTGTAGTAATGTGTAAACGAATAAATCTTAGGGTACTTACTTCCCTAATCATTATATGTATTAGGCAATTAATGACAATAAACATTTGTATTTATGCAGGTAGTTTTATGGGCTTCCTCCGCGTTCGCTAGTTGCACCATCAAGTCCAGAGTGGTGCATTATAGGCCTTCGGAGAACAGGCAAGACTCTTACTTTCCGCAACAGTCACAGGCACGCACATCGTCGCTTTTCTCCTCGGCAGGCCAGCCGCCCAGTTTTCCTTACCGGTTCGTTTTTCCGGCCAACCATCCGGCCCTTTCCGGGCCCACATTCTCGCAGTACGTCAATACGCCACATTCGTCCTACAACACTGACCTTGGGTATTCAGAGGAAATATTCGGAAACCCTCAGGCGGAACATCACAAACACAGGCAACTGCAGCACAGCTACGAGATCGTTGGTAGCAAACAGCAACAACAGCAACAGCAGCAGCAGCAGCAGCAATTCAATGATATATTTAACAGGCCCAGTCAACAGCAACAACAGCATCCGTTTGGGTACATCAAGCAGAGTAAATTCCCGAGCTTCGATACCACGACCAACGCCGTCCACCAAACGTTCCCGTCCTCGTCGACGGGTTATCAACAGGCGGTCACGGCCGCATCTTTTAGCCAACCCATCATGCTGTTGATACCGTCGTCTGGACAGCCTGGTGCCCCTTACCAGACGTTGGTGTTGGTGCCGTCGGCCGGACCGTCATCGCCGCCGCCGCCGCCGCCGTCTATCTACCCCGGTAGTTACCAGCAGTTTCAACAGTCCACGCTCCAACCGCAACAACAGTTGCAGCCACAACTGACCGGCGGCTTCGTCACCAACCCCCGGGGACCACCGTTGGTCGCCACTGGATTTTCGTCGTTCCAAACGTTTCCCTCCGGCAAATTCCCGAGCGCTCAACTGTTCCACCGGTCACACGATCCGCAGCCGCCGCAACAACAGCAGCATCAGCCGCCGCCACCGCCGCCGCTTCAGTACCAACAACCACCCAAGCCCGCGTACCAGAGTCCGGTGCCGCACGGCGCCTTGCAGCAGCACGCCATCGAAGACAAGGTGAGTGCCGCCTCTGGCACGTCCGCTGAAAGCGCATCGGGTGAGGGCGTCGACGACGACAAGAACGAGGCCGAAACGAAACCAGACTCCCATCAGAACGTGCCCGAGTACGGTGAAAAGACTATCTCAAAAATGCCCAAGCGAATCGTGGTCACATAAACGAAAACAACACTATCTTGACGTTCTGATTCCCTTACAGTATTTGGCTCAAGTACTTCATTCAATCAGTCGTTATATTGTGTTATTCGGAAGATGCATATTTAATCAATTATATTCGGCTACATTTTGAGATCAGATGAGCTTAAAACTTAACTTTTTTATTTATCACTATTCACTTATGTCGTCTAATACTTAGGTATGATATGAAGGCGTATGACGGTGCATTAATTATTATCCGATAGCACCTATTTATTTTTGTATTTTAAAGTTAAAACGTATTATTATTTTTTGTTTTACCAGTGGCCAATAACGCTTATGGTGTGTTTTGTGCGCCATGGGCGTCGTTATATTTAAAAATAAAAAAAATAATAATTATATATATACATATACCATTTAAAAAACGCATTTTTCAATCGTACATAGTTTGTAAAATTGTTAATTAGTAAAAATAAATAAATAGAAAAACGCCGTTTTTTTTTATTACTTTTGTTACTCGAAATTGACATTATTTTGTTTTCGTTCAAGCTAGCGTTTTGATTTAATTTCGAGTTTGTATTTTCGTTGTGGCATTATCGACCAGAGTTGGTAACTAAACAGTAAACAATAATCAAAAACCTATAGATCAGCGAATAGGTGCCGGCGGACGTGACCGTTTTTCAGACGTTTTTCTTTTATCATTTTTACTGTAAAACGTGCTGCCGTCGAGTGTGAAAATAATACTCATCGCGTCGCGTCTCTTCGAAACTAATTTTTTGCCAACACAAATAATTGCTTTGTATACAAAACAAAAACATACCGATTGCGGTAACGTATAAAAATGTTTAAAAAAAAACACCTGTCCACGTCGCACATAGTACGTGAGGAAGAGCAGTTTAATTATTTATCCAAATAATAAAATATAATTCCTTGTTTTTTTTACCTATGTGTATGCAGTCTTTCTTGTCGCCAAACACAACTGTTTATCATACTTAACTTAGCGCTGTTTCCACTTCTACATTCCGTCTACTTAAAACCGTAAAAAAAAAAGGTCAATTATATTTTATATAATATTATATATTATGAAAATATTCAAATCGGAAATTTGGAGACGAAGATCTTTGTATTTCTGATTTTTCTAATCAGTCGACATGTTTTAGCCGAATTATTATTATTATTATTGTAAACGACTAATGACAATTTCAATTTTGTTATGAAAATAAAAACGTGGTACCAAACGAAGACGTTCAAAAATAAAAAATAAAGTATAAAAAAAAAAAATATAGCATATTACACGTCGATCTGAGACGCGTTAAGAATGTATTACATATTTTTTAGACTGGACAATATTTTAGGATATTAATGAGTATACATTTTTTTTCGTTGTTGTTATTTCGGTAAAACAACGTTAGTGCGATTACACGAAAATGTCTGAAAAGTGTTTCGAATCGTATTCGCCTCGGGTAAGTTTTTTCTTCTTCTTCTTCTTCGTTTGTCTTCTCTAGTTTGCTCTTCGGCCGGCACACCGCTGCCCACTGTGTATATTGGATGAAACCGACCAACAGAGCATACACACACACATACAAACACACACACACAGTAAAAATATGGTCGATTTCGCTTTCGTCCGCCTCTCTCAGCTAGTCGGTTGTTTTAGATTTTTTTTTTTTGTTCGTCGTACAGAGAGATCATTGCGTTTCTTCCGATTAGCCATGCGACGAGGTCTGCGCGTCTGGTCGTTAATTTTTATTTACCTATTTTTATAAACGTCCCGTTTGATTTTTTTTTTCAATTTTTTTCGCCAGTGCAACAAACGCACGTTCTTTGTTTGGACGTCGCGATAATAATAACTATTATAACACTATAACGACTATGTATGCAAGCGCGCCCGCAGGATAAAATGCCACCCGGGGCAAGATCAAAATTCATGTGTAAACATTGTAAACTAATACATACGTTCAAGATTATATTTTAGATTATCTAAAAGTATAATCATTTTTACTAAACTTCATAAATGGATCTCAATAAAATTATGTTATATGCGTGGCATTAAATTAACAATAGTTTTAAAGAATTCCCAGTAGGGGCAATGGCCTCTTTGCCCCCCCCCCTGTGGGCGCCCTTGTATGTATGTAAGTATATAAAAGTCAAACGCGATGGTGACCGGCCGAAGGTCGTTAAAAAATATTTAAAAAAAAAGTAAGATCTCTTAGCCGTAAAAACAATAACCGCATCAGAAAAAAACGTCTCGTCGTAGGAGCGTTGTTGCGTTGGTTCGTTTATTTTTTTATGGTCACCGGCATTGACGCACTTCTCCTAAAGGGTTGTGGGGAAAAAATATTAACCAATGTTTATTCGTCCGTAAAGCCGGACAAGGGCCCCCGGCTTTATAGTTCACACGTATTTTTATGTATATATTTTTTTTTGTCAAGATATCTCTGCCGTTCGCTCGAATTTCACATTTAACACCCAAGATTAACGCCAGGCCGTAAAACGGCAGCCGATCTACAGCCGCACCTAATATATATTTTTTGTTTTTCATTTAGGTGACCCGGATCTTTGGAAAAGGTTATGGGATACGTCTTGTACAGTATGTGTGTGTGTAGCAACTGTAAAATATAATTATATATAGGCTATAATAATTTATCCTTACTCGTCCGGAGAACGGCCCGAAACGAATCCGTCCGTCGGGTTTTTTAAAATTTTTTTTTATTGTAAACTGTTTGTTAGTTGTCATCGAAGCGGTTTTCACGCCTAAATAAACATTTTTATAAGTTTGCCATTCGAGAAAACGTTGAACGTCTTTACTCGGGCAACAACGAAAAGTGTCTATGCTACGAGTTATTGCACACGGCGGTGATGGATAATGTAAACTATATTATCATTACGATTATTGTTTTATTACTTAACGGGGAAAAAAGTGAAAATTGATGTACGTCGTTTCCGGTAGAGAAGTGACCAACTAGATTTTTAATACACGTCTGTAAGAAATTATAATTTAACGGGCGTCAAGTCAGTATTGTATTAAATGTGTACACGTCTTGACATATTGCTTGTTCTAGTAGCGGTGCAGTTGACTGAAATATATTGTCAAATATATTCATCGGTACGTTTAGTGTTTGTTTTCAGTAAAGGTTAAAACATTCTAATTCGTACCTTTCAGATAATTAGTATAAGAGTATGCGAACTGTTCAAGTCGTTCACTTGACTTAACTGTTCATCTCTCGAGATCATCTTTAAAAGTGAAGGAATTTGTATGATGTTTGCAATAAGTTTCGGGATTTTCTATGTTTGGTTTAGCAACATGTGTGGCCGCAAAGGTAACTAAAAATGTATCTATATAAGCGTTTGATGATCCTTGAAATACTATACAAAATATATGTTTCTATATACTTTGTGTGAAATGGACGTGGCAATAATGCTCATCGTAGGTTCATTGTTTCGAAAGTGTTTTTTACCCGTTTCCTGTCTGTCGTTGTACGCTAATGATTTTATTCGGACTTCCGTTGATGCGAACGTCATTGCTCAGTAGCGCATTCTCCTAAGCAGTTTATATAGCATTATCAAATTTTTGACTTCGTACGTGTGCCCTGTAATTACCTTTGGTAATTGTACAGACTGGTGTCCTGTACACTCTATCTAGTGAAACCCATTCGTTCGATCATCATTTAATATACTTTTGTCTTCTTTATGAGGTTTTCGTTTCTCGTTCGAAATTCAGACTATCATTGCCATTCAGTCCCAGTCACCGACCTAGAGCGTGAGACAATTTAAAATTTCAATTTGATTGCTACTTACAGGTTATATTACTGTTTTTAGCGGTTCTTGTATTTTTTAGTTCACTAGAATTTTTTATGCCAACTAAAAAAAATATTGTCTTTATAGGTTTCTTGTTTAGTCCCAAAATGTATGTTTACCTCTAAAAGTATAAAAAAAACCTTAAAATAATAATAATAATATTACAAACCATAATTATGTAACATGACCTGTGATGCCGAGGTTTATTATTTCAATAAACTAAAGTAATAATAATATATGTTAAAAATATAACAAACATTTTTTAACATGTTTATTGCTAAACATTTTACGGTACTATTAAAACATCCTTAATTTGCTGTTTTGGCTATACTGTAAAACATTTTACTTTTATGTTATTTTATTTATGTTATATTGATGATTTTTGGTTGGAGAACAGAAATTATTTGTTGAAATAGAAGATTGGACATGAAGATTGGTCGTCTTTCAGAAAACTCATTAGGACAGGTGGACCGTGGACGTTAAGTCAATATCATATGTTATACTACATGTATGTGAGTACACGTGTCCCAAAACTTAATTTTCCAAACCTGTCATCCTGATATCTACAGTAAAACAAAATATATATTAAGATTATCGCTTTTTTAACAAATTAGATACAACTAAATGTTTGATGTTTCGGTGGAGTGTGGACATAAAGAATTTAAATCTAAAACAACAGGGCCATTTATTTATAAAACCCCAAGTATATTTTGTCAATTTGCTTCTGTATAAAATCCAAATAATATTACACACTAAAAAATTGTTACGACCAAACGTTGAGAGATTGGTTTTTCTAAAGATATTTTATTAAATTAATAACATATGTTAGAAATGTTAAACAAAGAGTACAACATTTTTAGGATTGTCTGTGTTTGCACAGTTATTGTAATGTGAATATACTTGACATAGATTTAAAAAAAACTATCTTGAAATAATTAACAATAAAAATGACTATATAAGAATCATTACGTGGTAGATTTAATCTGGATTTACCTATTATACCTTTTTGAGAACGAAAAATTTTGAATATTACGTATTTCAGTTTATTATGTGTAACATATTATATTCCATCGGTAAATTCTGTAGAAAATGAGGTAATTATAGTTTTTTTAACAATAACATATTAAATATATCCAAATATAATTTGTAAATATTTTTTATTACATACCTTACAGTAAACTAACATACGTGGTATTCTACCTTTGTAAAATCGCTTTTGTAGATTGATATCTTAAAAGTTTTTTTTTAATTTGTCAAATTTTGTATTTATTTTTATTAGATATAAACAATCTATACATAATTTTTTACAATAAGCTTATGTGATAAAATAATAAAATGTACATACAGGCTTGTTAAGAAGTCAACCATTAGCAACACTTATCATTTAAATAAAATTTGTCAAATAAATAAAAAAATAGTACATTTCTATTGTGGCTATAAAACCATAATTGAATCGGTCATTTCAAAAAACGACATAAGTCACAGATTTTTCTAAAATGACTTTTTGTCAAATTCGATAATTATATACGTAGTTGCGTATTCTGTGAAAAAATTATTTTAAATTTTAAATTTTTAGACTCATGACATTAGTCAGAAGTATTTTATTTTAAAAAATTATACCAGTTTGTGCAATACTATTGACAATATTGTCATCTAGTCGAGGTTTTTTAATTCAATAAATAAAAATAATAATAAAACACGTTTAATACATAGTAAAAATGTTTTAAACTACTTATAGCCAAACATTTTATTTATGTTTTGTTAATGATTTTTAGATGGAGAACGGAAACTATATTTCTTTGACTTTTTAAGAGCAGTGAACTCTGATTATCTTCCAATACTTGACTTTAATTTTCGTCTTTGCTTGTTGAAATGCGACGGAAGCGGTGAGTAAGGGCCAATATAAAGTGTAGTTACCATAACAATATAAATCATCACATGAATAATTTTCGGATATATCCGCGTCAATGGTTGTTAACCAACGTTTCGGACCCTTTGCAGGGTCCATCTTCAGGGTCATGTCACGACTGTTCCACTGCCGTGATTGTACTCAAAAGTGTACAAAGGGTCCGAAACGTTGGTTAACAACCATTGACGCGGATATATCCGAAAATTATTTTTGAAGAACATAACGGGTGTGTGGCGCCCTCTTAATATTTTATATTTAAAATCATATTTTTTTACTTTTTTAAAATAACTTTAACTTTTTTAATATTATTATTACAAAATCGGATACTATGATATTGTCTCTGAAATATTGTTATCTTTCTATTTTATAAAAGGTAGTTTTGCTCTAAAATTACGATGGACTCAGTAAAAAGCATTTTGTATAACTATGTTTACATGAATTTTGTTTAAAATTAACAACCAAAAATAAGTACTCATAACTAAACTAATAATTTGCAATGATTACACATTACGGATTAAGCATTAAATTTGTAAAAAATTGCCTATAAACTTCTTAATAAAAATGGGGGTATCACGTCGTCTTAACAAAGTAGGTAAGCTTGATAGTAAATACGATTTTTACATAAAATACTAATCAAATATTTTATACGAAAGTCCTTATATATTAATTAATAAGTAATTTTATCCAAAATAAAAACACTCGTACAACACACTTAAGATCGGTAAATCTGGCTACAACCATGGCATAGTCTTCAGAGAATGATAGAGAGTAAAAAGTAAATCATATCGAATAAGGTACAGTACTACAACAAAAAAATACGCCATGCCGTGAATTAGTAAAGTAGATAATAAAGCATACACCCACGTAGTTAAAAAGTATAAACCTAGGGGAAAAAAGTGAATAATAAATGTATAATTTAAAGTTTGAAATAAAAAATGTATTAAAAAAATGAGATAACATTGTTAAAACCCTACGGGAAAAAAATTCAATACTAATTAAACCCTATTAGATGTTGTGTCGATAATTTTATAATGATTACCCTGTAAATATATGGGTAAAATCGGCAATACGAGCGAACTCTTGAAGCACCCCCCCCCGGACTTTTTTAAAACTTACTTTGTATGTCTGTTACGATAAAACGAATTTTCTCAAAAATTATTATTTTTTTTTTATATTCTTTTGGACATTTTCGTTTATGTTTTAGGTTTTAGCTTCAATTCGAAGCTGAAAAGGTACTGCATCTTAAATGATGTGTGTTTTATTTTGTGTGTCTGTAGACACGATAACTTTCTTCCCTGTAGACTGATTTAATTGAGTAGCAGCTCTATAGATTTACGATATCGTTTGCGATTGGTACTTTAGTTGGCCAAAAGTAGAAAAAGTTCATTTCTTCGCCCCTAAAATTGGGGAAAACCACACCAAAAAACAGAAAGTCATTAAAATTGAGTTAATAATATAAAAAGTTATTTTTTTGTGTTGTCCAATGTCTGAGAATTTTTTTCAGAAAGCTGAGAAATGTTTACACAAGATGATTAAGTACCAAGCTGGGTTCTCTATAAAAATGCTTAGAAAAATAAAAAAAAGAGGAAAATATTATAGGAGTAATTCGTCAAACTAATTCAATTAAAAATAGATTCTTAGGAAAGTCGAAAAAGCGAGAATTTATCTAATTTTTACACATAATTATTTAAGCTATTTCGATTACTGTGATCGTTTTTTTGAATTTTTTATGAATTAATTTCTAATGGTAATAATTTAACGGTTTTTGGAAACATAAAAAATAACATTTCGTTTGCTTTGCTTATTAAATAATAAAGTTTCATCTAAAAGATAAAAGGTGAAATACCTTCGAGAACAAGTTATTTTGTAGTAAGCTAATTAGAAAACATTAATATAATAAATATTGAATTAAGTAAACATAAATCTTATTTTATAAACATAGTAGTAATTTTTCTGACAAAATAACTTTATTTGAATATTTTGGGTATTTGAAATTAAAAAAATAAACGAACACGTCAGTACATTTTCTTGTTGATAAAAAAGAAAAATAATATTTCATTGTAATTTAAATAACTTATATTAGTACACGTGTTTCAATACTTAATTTTCCAAATCTGTCATCCTGATATCTGCAATAAATCGCAAAGAATATCGTTTTTTTATTAAATAAGACACTATTAAACGTTTTGATGTTTTACTTGTCATATTTGTATCTTAAACAACAGGGCAATTAAAAAAAACATGTTGGCCGACTTTATTAAGGCTATTCACTAGAAAGAGAATTCAATCTTATCGAAATATAAATAAGTAAAATGTTTGTCAATGTGCGGTTTCGTTTTAGTGTTTAAAATAAATAAAAATTTAGTAGTCTTTCTATAAGCTCAAAAGATTTTACATATTTCTTTGATACATGTGTGTATTAGTGCTTTTTAAGATAAAACAAACTTATTGCAAATTGTAACACTTATTTGTTATTTATTTTGGATTCATAAGGAAAAAATTGTATGTGTGGTAGTTATTTTTTAATTTACGAAACCGTAAGTATATTTTGTCATGTTGCATCTGAAAAAAATCCAAACAATATAGCACACTAAAAAGTAGTCTCGACAAATCATTTAGATAATTATTATGCCAAAGGTGTTCTATTAAAAGAATACCACTGTAATATAAACAATTAAAAACAAATAGTTTTTAGAATTGTCTGTGTTTGCGCAGTTATTGTAGTTGAATTTGTTTGACATAGGATTAAATAATATATTATTTTGAAATAATTACCAATAAAACTGACAGTATAAGAAACATTACGTGGTAGATTTAATCTGGATTTACTTTGTGCACCATTTTGACCACGAAAAAATTTGAATACAAAAATGAATATTAAGTATTTTATTTTATTATGTGTAACATATTATATTCCAGCGATAAATTCTATAGAGGATGAGGTAATTATAGTTTTTAGACAATAACTTATACATTTTTGTAAATCATTTTTATTACATAGCCAACAGAAAATTAACATACATTACCATCTTCTATTCTATCTTTGTAAAATCGCTATATTGATATCTTAAAAGTAACTTATTATTTTATTAACTTGACAGATACAGAAAAAATAGTATATGCAAAAGTAGGTTATTTTGAAATAAAAAATTAAACAAAATTAGTATATAATTATTTAGAAAAAAAATTGAAAATATAATTTTTCCTAAGATATATTACAAACATGATATTGTCCTCGTTGCCTCGTAAAACATTTTAACGATTTTTCTTGAAATAGTAATATTATATAATACTGATGTAATTGTTTCCATTATAATTATTTGTAATAGTGAGTTAACAGTTAAAGCATTTATACATAATAATACTAAGTATATTTATAAGTGAAAAATTAATTTTCTTATTATATATATCTTTTTCATAATGTTAGGAAATAACTTATCTATGGAACGCAATAAAAAATGGCGAAAACAACTTTATAACGTGGTCTGACTTAGTTGGATATTATAGGGCCGAAGGAAATGAATTTCTTTCCGTAACAAATAAATTCGGAACCATATGTACAAATGATAAAGGTAATCGCAATGTAGTTTTTTATCCTTAATAATTTTAAAAGTAATTCGAGTATTAACACAAAAACACTCTAAACGATATTTTATTTATTTGTATGAAATTTGAATAACACGTATGTATCACGATGGTTAGTAAAAATATATACTATTAATCTAATATATATATTTTTTATATTAAGGCTTTAGAAATATCGGTTATCAAGCTTGTTTTTTTGTAAAATACAAATAATTGTTTTAATAAACACCACGTTTATTTTTTTGGTACAATTTTGATGTTCCTAGGTAAAAAAGAAACCAGAATTACTTTAGCCAAATTTATCGAGGCCGTAAATTTAGGCCATATACCAAGATGGTCCATACCTGTAAGTTATATGTAATAATTATGTTATTTTTTAGTAAAATTGTATGCCACAACAAATAAAATTGGATTTATCAGCTGGAATATTTGCTTAAACAAATTGTCTATTAAAAAAAAACCAAAAAAAATAAAACTGTGAAGGCACGCTAAATTTTTAAATTACGTCGCGTCATTCCAGTTTTTTGAAAGTGGGACTAAAGTTTTTTAAAAGTTTAACTAAAAATTTAATTTTTCATACATTTTACATTTATTATATTATGTACAATTATCCTGATTTTTTCTGAGAAAATATTTGACTTTAAAATAAAGATATTAGGACCTAAAGAAATATAGTACTTATATGAGGACTTGGTTTGTCGGTTCTCCCTATTTGCGCAAATGAGTCTTAAGCATAAAAGTATTAACAAAAAATATGCTAATAAGTAAATAAGTATTACTGTTTTTTATCCAGCGTGTGCCGACTGATATTTATATATTAACAAGAATCATAGAAGTAACTAATTAAACCGGGCATTAAAATTAAAATTCTAGTGTAGTTGCTAAACGAGATATGAGCAACATGGGACTAACACAAGGGAACACTAAAAAAATAATAAATAATTTTATTGTTAATTATTTATTATATCTTTAACTAATATTAAGTATTACATCAAATTCATAAAAGTAGCAATTGCTCTCCATAAATAATAATACAAATTTAAAATTGTACCTACATAATTAGTTATCAAATATAATACATTTGAATTGTTGGTGAAAAAAATTACTTTGCTATTTAAAATTCATCAATATAAATCTTTAAACTAAAGTTAGAATGAACATATCTTTGTTTTTATTATTTAAAATAGTTACATAAAATATAGCCTATTAAATCAGAAGCATTTGTTTATAAGGTTCTCATAAAAAATATCATAAGTTTAAAATAAATGTTTAGGTGATGCGTAGAGAATTTAACAAAATTGCCTCAATAGGAAAATTTGGATACCAAATAACTATCGAGGACATAAAAAAATATGATGTGGAAAAAGAATATACTTCAGAGGAACTCGATGATATTATGACTGATTACGGAGTTTCGTCGGGTAAATGTGATTTTCAATAACTACATTTTATCATAGTAAAATCATATTATGTATGCACATAAATTTACCTAAGTAGTCTGTATCACAGTGGGAATTGTATTCTTGTTTAATTTGTTTATTAATAATTTGAACCTAATGCAACCTGACCCCACCCAGCCTAACCTAACTGATCAATAAACAATTTTAGTGTGAATATAATCATAGTGATGTTAATTTTATGTATTGTATATTGTAAACCGCTACTTTTATAATATATTCATGTCTTGTATATATTTTATTTAGTAGTGATCAATGGCAAACACTAACTGCTATCCTATTTTTACTTTTGACACTCATAATGTTGACATAGACTATCACAGACATGTATTTTAACAGTGATATTCGATGGAACATCTTTAAATTTATAAAATATACGTGAATAGCTTCTAAAAAATGGATTTAAAAATGCTAATTACAAAAATTATTATTAATGCATTCAAGCTACTAGATAAGTGCCGCGACTACGATTTTGGTTTTCGCGGCAACAGTAGTTTTAGTGCCCTAATTGTTCGTATATCATACTTACTTATAAAAGGCTTCACCATCTAACCTCCCTCTCATAATAAATCGAATTCATACCTACCATAGTTATATCGTTAACCATGAGAAATTGAAGACATTTTTGAATTTCATATTTCTACACCAGTGTAAAAATTTACACCAGTGTAAACAAATTCCCAACATCTAATTATATATTCCCTTTTAATATTGTATTATTTGATCAAAAACGATTTGGCTATGCTGTAAAAAATAAAAAAAATTACTATTCATTTTATTTATGTGATTTTTAGAAGGAGAAAGAAAACTATTTTTCCGTGGCTTTATAATAGCAGTGAACACAGAATATTTTCCAGTAATTGACTTAAATCTCCGTCTTTGCGTGTTGAAATGCAAAGGAAACAGTCGTCAATAAGGCGTAGTCACCATAATAATATAAACCAATTCTATCAAATATTTCTATTACCTATTATTATTATAGTTATTAAAATATTACTTTTTGATTTCATACAAATTTATAATTTATGTATTTACAAATACTAAATATTTATATTATGTATGATTATTTATTATTTGTTTATTATTATTATAATTATTATATGTATAAACATTTTTTAAAGTCTTCCGTCTTTTAAGTAAGGGTTTTATCCTTAGTGATAGACGATACAGAGAAAATATTGGTGTATTGTACAATTCAATACTGATAAATAAAAAATTATTATAGTTAGTGAATTATTAACTGTTCCTTTTTGCCCTTAGTGGTCATTCAGTTTTATTATTTCGATGACATTAGAAAAAAAATAGTATTAAACCACCTTAATCATCGGTTAGATTCTTAGAATATTCTATGATAACGTCTTACTTGCATTTTATGGTATTTTTTGGCTTGCGAACCCTTATGAGAATGCTCATATACATATTAGAAAATGTAGTTCAAAAACTAATAAACAATTCTTATTAAAGGTAATAAGAGAATATGCTACTCTTTTAAAAAAACTTTGTCCAATATTAGATCGCACAAGTAGGTAAGCTTGCTAAATAATATTTATATAAAAAATACCAATAAAGTATACATACATCTAATAATATGAACTTATACACGTACATAGATCACACAATATATATTACACAGTATTAGATTATGGTTTATGTGTATTTTATTATTAATATTAGTTAGTATATTATATTGAATAAGTTAGAGTACTACAACAGAAATCTACGCCATGCCGTGAATTGGTGAAGTAGATAATAAAGCATACACACACGTAGTTAAAAAATATAAACCTACCGAAATATTTATAGTTGGCAAAACAAATCCATGAATAACATTCATTAGAAGTACTCGTGTGTTAAAATGTCTATGACTACAAATTATAAATTCTTTCTCTCAAAATCTAAGAATTTTCCTATCTAAGAACTTATAGAACCATATCTTGTATTAGTATATTGACTATTGAAAATCAAAATACCTTTGTCCTCTGGCGATAAAAAAACGTTTTTAGCAAGGACCATAAAACATATATAAGAAAATGAGGCGCTGTATGACAACGAATTTACAGTAGTGCCTGTTAATGTATTAATAAACGCCGTAATCTACTATATATAATCTAATTAACTTAAACATTTGTTTTATATTTTAAATGTGTTATAATATACTTCAAATTGTTAAGTCTACAAGGTTATTACAATTTTACTTTACAGACATTTGTTCTATACATTTTTGAATTAACTAGAAAAATTTTAAATGCAACTGCTATTAAATTTAATGACCAAATTCGATTTTTGGTGTTTAAAGTTAAAATTATTATTTTAAAGAGTAATTTTAGAGGAAACTTTTAAAAGTAAAAAAGTAATCAATAATTAGGTATGCCATTTAAAGTGGAGTATTGTACTGAAAATTATGACTGGTCGATAAGTTTAGAATAATTACTATTTAAATTTTTTAGTATTTATAACTATTGTTGAGTTGAGGGGTTGATTCATGATTGTATTGTCTTACTTATATCCACGCGCACTATTTGCTCGCACTTGTTTCTTAGTTTGTAATTTTAAATGCGAATTGCTCAAGCAGTATTTATGTAAAATTGGTTCTTGACCAGTCATACGTATGGTTATATTATTTTTTTTACATAGGTAAAAAATGTTTGTCGGATCCAGTTAGGTTATATCAATCGGACCGCTTAAATGAAAACTCCTTAAAACAGATATCACTTTTGGTTATTTATTCGCTCGCTACGTATTTTTCAAAACCATTCAATATTATGAGTATGACTAACAACGTGTTATCTGATATCAATCGATAGGCATTGGTCAAATGAGAATTACTTTATTTACTCTCATTTTGTTCTGATTAAATATAATTTATTATGTACAAGGTATAACATGTATTTTAGTGTTGTGTTATGTGTATAATGTGTGCATTAGTAAGTATACTAATAAGGACTGTTATAATACCTATAGGCTAAATAACATCATAATAATATAACGTTATAGTACATTTAATAACATATGTTATTATATTTTAAATACACACTATGTATTATTTCGAGATTCACTGTTCTATTACAGTTGCTAGTGTTAGAATTGCATTTCGCTTGTAATTTATGGGCCAATGTTAAAGTAAATGTAGTGCGATAGCCAATTATTTTTACAATTATCGTTAGTGTTTCTACAAGTATTAATACAGTAATGCTTTCAAAATTCGAAACTGAATCGCTTAACAAGCGGAACAAGAATTAAACAAAGGGAAATTGTTTAAATGTTATGTACAATTATTCAACTTAATTCAACTTCGTTGAGAATTATTGATTTTAAATGTTCTGTTAATTATTGTTATACTTTGTGTTGGCTTTTAATTTATAATTTCAATAACAAAAACAATAATAGCACTATGGTAAGTACTATAAGTAATAACGTACAGGGAGTTCGAGCATGAGAAGTAAGTAATTAGAGCAATTGAAGCTATCTAGGGCGCCCTCGGTTTTCTTTTTCTTATAAATCAAAATTTGGTTTAAAAATGAAAAAGGTTTCAGTATTTAATTTAACTATTCTTAATTAATAATTCAAATAATAACTTTAAGGGAAACAAAAGTATTTCTTATTATTTAGTGCAAAACTCAGCTTATAGAGGAGTTTACATAAATTTCAGCTCTTTTCGGCCCCTAACTCAAGTAGAACTGTCTAATTTAAGGTGAACATTTTCCACTGAATAACAAGAAATAATTATTTTTCTTAAAGTCATTCATTTTGGAATTAAATATTGAAACCTATAATTTTTTACTTATCGACAAAAAGAATATGGGTTAGGACTTAGGACTTATTTGGGGGTGCTCTAGGTGTGAAATCACCTATTACTTACCTTTCATACTGGAAAACAAAAATTACTGTATAATTAATAAAAGAATGTCTTAGAATAAAACTAAGTTAAAAATGTGTTAATATCCAGGGAAGTTCATTAATTATTTTTTTTATAATATGACAATATAACTATTACTAATTGATTCTAAAATTGCACTTACTTACTAATTTTTACTTTTTATTACTCGTTATACTGTTGATTGCGATAAATGATAATATTATGTCAATTATAAAAATAGTAGACAATATCATTTTGAATTCACTTGCAAACTGCTAATAATTACCTAGGTTTTTATTAACTTTTGTTATTGTTATCAATAAAATTTCATCGTTTACAAGAAGTTAAAGTGACATAAATATCAAATGTTCAACTACTTCTTTCCATATTAAATTTATTTCATTGTTTACCATTATATTGGTGTAGATCTACACGACATAAAGTACCAACACTAATTGGCTCGTTCATCCAAGCCTGCAGACTCGATATTTAATATACTTGTTATTTTATAAATACTATCACTTGTGCTTATTGTAAATACATATTATTAACAGATTGTACAAAGCTAATAATTAAAAAAAGTATCGGTGTAGCTCCTAAGTAGAGTGCGGATTTACTTTCTCTTACAAATATGAAAATATACTTAAAAATTAAATACTCAAATTGAAATACATAAATTTAAATACTCAGCATTTTTTAGTAAAATTTGCAAAAATGAGATTTGATATAAATATTTTTTCTAACATTACAATATGCATTTATATTAAAACATTTTATTTTTGGTTATTAATACTTCATGAGTTGAGGACATACATGATATCTTATATACATCTAATAAAAATATGTTTTTACCTAAAAAAATCTACATTCTACTCATAAGATGCACAGTAATTTCAAATTATCGTTGAGAGGACGTCTCATCGGTAATTTTGAATGTTAAAATATGTTTACAAAAAACAGATAGAGGTACCTTAGAAATCTTGTTTTCTATATTTTTTACAAGTTGTTTTCTCTCTAAAAACACTTTGAAGGGTATCTTCTATTGTTTTGCGTGAACATGTTTGGATGAAATTTTTTTTAAGTCGCTATCAAAGATGCTGCGATAGGCCAAAAAATTAATTAACTACCAAAAAATAGTCCTAATGACTAAACTAACAATCACACAACATAACAGTTTAACCTTTAAATTAAGATTTTGCAAAAAATTGCCTATACCCATAACTTCTTAATATAAATAGGGGGTATGACGTCTTCTTAATATGACCGAACGGTTTCTAATTTTTAACAACTGATTATATTATTATAATGAACCATGACGCTGACCTTAGTGTCTTATAATATAAAATGCTTATAAATTGAACGTCTTTATTATTATTTGACGGAATTTAATTGAGACAAGAACTGGCGGTCGTTTCCCTTTCAATTTAACCACTGGTTTGCTGGAGTTATTATTGGAAATGGTTGTAACTAGGTTATGCAATTTATATTATTCTTCTATTTCCGGTTGTTTATGCAGTTATACGGAACATACAAAATACATCCCTAAGATTCCTAGGATCATTTCTTATTTTGTTAAATTCGGTCCAGCGATTTAAGTAGAAAGTATAAACACACACGAATAAATCATTATTCATTTAGACACAATACCTATCTTCTCTTTTTATAAATATATAAAAAAGAAAAATATAGACGATTCGTAAAATAAATCTATAGGTATACTTATAAGACATATTGACGTACATACTGACTGTACTGGATTATAAAATTGCTTGTTTTTCTAATTCGTTTCAATAACTCTTCAGCACTATATTGTTATTCAACACCTATTGCATGTTTGGAAATCGATTCTGCAATTTGTTTTTTCGACCATTATCTTTATTATCGAATAGTGTCTGGACACTTGTTTCATAATCATACATTTAGATTTTCAATTTTTCCAAAAAGCCACCACCTATTTTTTGTTATAGTTGCATTGAGTTTCAGACGTTAAATTTACCGTGAAATTTACTTAACAGTAACAGCTGATCCCATTGATCACACTGTTATATACTCTAAGTACACATTGCACGAATAATCATATCCGTATGGAGTATTAACAACATAATGATCGGGGGGCCTCGTTACCTAACCAAAGAGGAGATATGTATATGGTTTACCGGGGACCGATTATAGTAGTAATAATAGTATAAATATACACAATCTTTAATAGTAGTGCATTATAATGATATGTTTTATTCATAAATAATATTAATTTAAATTTATGTGTTTGACGCTTTTTCAATTTACGGTGACTGATCCTTATTAGCAGTGTATTACTTAGTTATTAATCATTTCGGTAAATCTCATATGGCGAGTATTTTTCGGGTCGTCTGTATACCTAATAATAACGACCATGTCGTTCACGCTTTTCGGTTACCTTAATGTCATATGACAGCTGTACTGTCTACGTCTGTCACATATAACAATAAAACAAATCATAACAGTATACAAGTCGTTCTGTAATATTTATATATATATATATATATATATATATATTTAAGTTGTCATACTATATAGTACTACTATAATATACATACTGTACTGTACAATGTGCAGACATGCAGTATGCACTCATAATGGACAATCGTGTGCATACCGTGACCACGTGACGCATAATATACACATCCTGTTCGGGGTTGCAAAAATAAACAGTTTTTTTAACCAAATAAAAAATATTATTAAAATATGATCCAAACGGTTTCTTTAATACAAATTAAAAATCCCGTTTTAAACATGTTAGAAACGTTGTTTTTACTTTTTTTAGTTTTGAACAATTTTATTGCGTACGATATTAATTTGATTTGAAATCTGGAATTTAATTAGTTAAATGGTGTAATCATACTACCGTGTACGGCTTAAACTCAAATTCAATATTTACTAATGACGTAAAAATTCCAACCGATAAATTTCTTACGATTAATTTTTTAGGTACTACTTTTGAAAAATGTGCTTTAATGCTTAAAGTTTCTACAAGGCTCTGTGTTTAGCTATTATTTTACAAAAATCTTACATAATTAAATTTTTTTTTTGTAGAAATTTGAATTTTTTTTAAATGATTAAAGAGTGTAAAAGTTTTATTTGAAAAAATAAAAAAAATAGTACATTACATTTTTTTTCTATAAGTTGCTGTTAAAATTAACAATTCAAACAGTAGATAGTTAAACTAAATATTTATGTTGATTTGTAGCGTCGGATATCCAACAAAACTGGCTAGATTGTAGCCTATAAGCAAGAATGGGTCTAGGAATGATAAAAAGGGCTAGAAAACAAATTCACTTTAAATACATGTAAGCAATAATCATGGAGTTATGGTTTACACAGTAAAAAATTCTATAATATTCTAATATATTATATTAGAATAAAAAAAAAGTACATGAGAAAGGGTTTCAGCCTTCATAGGCCCCATTGTACTCGCCCCTGCCTATAGGGCGCCATACTTAATGGGCATCAGGCGTTAGGAGCACTAGACTTAAAGGCCTCTAATTCCCCCCCCCCACCACAAAAGGGGGAACACTTTTTGTTTCGCTGTACAATTTCCCCGGTTGTCTTTTTATTGAAACGCGTGTGTGACGAAGAACAGAATATGAAATCCTGGTAGTAATTTCATAAAAATTGTTTACCGTTATTTACCCAACGGTGAACGGTTTCACTTTCCGTGTGGTCGAAGAGCTGCTGGACGAAGGACGACTATGTGATGTGTTGGAAATAGACCGACCGACGGACGTGTCCGGGCAAATCCGTTTGGCTCGAATTCGCCCGGGCTAAGGTACAGGCACCGTATACAACCATAATAATAATAATAATAATAATAATGATAATCATTGAAAGTGAATCGTCCGAAAAACAAGCGCGTGCTAATGTGAAGACTTACCGACATGCCTAATATTATATTACCACAGCTGTATTTTGCCTCGGTTCTACGGATGCGGTACGATCGGCGTGCGTTTTTCTGGCCGGCGGCCATGGGAAAGCATGAAATCATTAAATTTCACGTTTTCATGCCCAAAACACCGTGGACCGAAAGAGCGTCATCGTCTCGTCCGCGAACCGATGTAAGTATATACGTCTTGTAATCATTAAAAAAAGATGGCTATTGCGCCGCACGTTGTCATATAAGCATAACAAATAATTACACGTCACCGGCGACCGGTCCGGCGGAAACATTTGTCATCGTCGCATACCTACGCCGTGTATTAAATTATTGTAAGACGGTTATTTATTTAATTTTAATTTTTTTCTTCTTTTTTTTAGAAAACCGGACGATTTTTTTGATTTCTTACCGTTTGTAAACACTACCGTTGGGATCGAGAAATAAAACGGCACCGTAAGGGCATACCTATCAATTTTACTATTACTAAATATTACTTTACTGCGTACCTACATATTATATACTTGATTTTGGCATATGTGTATTGGCGCACGCGGGTACCGGTTTAACCTAACGGAAGAGCAATAATTATTACACTTGAACCGTTCGATCGTTTCTAAACATCAGCGTACGACCCGACGTCGTTCAATTACAAATCACAAAATAATTACATATTTCAACAATTATAGCTTGTTTGTTGTATTAGGTATTCAAAAATCAGGCCTAACGGAATCAGGAATGGCACTGCACGGTTGGACGGATCCGGTGCAGTGCCGACACGGTATTTACCATAATAACCGCCTCCGTTGTTCGGTATGCCCTTCTCCGAGATGATTAACCGTTTAGGTAGGTATAATATAATTTCAAAGACGGTTATCGTTGTGGTTTTACGGTGTCATATTAAACAGAAACACTACCGGGCTCGTAATGCGATATATTTGAATTAAGTAATATCGAATCAAAACGATTTTTAACAAAAAACCCGAAAAAATTTGCTCTGTCGGTATATAGTTAAGTAATAAGCCATCGAACGGTCGTTACACGTTTAAAAATGTAAGCTATTCGATTAGCGTTTATATTTGAAATCCCATGTTTCTTTAATCATTAACATACATTGCTAAAAGACAGCAGAAACGAATAATATATTGCGAAATTTGACATAACTCGAGTAGCTATAACAGATATATTATTGCTTTGTGATAGTACGATTATAAATTGATATAATTATTAAAAAGAAAAAAAAGGTAAGCCATTGAATTTTGCTTAACGTAAGTCGTACACGGGCTACTGAATTGCAAGCATCGGGTAATCTCGAAATGCGGTTTAATGTAGCGACAAGGTAAATCTTTAAAAGAGTAATGATAGCTGTTGTAAAGAGCAAAATAATAATAACAACAATAACAAATTATAATTAAGTCGGATGCGTTACAAGCGTTAATATGTTGTTAATGTTTTTTTATTATATTTTTTACTTCATTTGTGGAGACTATAAAAAACACAACCGTATTAAGCATAAAGCGCATTTCTCTTCGAAATCGGAATTTAATAGGCGAATTATCGGAATGTTTCTGTGAAAGCAGTGGCGCCGGATCGTTTCACGTGCACGTTCTTAATGAATAAAAAAAAAACCCTTTAAAAATAATATGAGGCCTAATTACTCATAACAACGGATATTGTAAGTCGTGTGACGATTATTTTTTTGAAAATCCATGATTTATAGCCAATTTAAGTATCGATATTAATTTGTTATGCGTATAAAATAAACACACGTGTAATATTGCACAGTATGTATATAAATATATAATATAACGATAATAATAATAATAATTAATATAGTTGCCTTCGATTTTGCGATGGCCAAGTTTAATATATATATATATATATATGTATATATAAGTTTATACTTACTTATAAATTAGTTAATTTAACGTACTAAAATATTTGTATAAAATAAAATAATACACAAAGAAACAAAAACAAAAGTTACTCGTATACAGTTAATTAGTGTAAGCCTTTTGGGTCTCTCAAATGTTTCTAAGCGGCCGCCGATCTGACGACCATCACGTCGTTGCGCTTCTTCACGTCTTTATAGATGGGCCGGTACGGGTAATCCTCTTCCGGGCCGCCGGTCAGGTACGCGTAGTTACCGTGGTACGCGGCCTTAAATGGCATTTGAGGCATTTGCGGTTGTTGCAGTTGTGCCTGCAGTTGCAGTTGTACCGTGTCGTCGGCCGACGGTCCTCTGAATTTGTTGACGGCAGGCGACACGTAGCCGTAAGCCTGCGGCCGCTTGACGATCACCGAATGAGCGTACGGATGGACGGTGGACTGGATGGGCGCGCCCGACGATTGCGCGTACCGGTTGTCGTCGGCCGACTCGTGGTACTGCTGCTGTTGTGATTGCTGTTGCTGGTGGTGCGGGTGCTGATGGTGGCCGGCAGCCGCAGCGGCCGCTGCCGCAGCCGCGTACGGATTATAGTAGGAATGCTGTTGTAGACTGAACGGTTGCTTGACACGGCCTTCTTCGGGCTTGACGAACACGGGTTTCTTGGGTTTCGACTGTTTTTGTTTGTTGCCGGACGACTGTTGCTGTTGCTGACCGCTGTAAGCGGACGACTGCAGGTGTTGTTGTTGTTGTCCCTGGAACGGCAACTTGCCGCTGGTCGATGGACGCAGGCTTGGCGAGTCTGACTCCAGCGACGAGTACTGCTGTTGCTGCTGCAGGTGCTGCAAGTATTCCGGTTTGAGCGGGATGACGATGGCCGGCATCGTCTTGCCGGCGCCATTCTCGTCCGTCTTGAAGAACACGTTGTGCACGACCGGCAGCGACATCATCGCCTGGTGTACCGTGCTTGACGACGTGGACTGCAGCTGTGGGTATTGATGGTGGCCGAACGCGCCGGCGTCCGTCATGGCCGCGTACATCTGGTGCGTGAACGGTATAGGCACGACGATACTGTGGTAGTTGGGCTGTTCGATTTTCACGGACTTGATGGGCGACACGGACGACGGCACGATGGACTGCAGCGGCGACTGGTGTCCGCTGTAGGGGTACCTGGACGGTGGCGGCGGCGGCGAGCTCGGTTGATAGTTGAGCCGTTTTTCCCGGGGCGTCTTGCTCACTTGCGACACGGCGTTGCTGAAATCGAAGTGGTTCATTTTCGACAACACTTGTTTGTGGTTGAAGTTCTGCGGTTCCGCCGGGGCCGTGTGTTCTATGCTGGAAATGCTTTCCGTGTGATGATGCTCATACGGTGTCGTATGGGTTTTGTAAGACTCTGAAAACAAACGACCATAGGTATGAAAATCAACGATTAAAAAACACACTTTCTCTCGTTAGGCGTTTGCGTTCTTTATTTTAACGACCAGCAATTATACACGCTCGTGATTACCTAGTGTAGATCACAATCATTCAGAGTTAACAAATAAAAGTAAACTTAATTTTGTTTTCACATGTGAATATTATCTTAGTTCAAAAAACTGCATAGTGTGCACATTTTGTAATAAATAAATATATAAATATTTACTACTAGACCACACATATCAAGTTTAAATAGAATAATTATAATTATATATATTTATATGTGTGTATATATATACTTTATACAAATTATGCATTATATACTTCTAGTTGCTGTTGTTTTCAAGATTCATCTACTCAGTTATCTGTGTTGTCCTAATGAAAACATTTCTGGCACCGCAAATGACAATGAATAAATTGTATTTTGGTGATAACTGGTCTTGAATTTTATGAAGTATACTAATATGAATTCATACATTGGACAATACAGATTCAAATAATTAAAGAACCAATATAGTCTTCAGTATTTTGTGATAATATAATACCTACTTCGTGTTAACTAATAAGTAGAATTGTTTTTTTAATTTTCCCAAGGACCTGGGCATAATGATCGACCACAGGAAGCAGGTGTATTATTTAATATACTATGCCGCTTTTAAAACAGGATCTTAACACTTAATTTAACGGTTTCGTTCAAAAAAAGAAAGAAAGTAAAACTGTATTTTCAACAATAGTATTATATTTAGTTCCTTAGTAGTTTTAGTACCTCATAATAGATACTTGTTTCATGTTATTTGCATTACGGAAATTTGCCTATTACACAAGACGAAAATTCAGGAGTGATCTATTTTTTGGTAATGCTTGTTTTTTTTACTCGAAAAAATTAATTTAATAGTAATATTTAAGTATTATTATTTATTTTATTTTCGTATGATAAGCAATAGTATTTAGAAATTCTATCTCAAGTTTTTAGTTAAAAAAAGAAATGATAAGTATGATTTATGTTTCTATTGAAGTAAATACGGAATTTATTAATTGTAGATCTGGTATTTTTATCACTTAATGTGTATATTTTATAAAAAAAATTATATACCTACAATTTACTTATTTTGTTTATTAGCTATATGCATATGTGCATAAATGAGTCTTCTTGAACCCATTTTAACGTTCCATTCCGCCAAAGTTTAAAAGTCATTAAAAAAAAAAAAACAATAAAACCTAGTCGACAAATTTTGTTGAATAGGAATTAGAAACGTACCATGGTCACAAACTATTTTGTGTAGGAAATTAAAAAGATTTTTCGATGTTACGATAGTTATGATTTTTTAAGTTTTGAATGGCATCATATATTATACATTTTTTATAATTACATTTATTAATTTTATGAATGCAGTTAAACGCTCATGCCTAATACTTATGGATGTTAAGTACATTTAGGCTTCGATGCGAAGCTTTTAACTTTTTTGTATAGTAATTTCTGGGAAGCATCCATTGAAATACTAAAATACTATAATTTACTTAATAATTACAATGCAACATTCTTTAAAGGAATAATAATAATTAGCCTAAGTGGTACTTCTCCCTTTAATCGTTTTAAAGTTTGGAAACTAATTATCAGCTCGCTATTTTGTAGGTTTAAAGTTATTTTAGGATATTTAAAGATAAAGAATACAAGTTTATAATAAGTGAAAGTAATTTGAAGTTTGTATCAGGTAATCTCGATGAAACGAATCTTCATGACTATACAGTTTTAGTAAATTCTAAGAAATCTAATGTTCTCTCGGCAATTATTTAATGTAACAAATAATATTAAGATTGAGGTTAATAGATTTCTAATCAAAACATTTAATAAAATAATTCTGGGCATTGATGCGTTGATACGCCAGAGTATTTTTTTTTTGTATTTTAGCTTAACTAATTATAGTAATATCTTAATCATAAACATAATGCACATACATTAACGTGTTTAAATTTGCACTTGAAAAAATATTTTTAATTTTTTATCCTTCGAGTTAAATTAATGAGTTAATGCACCGTGCAAAACCCTAAATAATTTTTTAAAAGTTTTGTTGTATTATTGTATACACCTTCATACACATTTTATCTGGCCTGATACAAAAACATTTGGATTGCCTTCAAATGTTAAATAACTTAAGATAGATTTTCAAACATCAAAATTCGGAATGTCGTTATTGCTTACCTGAACTACTGGTGGACTCCTGTGAGGAATCATGATCCTGTACTGTGGTGACGTATCCCGTGGCGATCTCCAAGTTGGGACTTACTTCCTGCCAGCCGTCCTTGTGGTCACTGCTGCTGCCGCTGCTACTGCCGCCACTGCCGCCGCCGTCGGTACTGCCGCTTCCGCTGTCGCCGGCCAGCTTCTTGGGCAGCGGTTTCCTCTTTTCCTGGCTGCTATCCTGCTGGTATCTGTTCTTTTTGCGCGACCTCGTCGGCTTGTCGGCGTCGAACTTCATGCGCACCTCCTCGGACCAGTCGCTGCTGCCGAACGTTGGCCTGTCGTCGTGCTCGTTGTCCTTGTGCATTTTCTTGCCGTATGTAACGGCCGGCACCGACGATTTTTCCTCGCTGTCGTCGACCGGTTTGCCGTTGGATAGTTGCGAAGGCGGCGGAGGGTCGAACGTTTGCGGTTTCACGCTGTACAGCTGTTCGTTCAGCGGATAGCTGCTGGCGCCTCCTTGGTCCTTGTCCTCTTCGCTGCCACTGTTTGGCGGCCGCCACTGGGTTTGCGGCTTGCCCCGAGCTTGTCTGGACCGCAACGCTAAGCTCTGCGAGTTCCGCTGGTCAGAACCGCCGACCGTGTAAGCCTCGCCGGAAGTGGACGCCTCTTTGCTGGTGGAGGTGAGGTGTCCGCCCGGAAAGTCCAACTCCGACGTCAATCCGGAAGAGGTCGCCGAGTGGAGGCTGTCGGCTATCGAGTAGCCCGCGGTGGCGGTTATCGTACCGACCGTGCCGACCGTGTCTACGGATATCCGGTCTTCGGCCAACGCCAGTTGGACGGCAAAGCACAAAATAATCTAAAAACCAAAAAACATATTATTTAAAAAGTGCCATCGTGTCTAATATCCGTTTCTCTGTAAAAACCCGTTCATATCTGCCACCATATTATTATGCTGTTATAATTAAATACGGTTATAAAATAATTTAAAAATAGATTATTTTCGTTATGCAATTATTAATTGTAAGTGTCTACGTGGAAAGTGAACTGCTGAAACATGTTTTGACGGCAGCTTTAGTTTGTTCTTTAATACTCATTCATGTTACTTGTTCACGCACCAATTATCTTATAAGAAATATAATTTTCTAGTCGATTAATCAAGTTATCATTCTATATCCTACTGTATGCGAGGGTCTGACTTCCTCGTCAACTGTAATACTCCAAATAATTTAGAGTAAACAAACATGATGGGTATTATCGCGTGGTATATGATGACAGACGGCAATAAAAAAAGTATTATCGTTGTAAAAAATTACCAAGCAGTAGAATTTGGCCATTGCGCCGTCGTCGTAGTTGTACGGTGGTGTGTGTATTCTTCGACTAAGCGTCAACCGAAAAATGGTTAAAAGCACAATATATGTATTGTAATAATATGAACTATGTCCGCGCACAAACACTATGTCATGGTACCTCAACAGTGAGTCGGTATGAAAACGAAACTAAATCGAAACGGTCGTGTTGGTGCGGATTGGCGAGCGGGTTCGTGTCGGAAAATCGCGATGGAACGACTGAAGAATGTTTCGGCCGACGGTTTGGTCAGCTCCATCCGAAACACGGCGGGGCAGTTCCGCATCAAGAAAGCGGAATAATTGCGCGAAGACGATGTGGTGGTGGACAGACAGAAAGTGGAAAACTCATCTCACAATGCGATAATGTAAAGCGAACACACATTTGGTAGCCGGTTGAATTAAAACAAATATCGAGTAAAAGCTAATTAAACGATAAAGGAAAGTAAAAAAAAAAATTATTTTAAAAAACAATCCACAGGCGCCGCCTCCTGCAAAGATCTTGATGACCAAACCCATTGTTGTGGGGAACTATATGATAATATTATTATTATTATTTATGTGCGCGGTTTTGCCTTCCTGACCGTTTCTAATTGGCCCGCGAAGCGCAAATGCAACGGTAATAGTACAACATAGATAACACAATCGTCGACAACTGCACAATATTAATATTATGATCGGTTAGTAATAATTATATTTTGTAGTCTTCTTGCAGTTTTAGATGTCCACGGCAGCGGGTCTGGCTGAAAAATTAAAAAACCTCTTTATCATAATAAATATGTTATTTTAATGGCCTAATCAAAAAGCAGTAAACCCGCGATAAAATCTTGTCTTGACGGTTTTAATTACTGTCAGAAAAAATATTATAACAGGTCGAACAATATTTAATCAATTAACAGATATACCAGTTTCCATCAATATCGCCATAATAATAATAATTTTAGTAACTAAGAAAGTCACCAGTGTCTATTTTACTACATCAGAAGTGCGCTGCCCGGGTTTGGAGTTGACGTTAAATTTGAAAGTAATAAATCACTCTCATGCAAACACACCGAAACAAATCTGCAGATATGGTTAAAGCGGTAAAAAAAATACACCTGGTAATATTTAACGTAATAAGTTTTTGATCGTTATTTTTTTAATTACCTACACACATATTTTGATATGGCCAAACAAGAATAGTCCATTATATTATGGCATAATGTGTAGAGCTACAGCTAACGAATCGACTATACAGAATGTATCTTACTTTTTAAATTTATCCTACATTTGTAAGTGGTAGACCGGTTAATTGATGGCTGAGCATCTGGCTCATAATATTGTCTTTATTTATAAGCCGAATTCAATATTATGGTTATGAAGAAGCATCAAGGTTGATGCGAGGGTGAGATCTTAGAAATCTATAAAGTACAAATAAATACTCTCCTTTGGAAAGTTTTGCATCTCACACGGTCGGGACGGCCACAGACCTATCCAAATTATTATAAGACAAAAAAATCAGCAAATCTGTAAAAATCACTATTAGGACAACACATTATTGTTACTGTGTTAATTTTATGTGTTGTTAGTTTTGGTATTCCTACCTTCAGTCTAACTTTTGAGACCTTAAGTTCAAAAACATACTTGAAAAGACAACAAGGTACAAGACTTACCAACCCAAAAATGTTAACGTTACTTGGTTTTCGACTGCGAATCAGTGACGCTACGGCGAATTTAGTAGATTTAGCGTGTACTACTTAAGATTTTTATTTTAATTAATTAGTTATTTTTTTTTTTTAACGAAGTCAATTAACGATTATTAATGCTACTAATACAATTCGTGGGGAAGCTAAAAACAAATAATACATATTTAGTTAATAGTAAGCAATATTGCAGTATCAGCTGTATTAATTCATTTAAACTGAAGAAAAACAGCAAAGCAGATACTGAATGGACCGATATCAATTAACAACAGTGAGCACACATGTTAGAAAGTGAAAAATCATAATGCTATAATAATTGATACGGCGTGGTTTTCCGTTTTGGTTTTGCGACTATATCCAGTAGTCAGTACTTTCTTTATTTAAAGACGATTATTAATTGTACAATTTACAATGTAGATTACATACATGTACAATAAGTATATCTGATCTCGTGAACAAAGCAAATGACAGAGATCAGGTGTGAAAAAATAGGTGCTCAGTAGGTCACCTGAACATGGAATGTACTTAAATTAAGATTGTGAGTTATTACAACTGAACGCTGAGTATATCTCTGGGTCAAAAGCGGTTCGGGCGCCTGCATGTGTTGTCAGTAAGTGTTTTGGAATGTAGCTGAGCGATGAGACTATTAGGATGATCTTGCATTTTGATATAATAATCTTGGGTAAAACATAGAAGCGTTTTTTAGTCAGTACTTAATATTTATTTAAGGTTTATTTTTTATGAAATTCAAGTATAGATATAAATTTAAAGTTCACAGTAGTCCTTGTTTGGGCAGATTGCAATAATCACCTTTTTATAAATATTTTGTTTGCGATGTTGATGACCAAAGTAAAATTTGTCATTAATATAAAATTATAAGTTTTAAAAAATATTGTTCACTTCATACGTACAATAAAAAACTAATATAAGCATCGGTTATTCGGTTGTTTTCTCCTGAATAGTTTTAATCCTTTACCGCAGTTACGGTTCAATTATAATTTATCACACATATCCTCGTTTTCTCATCAAAGACAACAATCTAATATTAAATCGAGAAAGGTTATTGTAGCCTAGCAGCCCCCTTCTGCTGATCCGAGTCCATCTTTGTGGCTGGAAATTTATAGTAGTACGTCAAATCGTTTCTCCAACTAATCGTATAAGAACGTTTGTTCTTATCTGTTTGTTAAAACTATACAATTAAAATAATACAATTTTAAACTATACGATTAATGTCTATATTAGTCATGTTTTTAGTGTCGAAGTTTGTAACTACACAGCCAAACTTTCAGTTTCCCGACTTTGTGTTTCATGTTTAGCGTTATGTTAATTTAATTTTAACAGACGCTCGTTAGCGGACGTTGTAATTAATGATCTCTCGAGCGTCAAATCGTAAACGGCTGAAGCAACTCGTGTTTTATTATGTATTAAAGGTATAATAGAGTAGGCACAGTACAGCTGTAGTAATCAGGTCAACTGCGAAATAACATACACTCATTATGTGTTTAATACATTTTATTAGTTTGCAATACTCGAAGTATGGAACATACAATAATATAATAACACGTGTATGCTGCTGATGTACTATATCATAAATGGTTATAATGATAATATACGGTAGACGAAAAACGGAATAATGTGCCACACGCGTCTTAGAGCTAAGAAAATGTATAATATAATATTTTTAACATTTTTAACTTTCGCTGAAATTTTATATTATGTTATTAACTGGCCGTCGTTATTATTACTATTATTCTATATTTTTCTGCGCGCTGAATGAGGAATCATTAAAAACGTCTGAATTTACACAAACTATTGTATAATAAAATAATATATGAGAACAATCCGGCGGGGAAAGTGTACTGTGTTTCATATATTAGGTATACGACTGATGGACTCCAATAGATATTTTGTCATGTCCGAGTGTAACCGTCATCCGTTACTTTTTTTTTTATTTCTTTTTCTTATACTTATCGTTTATTAACTTGTTGCACAATGCACACCGTACACGGCCCGAGGAAAAAAACGTAATCTGGTCTGTTATTGGCGACAAATGTTATAATTTTTCATTTTTTAGAGTACATATTACGCGCGTGGCCCACAAGTCTGATAACAACGGCTGTGTTTTCAGTTAAATTAAAAAATTTCCTCACGCCGGTTATTTAACCGCGCCCGTTGCTTGCACGTGGTTGAATTTTAATTTACTATAGGCCACAATGATATGAGAACGTTGAATAATAATATCATACACAATTTGTTCTTCTTTCCTAATTCCTATTGATTGATAATTACCAATATTATTTTATTTTTCATCAAAGCCGTTTGTGTAATTATGTTGAAAATATAAAAGAAGACAGAATAATACATGCCAACTGTACTCTGAATGTGAAAGTTATTTTGCTTTAAAAAAATCAATAACGTTAATCATTAATACAAAACCGTAACACAAGTGTTTACAGTACATTTTCAATCGTAACATTATCATACTAAAAAATATTGACCGGTTTCGCGAACTTTCGGCCACCGCAATAGAAATTTGTTTTTATTTGTATGCATATTTTATTAGTTTTAAAATGTGTAAATTATATAAAACTTATTTTTTTCACAGTTTTAATACACGAATCGTTTTTCACATATTATTTGAACGCTAAATACCGTATGCAAATTATTGATAATTATAACATATTAATTTTTTATCTTGTTTAAAATTCATAGTCAAGTGTCAAATCCAATTAGTACATGACCGATTTATATTTAAATATTTAAAATCAAGACTGAAAAACGAAAAAAAAGAAAAAATATATTAATACTTATTAATGTATTGTGGTTTGTAAATGTATTATATTTTTATGTACATTTGCTTAATCGAACAATACAAATAACATCTCATGCGACTTATTGTTGAATGCAAATGAATGTCGCATTGGAAAACGCGTCACGAGATGTGTTTGAATCATAAAAGAAAACGGACGTGGAGCTAGAAATTACAAATGGGTGATGCTAATCTGTCCAAGGATAGTGAAAAAAATAATTTCCTATCATCATACACATACACGATTATGTTAGTTAAGTAAATCAAATGTTTATCAACATAAAACATTTTCTTAAAACTTTAAACGTATACTTTATTTGGCGTTAAAAAATAATATAATTTATGTGTTTTAAAGACAGACGTAGTAATACGTTTTATATCGAAATAAAACGACTTTCTAATGATATGTTGACGCAATTCATTCTGTCATATTCCAGAAGTAATATAAATGATTGCCCAATATAAATAAACAGCTAATACAGCATTAAAAGTAAACAACTCATAAGGCATTTGTCTAACTCAGAGCTCTATGAAAAATCTATAAAGAGTACTTATACACAAAACAAATGACAATTTAGTAAAAATGGAATACTATTTCAAAACTAAATAAATCTTTTTTAAACATTTTGAAAAATATGACTGATATAATATATATATAGTATGTACTCTTCATATACTAATATTTAAACAATTTGTATTGTATATTAAGACATGTATAAGCAATCAATAACATTTATTTTGTAATCAATTGAGATTTTTGTTATTTGTTATTATTGCTTTTTAAGTTTCCACTTACTTTCACTGGATGATATATTGCGTAAGAAGTGCGATTTATTTATAAATTTAATCCCGTTTTCGTATACTTGAAAAAACATCCTTACATATCATACTTTCCCGAAACATCTAAATAAGCAATCTAATTAAAATAACTTTCATCAAAATACACATTTCTTAGAGGTAATCAACATTATAAGGCGTCGGCTTGTTGGAACGAGCAATGATCGTTTAAAATAAAATCGTTTTAAATAAAAATGTTTCAAATTTTATTCAAATTGACCTAAAACTAATCACAATATTATATATTACAATATATAAGTAGAAGATACAAAATAGACAACAAATAAACAATAATAATAATAATAATAAGTGTTTTGTACAATGCGCGTTTTTCGTGCTAAACCATTAGGAATAGACTGCGAAAATAAATAAATGGATTCGCAACAAAAAAAAAAACGCGCTAGAATCACACAATTATATGATGGCAGCAATCACATTATGTTATGGCACCGTAGGAGTCATTTAAAATCTCAGAGTGCTGTAAGCTCCGGTGTTGGAAGATTGAGACTGAGGCGGCGAAGACTCGAATTTGTAAGCGAAATCGGATCCCTTGGTCGGCGATGCAGTGGTGGATTTGATTCCGGACGAGAACTGGCTTTTCACCGACGGTTGAACGCGGGTCTGCTCGACCGGTACGGCGCTGAACGTTTGTTGTTGTGGGATGGCGCTGAACGTTTGTTGTTGTGGGACGGCGCTAAACGTTTGTTGTTGTGGGACCGCGCTGTACGTTTGCTGTTGTGGGACGTTGAAGTAGAACTGCGGCTGTTGGAATTGCTGCGGGATGGCGGCGTACTGGAATTGCGGTTGAGCGGCGGCGGCGGTCGGGGCTGACGTCTTGAATTGGGCGGTGGACGGGTGACGGGTAACGTAGGCGAATTCAGCGGGGTTGACGGCCGGCTGCGGGACGTATTGGAAGGCCGGGGCCGGGGCGGCTTCGACGTATTGTACTTGTTTGTATCCGGCCAAAGACGGAGCGGCGGCGGCGGCGGGCGCGCCCTGAGTGGAAGCGAACTGTTGTTTGAACTCGACCGGTCCTTGGTTGCTGGTAGGTGAGGCGGCGGAAGTGGACTGGGAAGACGCCGCTGGAGAACCGTTTTGCGACTTGGTTACGTACTGAGGGACGGCGGACGGTTGAGCGGTTTGCACATAGTATGGCTGGTAGGCTTGGTTGTACGCAGTCGGGTTGATGAACATGTACTGCACGCCAGAGTAGTCGAACGGTGCCGGGTATTGTTGAGCCAAGTACTGTTGTTGTTGCCCTTGGTACGGTTGGACGAAGTACTGTTGTTGTGGGTACGCCAACACTTGGCCGGCGGCCGGCTGTTGTTGGGCTTGCAACGGGGACGCAGCCGGCGACGGGCCGGCGGATTTGATAGAGGCTTGTGATGGTTTCGATGAGTCACGTTCGATGTCCTCCAGACGGGTTTGAGGCACAACGGCCGGACCGGACTGGAACGAAGACTGCGACACAGCCTGCAGTGATTGGTATTGGGAAGGCGTGTTGGACGCAGCCTGGCACATGCACATACCGGCCAAAGCGAATACCAAACCGGTAGAGAACATCTATAGAAAAAATAAATTTGTATCAATAAAATGAGTTTCATTAGTCTCTAACGGTACGTTTAAAACGATAAAAATGTTTTTTAATCCTTACCTTGTACGCCATGTTTTCTGTGTAGTTTTTTTGCGAGTTTATGTGTGTGTGTGTGTGTGTTCACTGAAGCTCGAACGGAAGCGACTGATGCGTTTGCCGGGATCTGTTAGCCGTTATATACACTTGCGTCCCGACAACTTCGGCGTCACTATCAACGGTCGTTCCGATAGGATTAGCCGTACGGATATCGGCGTTAGGCGGTTACGATTTGGTGGGACGCGAAAGACATCAAACCAGTTGACGCGTATTCGGCTGTCCTCCTGTGGGGACACCGGCGATGGGCGACGTAACGCGTTTCCGGAGTTGTTTTCGTGCGATTAAGCTGCGCCGCGCACTCGGCTTATGATCTCATCGACAAGCGGTCGATCTAGTTTCACTTTCTTCTCGACACACACTTCATAGGTACTAAGAAGTATATTGTCCCCTATAATATTGGCCGCCGCTTTTAAAGGTGAACCGCGCGATGCGAAGACTTAAACGACCACGCCACGTGCATGACTTGACTCGCACGAGAGCGGCTTCATTATCAGTAGCCCGTCGACAGCTTAGTTTTAGACAACGGTTTTTGAGGTGCCTCCACATTTCTATCGAAAACCACTCGTACAAATTCCAACACTGATTTGTTCAAGGAACGAATCTACAAAGCCCCATTTTTTTCCTTTTAATTTTTCAATACCAGAAATGTGAAAAAAATGGCTAGAATGTATACATATTCAAATGAAAAATATATTATTTTAACGAAAAAATGAATTATAAAACGCGTCTCGATGGACCCTCTGTACAGTCAAACCTATTTTTTCTGAATCAAAATCAAAAGCGGTACGTCAGAAATAATACTATTCGTCTGTTAAACGTTTATTTTAGATAAATTGTAAAATAGATACAATTTCAATAAAAATAAATAAATAATTTTTTTTTTTTGTTGCGAATATTGGTTTTAAATAAAAACGCATTGCTTGCCAATATTAATGTTAATTACTTTTTATACATAGCTCACCCGCATGCGATTAAAATATTGATTTTATTGATTTAAACATTAATTCTGACGCACATGTTAGTTTCTACGTAGTTAGGACACAACAGTCGCGAACACCCTGTAAATACTAAATACATCCAGTGTTGAGGAGTAGTAAGAAATCGTTATATTGTGCACAGATAATAACATTATATTTGATTGGATTAACAAGTTAGAATGTTCAAAGTTACTTTTTCGATAACGTTTATTTGCAAATGCTGAAATTATTCTGAAATGTGATTAAGTATACATTTGTTTTGTAGTAAACATTTTGATTGGTCGATAACTAGTTTTAGATCACTATTTTTGCTAACCTCACCTAACTTAGTAAAATTCGTTTTAACATTCCCGGGGTAAAACAAATGATAACGTTTTTCGTTATAACGTCCCGGAAGAAATAAACTAAAAACGTTATTCGGTATATCGTTCTCGGAGCAAATAAAGTTATAACGTTATTCATTATAACGTTCTCGGACCAAAAAAAATGTGAAACGTTATTCATTAAAACGTTCACCAAACATATCCTAATATTATGTTATGTTCTGTGAATTTTATTTTGGTGAACGAAATAATTGAGTTTAGAACGTTATATTTCGTTACGTTACGGAACCCTGTATATTTATTTTTATTCTAAAAACATTTTTTTACATTTTCCCTTAACTATGTTAGTTTTTTTGAAATCAATTAAGCTTTAATTACCTAGATAAAAAGAGGAACTTGCCCGCTTTGCTTCATTGTGTTTTTATTTGATGGTTAACGTTTTAATTTTTATAGCTTCAAGCGTTTATCAACTGCTAAAAAAGTAACTAAAAACAGTGATTTGTATCAATTAATTAATTGTTACTATTTATGTAATAGTTTTTTTTCAAAAAGCAACTTTCCTGACATTATTATGTACTATACCCGAGCTTTGTTTTCACCACAATAACAGCTCAAACGATAACCATTGCACCTAATCAACACTATAACTTCGTATAAATTGTTTATAGCTAATAGAGACATATTTCCATAGACATGTTACCAAGATTATTAAAATTAATATGGGATGATAGCCCACTAAATTCATATACATAATATAACAACATAAAATATGTGTCGAAAGTCCATTCATCTTGAGATTTATACAAGTAGTCTCAAAATATTTAATAAAATAGCAAACATTACCATTAGCCATTTATTGCAAGCGACCTGTTTCAATAGTTTTCAGTTGAAAAAAAAAACAATTATTTTTTTTAATTCTCTATTTTACGGTTTACCTGCTCTTACCGAACGTTGGAATAAATAAATAAACAAATACCATTTCGAGTGTCATCTTATTTTATATGAGAAAATGCAAAAAAAAATAAACATGTAATCATTTTTTTTATTTCTCAACCAATATTCCCACGAGTAAAACATAAAATCCTAAATTTAAAAAACCAAAGTAAGGGTTTTTCAGGAAAAGCTAATTCAATATAATTGTTTTCGATAGTATGACGTTGTACAGTTTTTCTAGACAAATGTACACCTTGTATTGTGTATTTTTTTAATAAAATCAAGAAACTCATTGCAGCTCTTAAATAACATTTTTCTTTTAGCTTCGATGCGATATTTTAGTGTTTATTTCGTGTGGTCATTCTTTACTTACATAATATTATGATGACATAATTACTGTACGTTGTTATAATGAAAGAACTGTTGTTTTAAGTGAAGTTATGTGTATGTTATGCTTTTGTTTGTGGACTATATAATTATTAACACCAACAAACAAGGCGTCCGCGGTCCAGTGTAATTTTAGCACACTGTTAAGTAAGTACACATGACTTGGGCGCATGAAACTTTATTTACACTATGGCACCTTCATTGTAAGTGTTATTGTCGTCTCAGCTGCTAGCCATTGTAATAAGCGTTAAACGAACTATGATTTAGTAGCTTACATGGTACTCGGTATAATATTGGTTTTGTATAGTTTAAATTCTCTGTAAGGTCGTTGACAGTTGTGGATGGAAACCGGAAATTTTTTCGAAAACCCACTGATTAATATACATTTTTTTACTATATTGTGTTACGTCAAGTCCGATTTCACCGTTCAACATTTTGAACGAGTCCGTTGTTTTACGACCTATTCGCTATTAACGTGTTATCTTCACATTCCAAAAACGTTTAACGGGTATTATAGTTATTGTAATATAATATTATATTACATGTAGGTGTGTATTTGATCGGTTGTTTCGTAATAAAGTTGATGTGTTTTATTTAATGTCTACGTTCGAATTTCGATTTTCCTGAAATTGTTTACAGTGAACCTGTTGTTATTATAATATCATGATCTTGAACCACTTTAGCATTTCAATCGCAAACCAGTCAAATATCGACGTGCCGACACTTTAAACCAACCCTTAACAATATATCTGTATGATAGGTATTTTAAATTGGGTACTGTTAAATCTGGACTACTTCAACATGGGAGCAACTGTTATGAGATATTGAGTCAATATGTGTGAATTTCGGCCTTGAGAAACAACCCGCCCTCGTGGGCTTTACTTAGAAAAAACTCAGATATTTGGGACTTAAAATATTTTTTATGTTATTCTTGAGATCTATTTTGCTACAGGCTTTTACCTCTGAACTTGGCGTCGGCTGGGCTGCCAACGGCTGGGAGCTATTTGCTTTTGGAGAACCTAAACTTCATAGGCAGTCAAGACGTGTCAACGTGTATTATCTTAAATATTTATTGTAAACAGCCAAATAAATTCAAAAGTCCTTATCCGTTTCGCATATTTAAACGTGCTATAAAATGTTAACATTGAACGGGAAACGTACAGTAACAATATTATTATTACTATTGTGGCCGATGAAGTATTTTAATACTGGATTTCATTCACACCTGTAGTTTGAAAAAAGGAGAAAAGCGGACGACTCCCACGTGCGGTTTACATTATTAGTCAGATTACTCGTCGTCGTAGCTGTAGCAGAGACGAGACGAACAAAATGTGTTCCCTAAAACCGTTTCCCATAATTTTATTTTCGTGCACCTGTTATTATTGTACATTATAAATAGCCTATACACTAATGTGAACATAAATGTGGACGGACAACAAAACGGTTCGGTTTGTCATTATGGAAATCGTTATGCCGGCAAATCTGCTTTCTCTATGCGAGCATCTTCGTATAATCAACTCGCATCGAAACTGGTGTAAAGGCGGCTGAAATAAGAAATACTATTGTGTAATCCAACGGAGGTGACGCCAAATTCGTTGGGCCCGAGCAAAACCGCTTTGTCGATTCATAAAAATATAATAAAAACCTATTATTTTATATAATGTTTGGTCTGTGTGTTTGTAAGTATTCGCATTGTATGTAATAATTATAACTAGTTATTTTCCCTGTTACCGTGGCAATAAAGTCGAGAAATATTATTTATAATAAAGTACCAATCTATACATTTTTTGTTTTTGTCGTTTTCCAGTTGCTCATATAATGTTGTAAAGCCAATAAAACGTGCATCGCCTTAATCGAGTGGAACGCATAGTGATATTTACCTCAACGACCGACACTTAAATCGCCTATTGTATAATGCACCCTCTAACAACTATGGGACATAAAAGGATCTTGTATCACGCAGTTTCTAACTTCTTACACCCAAAACGTTTAACTTTTACCAGGAGTACAGTTAAACAATTTTTATTTAAAAACACATAACAATCACGAAACAATTATTTTTAAAAAGGTTCGCCCGCTAATAGATTCCCTAATGGATTTTCATTAGATAAACATATTAATTCATATTACGTTTATGTGTGTTTGCATACAAGACAGAAAATCATAGAATTAATATCTTCAATCTGATAAGTCACAAAGTCATTAGTATTAGCATTGAGTGTATACAGTATATACTCAATGGTCTAGTCGTAATTGGCCACTTCTGTGTTAAACTAATTAATATAGACCACATGAAGTGTTTTCGTTTTTACTTTGTACTTACCCATTATTAGCTTTTAATATAATTTATGGTTATAAAATTCACTTTCATTGTAGTAAAATAATTACTATATTATATTATACGTAGTACAACAAATTTGACACGGTTATACCTGGTACTTTAGTACCGGAAAGTGAAGTTAATGTTGCTTGTACACTGTAATTATGAATTTTAATTTTAAAAAAACCTACATTTATGTAATGGGTATATATTTTTTTTCAAAGAATTCACAGACAGTTTAGTAACGATTGAAACATACAGTGGGTCGGATTTCAGTTTGAGAAACATATACTAATTAATGATATATTATTTTCGTGATAAAATCATGAACAGAGGAAAAGTCAAAGTTGAACGGAAAAGCTTACAATTATTGTTGTTATTAAATGATGACGAACGAATTTCCCTTTTAAAAATACCGTAATATCAATTTCAATATTAAAAAAAAAAATACCCTCAAATTATATAATTGTTGCGGTTTTCATAGCAATGACTAATGAATTCATTATGTAGCTTCTGGCGAGATTCGTCCGTGCGTAAACAACTCAATTTGAACGTGAAAAGAGAAGCAGCGGTAAAATCGTACACAATTTTTTTTTAATACGAATGTGCAGATCATTTGCATGCGTTCTATGAAATCCTAAAATAGAAAACTAATCTAAAACAATCAATTTTATAAATCAAATATACATTTACACATTTTTTAGTATTGTTTTTACAATAATGTAGATTTTATTTAGTAATTTTTTTTTATGTCTCTGGACCACAATACCACTGAACCGACTTATTCATATAGTCAGTCTACAAATTAGAGATCGTACTTAAAAGGTACTCTACTGGGACAAAAATTTAAAAAGTTCACAATCCAGAAAAACACCCAAACTATTTATATACTTTTTCCTAGAAAGGGTGGAACTGTTTTCTTTATTTCACTTTTTCGATCGTAGTTTCGGGACGTAAGGTCTGCAAGTATGATTGACCATGTAGATCTAGAGTAGGGCTGTAAAAAATATGGAATATTCTCAAAAATCCGTAGTAAAATTAAGTTAAATTTTTAAGGAGTACCTAAAAATAGGAACATCATACTCGTGTCATATAAAATTTCCCAGGTTAGCGATTATTTGATGGGGGGGGGGGGGAAGGATTCTATGTGTCAATGAATCACTGGACAGGTATATATACTTTCATTATAATGTTGAATATCAAGACAGACGGTCAACAACACTAAAAATACAATTTTAATCTCAGTATTGACTTAACAATGATTTTATCGATATTAAGCTGTTGTACCAGGTGTGTCAGATTGATCTACAGAGTCGCATTGAAATGTTATTATATTTTCTCCTATAGTCCTGTGATTATACCGACCTTACTGTGCTTCGTCTTCAGCGTTTTTATTAGTTTTATTAAAAAATTAGATGTAAACCAAGTCCGGCCGCAATGTTCGTTTATGTATTCATATAATATAGCGATCGGTTTTGGTATTTTACGTGTAACTCAAGAGCAGATATAATTATCGGTCATACAAAGCCATATTCTCTGTATCGTTACGGTATATTTTAATTGTGAGAATAGACCGAAAATGAAACGAATAAAATATCAAATATGCCAATATTCGCGGTTCACTTATTGCGATTAATATATGTAAACAATGTGACATTCTGATAACAATAATAATATGTTTTTTTTAAAACGAATTTTCAGCATCAATGCGCAGTTGAGAAGATTGGTATTTTTTTTCCAATTTATTTTTATCGAATTGTTCACTCGATACGCCTTTGGTGCAAAAATCTAAATTGGCCGTTTCGCGGAAATTTCGACGGACAACAACACTTTCGGATAAAAAAGAATTTAACAAAAAATATCGTACTGTCTTGTGACGTAACACCGCTGGTGGGAACCCGACCGAATGTGTGTATGTGTGTGTGTGTGTGTGTGCTTTTCATGCAGAGATCACCACAGGAAGTCGAAAAACTGGTCTGGGTCGTCTGTGTCTTATTGTCGTATCCCGTATGTCACCGAGTTTGAGTGAAAGTGGTTTTCCGACAGAATCCAGTCTGCGCACTTGCCCGCGTTCAGATTTCAGTCGGGTTTTATTTTTTTCGCATTTATATTATTATTATTATTATCATTATACACACGCTATATAATTTCACCCGACCGTCACCGTCAAGGACGCGTAAGTACATGTATGTACACATGCACAAGATTTTTTTTTTAGCGAGACCCCTACCCGTACTAGATGCACCGGCAGTGTGTGTATATGTAGAAATTCCGTTTGACATTTAATAACGCGAATAATAGACGTTTATTATTTTAAACCGTTAGAAAGTGTTTGCGATGATGTTCCCGATCGATTTCAAACCAGCTACAATGTTATTATCATCAATCAAATCGATCATATTATAGCTAATCGGTATGTGTAATCCGGTGTCGATCGCCAAATTTTCGTAGGACACAGAGGATAATTTTATGCTGTCCTTGATAGATCGAAAATAATTTTTTTCCCTGGTAAATCTTTACAGTTTAGGTTTTTTTTAGTAATTTTCAATAAATGATTAAAAATTAGCGGATTCAGCAATCAAAAATTTCGTAACGCTTAAGCACAGATAATGTTTTCCTCTAGTTACTGCGAAAAGCTGGAGATTTTAGATTAATTCCAAGACTCTTTTGGGTTTTGATTAGCGCAAATCTATATTGATGGAAATTAAATTTTGTCCATAGAAATGACTGTGCATTACTGTAGTAATAAATATGCACTATAATTTAAGCTTTAAATTAAGATTTTGTGAAAAATTGCCTATACTCCATTTCTTTATAAGCGGGTGGGTAGCGTCCTCCGAAGTAGTAGTCACAACAATATACATATTATTTCTGACACTGTAAAAAAGAAATCCAAAACTACAAGATAATTCAAATCAAAGATTTTTGCACAGCATCGTAATTAAAATTTAAAAGAAATGTTTATATTAAAACTAAATCATTTGGTACCATAATACGAACTTAAAACAAAGAGCAAGTAAGAAGTGTTTTTAACTTATAATAGCTGTAGTAAGACGAGATAATAGTACAAATTAAAAGTGAAAAATTAAAAAATGTTAATAAATAAAGTATAAGCTAACAATGCTAATCTGGAACGTTATTTTTCTTAAAGCTAATCACAGTTTCATATCAAAAAACTATAGTTTCATATCATTAAAATTATAGTAATTATTTTAGTGCCTTGTATACAACCACTAAACTTTCTTGGTTTTATTAGCCAGTTATTTTTGTCTGTGCAAGTTCTTAACTATATAATGATCATTTAGTCATAGTTTTACCATATTAGGGTATTTTGTTAAATACGTTTTTGATCTAGTCACATTTGCCATTATTTCCATATTTTCAGAGAATAATATCTATAATGAATATTGAATTAAATATGATTGACTAAGGCGTTGATATGCTCTATAAATATTGTTTAAGTAAGATAAGTTGTCTACCCAGCTCCTTAGTTTTCGTTTATTGTATTGTGCAATTGTATTCATGTTTATTGCAAGTATAAACATGAATTTAAAAACCTAAAAGTCTGATATTGATCATTTTCTAGGATTCTATATAATTGTTATATTTACTCTGCTAAATCGTTCTTGTTCTCTATTTTTCATTTTATTGATATTTTCATATCTATACAACTTTTAAACCGTTGGATCGATGTATTCATGATTATTTATATTTTTCTTTCTAAAAGACTACTTTGTAAGGCCAATAATGGAAATATTTTTTACTTTGCATGTGCATTACAGTTAAATATTTACCACATATCAAATGAAGTAGCAAAAAACTATTAGGATAGGCGGACGATAAATTCTAACAGTATCCGCCCAAGTTACGAGAACGTATAAGTGTAATAAGTTGCTGATGGTTTTTTAAATTATTAGACGGGTTTAGTTATTGCCTGTTAATCGTCGTCAGCTTCTATTTAATTATAAAAACAGACACCTCAATAATTTTAAGTCATTACAATTTAATATCGATGAAAACAGCAAAATAATAACTCATTGAAAAACAAATAACTTCCATTGGTAGATACAATATTGTTTTACACTCAGCATTGATGAAAGAATAAAAAAATAAATCATTGTAAAACATTTAACTTATATTAGTACACGTATTCCAAATCTATAATCCTGACAATAAACCAAAATATGTATAAAAATTATGTTTTTTTAACAAATAAGGTATTACTAAATGTTTGATGTATTGGGGGAAATATCCGTATCTAAAATCACAGGGCACTTTAAAAAAATGTTATTCGGCAGGTTAGGTTAGGTTAGGTTAGGTTCTTTACTAGAAGGAGAGTTTTTTGTACAAAATGTGGCTTAGTTTTCAATGTCTTTATAAATACCTACAGTATAGTACACATATTAGTATAGAATAAATACAGTAGTCGTCTACAAATGTAAAGTCTGTACGTATTTCTTAGATTCATAGGTACATTAGAGCTTGCAGAGGTAAAACAAACTTATTGCAATACGGTGATATGTGTTTGTTATTTATTTTCAATTCATATGTGAAAATTAAAAAGTATGGATGGTATTTTTAAATTGATTTAACCGTAAGTACACTTTGTTACTTTGCGTCTGTATATACTTTTTAAAAAAAAATGAATACGCTAAAAAATAGTCACGACGAAACGTTTAGAGAATTGTTATTCTAAAGGTATTTATTATATATTAATAACATAGTACTGTTAGACATGTAAAACCAATAGTACTGTATTTTTAGAATTTTCTATGTTTGCGCAGTTACTGTAGTGAGAATGTATTTGACATAAGTTAAAAAAACATAATTTTAGAAAAATGTACAACAAAACTGATAGTATAAGAATTATTACGTGTTATATTTAATCTTGATTTACCTTTTATACCATTTTCAGTACGAACAACATTTAATACAAAAATGAACATAAAGTATTTTATTTTATTTTTTGTAACATATTTTATTTTAGCGGTAAATTCTATCGATGATGAGGTAAGTTTTTTCTACAATAACTTATACATAATATTTATAAATCATTATTATTACAAAAGGTTTAAATTTTCTTTACTGGCCAACTTTTTTTTGATTTTTTTTTTGTCGATAGTATTTTAATGCTGATATGAATCTGCAAAAAAAAACTGGTCTCTCGCACTTGGTTGGGGAATAATAGACATTTAAAGATCGCGCAATTTAAAATTGATAGCTTATGATATTTATACGTAAAGAATAACATTGTGATATCCTTAATGTATTAATAACGGTAACAAGATGTAACAGAATTAATGTAGAGAATAAAATGGTACTAAAGATGACGGATGACTACATTTAAAAAAAAAAGGCGCCCGGTAAAGTAAATTTGTTTTATATATTAAAAGTAACTCTTTAATTTTATAATTTATCAACAAAATAAAAAATTGTATATAAAAGTTGGGTATAAAAGTTGGCTATAAAAGTTTCTGAACTATTTGACTGGTCGTTAGCGAATTTTGATTAAATACTTTTAGAGACATAAGCTTCAAGGGAATAATGTAGTGTTGCGCACAAAAAAAAAATAGTCCTGGTTGCACCACCACTCCTTATTTTTTTTTAGCTACAAATTCAAATTCAAACTATTCTTAAATTGTAAAATTTATTAATAATTGTCTATCAGTCTAAATGTTCAGAAACATATACACATAGTTTTGTTAAATTTGTTTTTTTCTTCAACTTATCAAAAAACGAAAATAGTGTTGCAAAAATAAAACCAGATACATGATACATTTGCATGATTTTTAAACAAATATATTTTAATATATACATCACTGAGGTATTCATTTAACCCTGCATCAGTCACGTGGTTTAATATCACACGAGTAGTCGCGCGTCTACATATGTAGAACAATTACAATTTTGCTAATTAAAATGTATTATTGCAACATTAATTAATGATTTGACTACATTATTTAATTCTCATATTTATTGTATATTTTGTATCATATTTTTACATTATTAATTAATTTAATACACATAAAAAGAAACTGTAACAAGGAGAATAAATAAATCAATATTATTAAAAAATATATATTTATATGAATATATATATATATATATATATATATATATATATATATATAATGTATAACATCAATTTATAAAATTTCAAATATACCCATAAACGTACAATGTAAAAAAATTATGTACCTGAGTCGTCGCGTAATCTACAACTCTATAACATACAATTTTATCGCTCAATATACAGAATAACACTAAAAAATAAAGTCCGAAATCATAACAGATATCAACTATACAATATCACTTAAAGGTAATATAATTATCATTGTGATGAAGAAAACCTAAAACGATTTAAAATGAAATTTATTATCGGTGTACTACAATAGTAGAGCTCGCGACTGATGCAGGGTTAAATTAAAATCGTTTGTAATATTTTGTATAAGTATTAATATTAAGTATATTTTTTAGTAAAAAATATGCTTATCTTACTGTATTATTTTTTTACTAATGTTAGGAAATATCTCATCTATGGAACGCAATAAAAGATGGTAAAAACGACTATATAATGTGGCACGACTTCATCGTGTATTATGGCGAGGAAGAAAATGAATTTCGTGTTCTAACAGAAAGATTCGGAACCAAATGTACGAATGATAAAGGTAATCGTGATACAGTTTTTTAATACTTGACAATTTTAAAAGTGATTCTATACGTAAACTATTAACTAAAACACTAAGATACAATTAGTTAGTTTTATTTGTATTATATTATAATAACACCTATGTTTCAAGATAGTTAGTAAAAATATATACTTATAAACTCTATACGTTTTTTTTTTGTATTATAATTAACGATCCAACAACGTCGGTTATTAGCCTGATTGTATTGTAAAACAAAATGAAATATTTACACAACTTGCAATTACTGCCACTTGAGTAGTTTAGTTGGTCTGTAAACGTTTAGGAATACTTACACATTCTATCTTCAGGTCTGTGGTTCGATAATGCTCGTACCGTAGTTTCCTGTCAACTGCAATAACCACCAAGTATTCCAAACGTTGGGTTTATTATAAAACACCATAATATATTTTGTGTTATAATTCGGATGTTTTTAGGTCAAAAAGAATACAGAATTAATTATGCAAAATTTACCGAGGCCGTGTTGGAAGGCCGCATACCAAGATGGCCTATACCTGTAAGTTATATGTTATTTCTGATAATAATACTGTGTGTACACAACAGTGAGTTAAAATTGGATTAAACAGCTGGATTATTCATTAACATAGATTAAATCTGTGAATAGAATATTATTTTTTAAATAATTAATAGGTTAATTTAAAAAATAATGAAACTGTTAAGGCTTTAAACGCTAAATAATTTAAAAATGATAGACAGTTGCGTCATTTCAGTTTTCAAAAGGGATTACATGTTAATGATTTAGTTGGTTTAATGTTAGGCCCTAAATAAATAAAGTAGTTATATAATAAGGACTTGGTTTAGAGAGATAAGTCTCAGAAATTCCCGCCCTATTTGCGCAAATGTATATTATGCATAAATGTATTTACATAAATATGCTAAGTCGACAAATCAGAAAGGTCAACGAGATATGAGCAATATGGAATTAAAACAAGGGACCAGTAAAAATAATTTTATTCTTCATAATAAAGTAAAATTTAAAAGTTTATCAGATGTTTTCGTAAATAATATACAATATTTAAATAGTGCATCATTATAAATCAAATAGTAATAAATTAGAACCGTTGATGAAAAAAATCACTGTTATTTAAAATTCATCAATATTAATATTTCAACCGAAGTTAGAATAAACATTCTATTGTTTGTTTTTATTATTTAATATAATAAAATAAAATATAGCCTAAATAAATAGGAGGTATTTGTTTATATGGTTCAAAAAAAATTATTAGTTTAAAAAAACATATCAAACTATCTTATATGTTTTACACTATAACTATTATGTTATTTTATAAGTTTTTAATTTATACTCATAACATGAATGTCTGATGTGGTATACTGTGTCACTATAGGCAACCTGGTAGACAGACAGTCCGCTATATATTTTAATAAATGTTGTTTTCTCTCTAGGTGTTACGCCGTGAATTTAACAAAATTGCCTCAAAGGGGAAATATGGACTCCAAAACATTACTATCAACGACATGAAAAAATACTATGAAGAAGAAGAATATACTTCAGAGCAACTCGATGATATTATGGCTAAATTCGGAATTTCGTCAGGTAAATATAATAATAATATCATCAAGTATACGCATAGTTTTAACTAAGACTATATCATTGTATTCTTGTTTTTTTTTGTTTATTAATAATTTTAACCTAATGCGACCTAACCCAACTCAACCTAACCTAACTAATCAACAAAAAATTTACTCTCAATACAAGCATAGCGATATTAATTTTTCTTTATTGTGATTTGTAAATCAGTACTACTCACATATATTCATATATTTTTATAGAGTACGTTTTACTGTTATCCATAGAATTCTCTTAGCTGATATTCTATTTTTACTTTTAACGTTAACAATGTACGCCTAAATGTTGACATGTATACGAATAGTGGTGTTCGATGAAATATCTTTTAGTTAATAAATTTCCTTTCCTTCTAAAAAATGCAATTTAAAAATTATAATTAAAAAAATTTGCATAAATACATTACATTCTACTCGGTTGAGTTGCAAAAAAGAACTGACAGTAGCATTATTCTTTTAAAGTAAATACCAATAAATTCAAAGTGTCTAAAAAGCTCAGGGTATGATTTACGATTTTTTTTCGTGTAAAACTACCTTAAGTATAAAAAAAAATAATTTGTACCTCATGTTATTGATTACAAAATTATATATTCAATTTTATTGATTATTTGTTCAAAAACGATAGTTCAATAGCATTTTTTATATCGGCCAATAAAAATATTACTCTTATAAGTGCCTTGTTTAGCCCCAAAGTACATGTTTAGCTCTACAAAAAATCCACTCTTAAATATATATTAATATTAAAACCATAATTATGTTAACATGTGGGACAATGGCCTTCCATGTAGAGGTTTATTGATTCAATAAATAAAAATAATAATAAAACATGTTTAAAATACTGTAAAATTGTTTCAAACTGCTTATGGCTAAACATTTTATGAAACATTTTATAATTTGCTGTTTCAACTATATGCGGTTAATCAATAAAACATTTTATTATTTATGTTATGTTGGCGATTTTTAGAAGGAGAATGGAAACTATTTTTCCATGACTTTAAAAGAGCTGTGAACACTGGGAGACTTCCAGAACCAAAAATTGAATGCGTTTGTGGCCGTCGCTATAAGGTGTAGTTACCATCACAATATAAATCAATTTTATCATATATTGGTATATATATATATTTCGATTTCATATAAATTTATCTTTTATTTTTTGAATATAATTATTATACATATTTTTTTTTTACTTTATGGACTTGCATCAATTGAAACAAGGATTTTATCCTAAGTGGTAAAGGATATATTGATGTATGTAAATATTAATATTGCTAAATAAAATAATTATTATTATTGATCATAAATATTTTGTCTAATTGCGTCTGGAATAAATCCAAACAATACAACACACTAAAAATAGTCACGACAAATCGTTTAGAAAATTATTTTTCTAAAGTTTTTCCATTAGTTAATACCATTTTAGTGTTAAACAATTAAAACAAATAGTACAGTATTTTTTAGAATTATCTTTGTTTGTGGAGTTATTGTAGTATAAATTTATTTAACATAAGTTTTAATAAAATATAATTTTGGAAAAATTTACAATAAAACTGATAGTATAAGAATTATTACGTGGTAGATTTAATCTTGATTTACCTTTTATACCATTTTGAGTACGAAAAAATATTAATACAATAATGAATAAAGTATTTTATTTTATTATTATGTGTAACATATTATATTTCCGCTCTAAATTCTATGGAGGATAAAGTAGTTATAGTATTTTTGACCATAACTTACATATTTATAAATCATTATTATTACGTAGCCTTCAGTAAACTAACACAAATAGTATTCTACCTTTGTAAGATGCTTAGTCTATAGATAAATCTACTGATCTTAAAAGTAACTTTTATTTTAATTTGTCACATAAATAACAAATAGTATATAGATAATAAAAAAGTAGGGTATTCTAAACTTTTTGACTGGTTCATAACATAATAGTTGCAGAGGAATAATATAGTATTGCGCAAAAAAAAAGAAATATTCTTGGTTGTTCCACACCTCCCTGTTTTATTAATCTACAAATAAAAACAGAAATAACTCTAAAATGATAAAACTTCTTAATTCTTATCTATCACCAAACATATTCAGAAAAATATAATCATGGTAATGCAGAGCTGCGAAAATCAAGTCAGATACCTCTAGTAACATGTTTGACGCCTTATACCAAACAGTTAGATAATGATTAGTAAAATACAGTAATAAAACTTATTTTTTTTAAGTTTTTACTTTTTTTTAAATACATAAAATTAGTCTACTGATTCTTTTAGAAAAAAAAAAATTTTCCTTCTTGGCGTGTGACAATATCACTTAACCCTTGAGCCGGATCTGGGCCAATGCTAGTAATAATCAAATACTGGTTCTCAAGAAAGCACGATTCTGTTAAACTTGTCGATTTCGTTAAAAGGTTCAATGTTGGCTTATTTGATCAAAATCTCATTTGAAAAAACACGTTTATTGTGTACTTTTATTGATGTATGTAGCAATGATATGTCTTAATTAGTAATTATTTTTTTTATCAGTCAATTAGCATGACAAATTCGATTACATTAGTAAACATAATGCTTAATGAGTTTCCGCGTTACCACTTGTATTAAGTAAATACTAGACTCATAAATTATAATTAATTATTTCTTTATTTTTATTTTGCTGTTTTAACATCTAAGATCTAAGGTTATAACAAAATTCAAACATTGTGATTTATAACAGATATTTTACAAAGTTAATATACAAAGTTTTAGAATATTGTAATAAATTATTATTAGAAAAATAAAGTTATTTTTGCTGTCTGTGAAATGTATCGAGCTAAATGTATTATTAACTGCTATTTATAATTGTATATTAAATGTAAAATTAAACAATTAAGCTATTCATTTTTAATTTAATATTATAAAAATATTTGATTTTTAAGCTAACTGTTAAATATTTATAATGGACATTTAAAAATCGTAATATATTTATAAAACATCTATCAGGTCTATTAAATTGGTTTTAATGACAAATCAATTTTATAGTATAACATGAAATAAAAAAATATTAATTTGAATTATGAAACTTACATGTATGATAATATAAAAATGTACCTAGGAAGAACTTTTTTCAATATTTACACTACACTATGCAGTAAACCAGATTAACACATATAAATTTTATTATTGCCTTTAATGTGGATATCAGGTATTCTTAACTAATACTAAAATTAGCACTTTCACTTTGTTTCTTAAAAAAAAGTTAAACAAACGGTATCAATAAAATAATAAATAATTTAAGTCAATGGTTAAGAAAAACATTTTTATTTTATTTTCGGACGTACATACTATTTAACAAATTTTTTATAAAATTGGTTGTAACAATAGAAGTAATATTATGTACACGAAGCTAGTAACTCGTACAGTATGGTCAGTCAAATTATAACATCAGTTGTACCGTCACAGCACAATCGCCAATACTATAACATCATAGTAGTGGCCATTTATATAATATTATTATTTACATATTATATTAACAGATTGAACAATATTTGCAAGGCGCTCTGGTATCTAAAGCAAAAAAACAAAACAGAATAGTTAAATATCATGTTAACTTAACTAAAGCTAAGTAAGTTGTCCCGCCCTACTTAGAGTAAAAAGAAAAATTTCTAAATAATATGTTTGGAGACAGTGGTTGGGTTAGATCGAATATAAGTATATGTTGTTTCGGATAGAATGAATCAAAGAGAAAAAGTAAAAGGAAGCGAATACGCAAAGATGGGTCGGGTGGATACTTTTTAATAGTGAAATAAAAGATTTGATGTTTGCTGATGAATGGTGGTAAGTGTGGGCTATCCTCGTTCCTGCGGGATTTTACCCAAGGGGAAAATGCATTTGAGTTGCTTACCTCTACCATTCGCTGAACCATTTCAGCCATTTGGGCTCGTGGTAAATGTTTTTGATTTTGTAGATTGGCACATAGATGGGCTTGGGCACTGCCACGGGCACTTTCTTCTCGATGTGCACCGGGTAAGGTTTGTCCACTGGGTACGGCACCGGTTTCTCTACGGGATACGCCACGGTCTTGATCACTGGCACGGGGTACGGCACTCGCACTGGCACCGGTTGCGGCACGCCGACGGCCACGGTCCTGTACACTGGCACCGGCACCGGTCGGTGCACTTCCACGTGCTGCGAGACGATCTGTTCGGGGCCGTAAGCCTGACCATAAGCCTGACCGTAAGCATGACCGTAAGTCTGGCCGTAAGCCGGAGCGTATGCCGGGGCATATGCCGGAGCGTACGCCGATGCGTATCTGCAAGAACGTCACATAATATAATATACAAATGTTGCGTTTCAAGGCTGAACTACATAAAAAGTGCTGGCAGACTGTTTCAATGTTGACATCAAACCGATCGACCGTTAAAGTGATGTCGATTTCAGATAATATGACATTTTTTTTCTCAAACCCGTACTCCGTCATCGAAATAATATTTAAAGGTACAGACTATAATATTTGTTATTTTGTAGTTTGAGTTCCTCCCACGAAGGAAAACACAACGTATGGCTGGCGATTCTCGAACCGGGCTAATTGGTATTCAATAATTGTGTACCTATGTAAATCGGCCGGGTATTTTATACCTATGGGACTGTCGTTATTACGTTATTGCCGTCGGCCTAGTACCGAAAATATACACATAACACACAAATGATCGGCCGCAGCCGTGCGAATTCCGTATAGATCGAGACTGTACGGCGACCCGAAATCGATTAGTTCTCATTTACCATGAAAACGACGTAAAAACCACGACCGGTTACGTGGACGCCGCGTCAAAACAAACGGTAATTGGCAAAAAACAAAAAAAAAAACCTCTCTCCATAATCTTTGAAAATCAACGGAAAACTAAACTACGGGCGCGAAAAAAAAATTAGTTGCGTTCGTAACGGCGTGTCGATGTACTGCAGAAATATCAGATGAAATTCTAAAAACCTCAATTTTTGATAATATTATCGCACTGTTTATGTTTCTATTTTGTGTGAAATAGTTAAAAAAACAAATTCGGAAAGTCTTTCGACCCGTTACAGACGAAACAGGGAAGATTTCATATAAGTTTTAAATTGTTTATTGTCCATTAGGCTCGGCGTTAATTCTTAATACTAAATAACTTTTTTAAACGTCTTGCAATTTTTTGTCCAACTAATGTACTCTTCTCCCCCCTAAAATTTTACATTGGTCATTCAGGACCAAACGTGCAGAAGTGTTTGTGCGTGTATTACGTATACAAGCGTCGTGACTTACCCGGAAGACAGGGCGACTGGACCGGCTGCGGCGTAGCCGACGGCAGGGGCGGCTGCGGCATAATCGACGGCAGGGGCGGCTTCGGCGTAACCGGTGGACGCCGCTACGGGGGCAGCCGCGATGGCGGACGGGCCGTAAGCTTCGGCTCCATTGCCGTAATCGGCCCCGCTGTATTCCTCGCCGATGCTCCGCTTGTTGGACAAGTGGTCGTTGTCCTTGACTTGGTCACGTTGTGCGCCGGAAGTGTCTTCTGAGCACGCTGCCAGAGCCACGAGGGCTGCCAAACCCAGTACGACCTGTGTGTGTGTTTACAGTCATATTATTATCATGCAAATATGCAAAATACAACAATGAAAAGCTTAGATTCCAAACACCTTTGTGACCAACTACCGAGGATTTAATTAAAAAGCACGAGAGATTGATGATCAACGTTTTGTCCAGCGTCTATAATATTCTAACGTGTGCAGAACGCAAAAGAATAGTCCAAAGAATGATTTCCAGCATTTACAATAAGGAATAAACCTAATTCGACTACTAATCGTTTAGACTCGTCAACTGGGTTTATCCGTAAAAGAATCGACCGACTAAAAGTTTAACAATGCTTAGTGAATGTATTTAAATGTTAAACAGATTAAAATATTAGAATACCGACGGTTCTAAATTATTGTTAGGGATTAAAAACGATTGATGAACTTGACTTTAATTTCATTAAAGTTATGTATTAAGTTAAAATTTGAAAATATTATCTTTCTAATAATCTTTAAAACAAATAATCAATAATCAAAAAATGATTTCAAGTAATAATTTTGGGACTGAAAAAGGCCAAGAAGAACTACAGAGATTATATTGTTATTATAAAATCATTGTAATGAAAATGAGAATTGAAACTATAATAAGCTATATTTAATGCGACGAGAATAAAAATAGTATATGTGACAAAAAATAAGTTTTCGACAAAGTAAGTTTCTATCTTTTCAAGAAATAACGAAAATAAAAAGTTTGAACACCGCCTACGAGAATACTTAAAAATATTTTACTCTCGTTTTTGCTCTGGTATACAATTTTATGATAATCATTTGTGTCCTTTTTATTCTTATCATAAACTAAACAATGTACTTTTACAGAAAATACGCAGGAACAAAGCGAAAATCGTTTCGTTACCCTTGTAAGTAATAAGTTTGATAACGTTTTCAGTACCTACTTTTAAGTAAGTTACAGTTTTAGATATTATAATACAATAGCGTACCTACAAGTATTTGTTTTTTAATGTTTTTTTTTTTTAAAAATAAAGTCAAATAAACGAAACTCACGTGTGTCTTCATAATATTGTTTTACTGACGCGAATACCACGTTACCGGTAACTGCGAATGCAATGTATGAAAACCCAAAAAATAATGTACGATTTGTCCGTTTGTACGTTGTGGCGTGCCGTTTGTTGACTGACTGTTTCCACGCGGCAATCGGATTATATACCCGCGAGTTTTGCAAAGACTTTCACCGGGCGGCAACCCGGGCAGCCGCGTGCCCGGGACGCGTGGTGTCTTCGCACCGGCCGAAACCGGTCGGCCAAAGCGTCGGGACGTCCCGGCCGGCGCGTGTCCCTTACGCCGAGGCGCGGCCGTGACATAACGCGGCACGGTGGTCCGCCGAAAACCGGTACACCGTCCGCACACAAAAGGAATACCGAACGATCGCCATCCGCAATGACCGCACGCGTTTCCGTCGGGAACTTTGGCAAAACGAGACCGGACGGCGGCAACAGCGACGTTCCGCAGACTCGTCCGTGACGTAATCCAAACACCGGAGAAACTGATGAAAAAACCAAAAAAAATAATTCAAACCGTTTAAAGCCATTTTACACCTATCGGTCGTTTGGAGTTGTCGTCATGATGAAAAAACGGCATTTATAACGCTAAAAGTCTTGTATCATCCGTACAATAATAATAATAATACACTTAACGTGATAGTCGAGTTATACTTATATTATGTTGTCGATACAACCGTTTAGTTAAAGAAAAAAAAACACGGTGTACAACGTGCACGGACATCCGAAGAAATTATCGTTCAAAGTGTACGCTTGCGCCGAAGTCGGGTTGTAATAAAAAAAAAAGTTATACACATTGATAGAGTTTCTCGATAATATATATTTTTCGCTGTTATAAGAAATGTTCTTGTCGCGGCAAAAATTATAATATTTAACCCGCTACGACGTTCAAAAGTCGTATAAAAATGAATTCGTTGATATTGAGTTGGTTGATAAAGTTATCGACAGTAAAACATTTACAATTTCACCTTAACGATTATAAAATAAAACACGATTACTATAGGAGTTATTCAATATAAGAAAACGTACGAAAGTTAACGTAAAACGAGTATGACTTGTCGATAAATTTGAATTATCGGCTATTTATTGTAAAAAAAAAAAATTATTATTATTATTATTATTCATACTATAGTAAACCATAGTTTAGTTATTGTGAATTTTATAGGTTTTTTGAGCCAATTTTAAGCTTCACAATGATGAATGCTGTTTATTTAAAGTAAATATTTACTATAGTCATTCACACAAACCAAATGATATAGTTTGATATCCTATGAATTTATTTTATGGTCCACAAAATAAAAATTCTGAAATTGTTATAAATATTTATATGTTATCTTCGTTTGACTTCAGCTAACTCGATTGTTGTATTATTTGTAATAGTAACAATTGAAATTATTTCATTATTGTTAATTTCAATCGTGTAAACTTATTTTCAGGTTCATTTGTATTGTGACTTAAGGAATTTATTCAAATACATCTTTGTTTTACTTACCAAACATTTCTAACAAATTTCACGCTATTATCACCCTCGAATATATTAATGACTAGAAATATTTTATTAGCAATACATTACAATTGAAACGTTGCAACGACTAATGTATACATTTTAAAGAGTTGTACTAAAAAAAAAATTATTCTTTAATATATATCTTATAGCTAATAAACTATCTTCAAAATATAAAAGTAAATAAGCAGTTTCAACCTGTTCAGGGGGAAAGGCTGTTAATATGTTTTTAGTTTTTGTCGTTATATCTGTCTTATCAATATAACTATCACAATAAGAACATTACATTGACATTTTTTTAGCAATTTGAGTATTTTTCGGTAAGGTTATAGTGTGTTGTATTTTTAAGTTGAAAAACATGTAAATATTATAAGTTGTTTTTATGGATTGTCAAAGATAAGGGGTAAACTTTTTCCATTTTTTGGACTTTTTATAAATTATCTTTACGGTACGATTTATGATCTATAGATTCGCTCGATAAAGAAATCGGTTCAGGGCAGTTTAAAATGTTTTACCAATACCTTTTAAGCTCATCGTCGAAGCCAATAAAAATCAAAGAAAACTCGTGTAACTTGTTGTTTCAAGTGTCCCATTGAATTTCACGACTTTTTAACCGAACCGTACAGTTTAAAAACAAAACTGTTAACCTATTTATAGTGAAGTATATACATTATACAAATAGGCAATAAACGTATTCAAACGGGCTACACTGCAACATATAGGCATTTCACGTTTTTATTGATTTTTTCCTCCATTTAAGGTATATAAAATGGCAACATGTAAAGTTTAAACTATAATTTATTAACAAAACTGGGATGTTAATGACCATAAAAGTATTAAAAAAAGCATTTGAAAATATCAAAATATGCAATTATATGTCATTATTGAAATCGGCTAAAACATATTAGACGAGTTCTCTAATAGCCGACTTGACATAATATAAATAATATTTTACACAAGTTCATTATTTAAAAATGTATTTTACGTACCAAGATAACATTGAGTCACAATTATTTTGGTGATTTTTTGAAATTTCAAAGAACAATGACGATTAGTTTAGACATTTTGGACAATATTTTTTAACCAGAATTTTCGTTTAATACTTATTCTCGTGTTGTGTATAATTTTCTTTATCTCATACTCGTAAACACTGTTAAATATTTTTTAATAATTATACCTACAAATATGCTACTAAAACTTTAAAAAAATTAGTATATGCAAATACATTTTCTAAAGGGTCAACTATGCAAATATATGCAATAATTTCATTTTGCTGATTTGAAATCTAGTCTTTGTGAATCGAAATTATATAGGGTATAATTCTGATTTCACTAAAAAAATATGCAAAGTCATAATCATCCGAGCTTTAATATGTTTGGACATTTATCCGAACGACATCAAACCCACGAAATCAAAGTGGTACCGTTAATATAGTAGAATTATTAGGATTATTTTTTAAGAAATATCTGCATCGACGTAAATGCTAGACCAGCTTTCTATATGTATCCACTTGTCAGGCCATCAAATTCAAAACGAATTGTATCTAGTGTGTCTTATTATGATCTCGGTTATTTAACATTTAACTGCCTATTGCAAACGACACAGCATAGAACGTATTTTGCATTTAGCAACATGAAAATCATCCGTTTAGGTTAGGTTAGCTGTATTATGTAAAACGACAATATTTTTTAACGCAGGTCAAACCTTTTTGGCAAAACGGGTTTTGTGTTGGGTGGGCGATAAAATAGTTTCTGACAATTTATTATAATGTATATTACATTATCACTCTAATGTATTTAAATGGTAAAATGGGCATTAGTTAAAAAAAAAAAGAAACAAAATTGTCTATTCGAGGGCCTAAAGAAACTGGTTTGTACATATTACAAAGTTTCTAAAGGGCAATGTTTGATAATCATATTTATATTATATTATAGAGATTCGGTAACAATACCTAAATGTCACTTTCTACCGTGTCTTTTTTGAAATTATAAAATCATTATAGAACCGAACCTGTGTATAAAATCTTAAGTGTCACGTGTTTCATATTGGCAAACTTACTGTTTAAATGCTTAGAATGGATATTTTTTCAAAGACTTTTTCGTTCAAGTGTGGTTTTGCAGAGAGAACATAAGATGTAATATATTAATAACAGAATATTCATGCTGTGTGGTGAGGGGATCGAAACGCTAATATTAGTAATGAATAATAATTAATAAGTCACGGTGAACACAAGTTAAATATTATAGTTGGGTAGATTAGATAATATTTATTTTTGAATAATTAAGAATATTTTGTACTGATTTTTTTTATTCGTTTTTTTATATACGAGTATAATATTTTTTTATTTATTCTTGTATCGTTTTCCTAAAATTGGAAAATTCTCCAAACGTTAAAAAGGTGTGTACATTTAAAATGATAAAAGATTTCAGGGGCTATATTTTAAATATATGTTTAAGCTTAATTTAACGACTATAACGGCTTAACCGACCACGGCGATTTAATTTGTCAACAGATCTCTTAGCTGATTAGTGGTTTTATGTAATGTGGCGGCTATTAACTTCATTGTAAACTGTATTTTAATACATGCAAATTTGTATTGCCTCTGTTTTATTTAATAAAGTAGACAGGCGAGTACAAAAAATCAAAGTTCAATGTTAAATGTTCAAGATTGTCGTTACAAAAACGATTAATCAAGTGTTGTGTTTTATACAAATGTCTATTTTTTATAAATTATAAATAACTTCAACGCAGTGATTATAAAAAAATATTATATTAAAATAATTGTATTTGACACCAAAATGTTATAAAAACTATTAACGGTTAAGAGTCTTAAAAAAAAAATGAATTAAGTAAATTAAACAATAGATATTGAGATTAAAATACAAATTTTATTATATTATTATGATTTGGTTACTTCCGGGTACTTACTTAAAGATAGTCATAAAGTGATTTTGTAAGATGATTATATTTCTGAAAATATAATTGTGTACACACAACAATAATTATTGAGATAGAATTGAATTAAACGGATGGAATATTCTTTAAAATAAATTCTCTATTAATAAAAAACGAATGAGAAGGCCAATGAATTCTAAATTGGACGGCGTTAATAGGACTTCATATACGATTACCGATAGGTCGGTCTAGTTCCTAATAATATACCTAACCGGTTATTAAAATTAAAATTCTAGTGTGGGTGGTCCTTTAAACCATATATTATGTTCAGTATATCAACGAAAGACCAGTATAAAATAATAATAATTTACAAATCAATTAGTGATCAATTAGAATTGTCAATAATAAATTATTTTAGCTGCTTAAAATTCACATACTTTATAAGCAACAGTTAAAATGGATGTTAATAGCTAATTATTTTTATTATTTATATGATTACTTAAAATATAGGTTAATTAAATTAGAAGTTTTGGATTATAACGTCACACAGTTGTATACATTTTGTATAAATCTTTAAGAAAATATTTAAGCGGTGTATAATAATTTTAAGAAAATGCTTCCAATAGAGGAGGACAGAAACTAAATTACCAGCAACGAATTATTTAATTTTTTTGCAACAAGAATTCTTGTACCTAAACTTGATAATATTGTAAGATAGTATGGAGGATTGAATGGTAAATATGATTTTTTATAACTGCATCAAACAATAGTAAAATCATTTTGGCGCATACACGGTTTTAGCTAAGTATTTTAAGGTCTTACAGAATTATATTTCTATTTTATTTTTTTTATTAATCCAACCTATAATTTTTGGACTTGGCTTTTTATCATACACAAATTCAGTTTAACAATTAACGTAATAAATCATTTTTCTTTTTGCATAAAGAGCACTGCAATAGTTTTATTCTACATTTTTATTCATATCACAATACCTATGCTCGCAACAACATATTTGTGCTCTAATAATGTCTTAAACGCACTTGGAAACTCAAAATGGTTTTTGGTTTAACAGCGATGTAGCGTTTAAATTTTTTATGTCAAGGCCCACGACTACAACGTCTACACCGTATTCTTTATAGGGATAGGTTAATAGTCCAAATAGATTATAATATTATTTTAAAGTGAATGCCTAAACACTTTCTAAAATTTTATATCAAGATAACATTTAATTTAGACTGTATTACATTTTTTTAACGATAACTTATTGTTGTGCTCATTCGGTAAATTTATTTTTACTGCAAGCGTTAAGTTTTGCAAAAACTTAATTTAGAGTTAAAATTATTTTGTGCATTTACCATGACAGTATTCATGGTTTATGTACATAGAATTCATGTTTTATTAATAGTGCACACATAAAGTGTTCTCCCTCGCTGACTTTTTAAAATTAATTTATACATTCAAATGATACTTTAATTTTTATCCAATTTTTTCAACAAAAAAAAAAGTGTTGAATTTATTATGTTTATTTCTATTTCTATTTACTGCCAACACCATGTACATGATAAACAATTTCATTAATTCTTGTTATTGTACGAATAAACGGCATGGCCCTTTTAACAAATTTCATTTTAATATTGTCAACCGAAAAGCAAGCAAAATATATGTACATTTTGTATACAATTTATATATTTGTCAATTATCCATGAAAAAATGTGTATAGGAGCTTTAACCTCCATTCCCTGGAAATTAGCGATGTGAAAAATTATTAAAATTGTATATTACTTGCCAAACGACATATTTTAAATAACTATTATTACAGTGATTATTAATATGTTTTACTCGTGATATTCATATAATAGTTTTGTATTTTAGTAATTGTTCCAAAATGTTCCAAAGGTGTAAATCTTTTTAACGAAAACAGCATTTAATAACAATATTATCCTTATTACTAGGTTAAAAAACGAAAACTAACAATGTAACGGTTTAATCTTAATTGATTTGTGGTTTTTACATAACGCGGCGGCTATTAAAAATTTAGTAAACTGCCTTTCAATATATAAAAACTTGTAAGGATCGTATATATTCTGATGAAGTAGACAGGTTTAGTTTATATGAAGTCTTCCAAATGATTTTCCATCATTTATTTGCATTTTGCTTAATTTATTACATTATATAAAAAAAAAACAATAATCGTATTATACATTCATAACATAGTATATTTATATTAAATTATATATTATTATAGAAAGTGATAACTTATGTTGATAATTTTATATGTACACTTAATTGGCTAAATGATTTCACTAAACGTGTCATTTATTTGTTATTATTTAAGTGTAACTGGTTATCAGGTTCTTTACGATAAACTACAATATCCGTCATACCTATGTCAAGTAAAATTTAATATGGTTAAAATGAAATATACTTAACGCAGTAGTAGTATATTTATTTCTTATAGTATTTACCCGTTAAATAAAAAGAAACTAGATGACTAAATTTAGTAAACTAGGAGTAATAAAAAAATAATATGTAAAAAACAAGTTACCGTTAATAAATTATTATACATTACAAAACTGTTAATCGGTGACGAACATCAGGGTTCAGAAATACCTACTGCAAGCCTAAAATGTTAACATAAAGTTACAGGCTTATGTGAAGAGTGAAAATTTATGTTAATTTGTATGTTAAAAACGGTAGTAAGATCATATTTAGTCGGTACAAACATACTTTGAAAATTATTTCCAACCCCTTCATTTACTCCGTTTAAAAAAAATTGACTTTTTTATTTCTAAAAGAATTGTTAAAATTAAATAATTTATATAATAGGTACATAATTTTAATCTATTTTTTTAGTACAATAACTTTGTTGAAAATTGGTATTTTTTGTTCAGATTAATTATTTACTCCGAAGTTTTAATTCAGATAATATTTCTATCTGTACTACCACAGGAACATTTTTTTAAAACGATAATAAATAGGTACAATATAGTGTTATATACTAAGAAAAAATTTAACGCTCATACAGGTAGACAAAGGAATTCAAATGAAAATCCCAAAATATTAAGAGTAATTTTTTTTATATGGAATTTATTTGCAGGGATTCGGCATAAAGTAAAACATCAACAAACCATCCTTTATACTACTGTACCGTAGGAGCGTGAAATTAGTATAAAATGATGTATGTGTGTTATACTGTAGGTATAAAAATATTGAATGATGTATATATTATATAATATCGAAACACAAAAATGGTGTTAAAACGCACAATATCACATATTATATTTTGTGGCGGAAAAGTTAAATACAAGAAATACCACGTCTCAGTGGCACAACTTAAAATGGAAATAATGCGACCGAAAACCGGATTTACAAGAAATAATACACTCGCGAGACTATACACAACGTCTAATGTGTGTTAAATGATTAACCAATTGAATTTCTCGGGTTGTCTGTGTGTGACTTTTTTAAGGATTTCCGGTATGACCGTCACACGATTTCGGTCAACTTGATGCGCACACTGTTGTTGTTACGCGATCAAATAAAAATATGTATAATATAATATTACATTGTAATACATGCCCGCTAAATCCGGTGTCTGCGAGTCAAACACACATAGACACACTCAATGAATGTGACAGCTATTAAAGTTCAACGCCGCACATGTTTTCCGTGCTGTTCTGTTGCATAAGAAAGAACTGCACTCGAATAATAAAGATGATGGTTACACCGTGCTAGCAAGTTTCTTCCGTCCGCATAATAGTATGTCTGCGTGTTGTCGATATTTTGACATTGTACTTACCGCAATGCTTACAAACAACGCGGTAAGTATACATTGTAAAAACGCTAAACGAAAAATCTGAAAGATTGACAGCTGTTTAACAGCAAGATTAACAGTTCAAGTCTTTAGGCGTTTCGAAAGAGACAACAGTTTTAATTTTGAAAAATTACTAATCGCACATAAACACTAACGACGATGAGTGATTTTTGAGCGGGAACTAAAAACTCAACACTAGCCCAATTATTCTTAACCATAACTCCTCGCCCGCACTGCAGTTTTCTAATCTTACAACCGAATGTGCATTTGCAAATAGGTGCAAGTAGGTATATTTTGAAAATACACTTTATAGTAATTAAGATGTTATCTGAAGGACGTAATAATAATATGGTATGTGTCGCTTAAATAGGTTAAACGGTAGGGTTAGATGTTGCTGTTAAAAAATGTGAACAATTCGGTTTCGCAACCGCAGCACAATGCGAAGAAGATAATGATATATAAGAAAGGAAAATGCGGTTAATCGATGGTATAATATATGATGATAATAATAATAATATAAACTTGAGTATGTAACCAGAAAAATAAGGGGCTCCTGTAGACCTTACTAAGCTTACATGTTCCCTTCTAATTTCTATTGTGTGATAATTACGAGACAACAATGAACTGAAGATTGCAGTTTTCGATAATTGTATCAAGATCGTCGTCTCAAGTATATATAAAAGACAAACAATTCATATTAATCGTATTAGTTTTGTGCATACCGTGTTTCTAATAGGTATTGAAAATTGTCACGCAAAGAACAACTTAACCGACAGACCAACATGACGTTACAATTGACGGTAAGTAAAACGGTATACTATTCATTTTTTTTTTTAGGGTAGTTGATAAAAAACTTCTAACTCGACAATTAATTTTGATAAAAATATTGTTTTATTTTTAACTTTTAGTATATATACAACTTTTAATATATACAACTTTTATCAATGACACATAAATATTATTTTTTAGTGGAAAAGTCAATACAAAATATTACGTTTTAATCAAAATACAATCACTGTTCCCAAAGTTATTATAAACTTTTTTTTCTTTTTAAAAATATGTTATTACATAATACTTCATAGTACAGTTTCATTAGTTTTAAATACGTATAGTAGGTTATAGGTACCAGTTTCTTTAATTTTTGTATTTCGCATTATTATCTTGTTTTTATCTGTATGCTTTATAACAATAATTTTAGTAAATTTCAGTTAACATGAACAATAAACTTTAATACTAAATCAGTTAGTTGTCAGTTTAATGCTAATAAATAAACAATTTCAAAAAAAAAAAACCCGTTAAGTTGAGTAGTATTTTATAAACAAACAGTGGTATAAACTTGTTAGCTAATAAAATTTTAATAAAAAATCTAGCTACGTGAACATCAAATTAAGATTAAAAACAAATGTAATAAGAAAATATGATTTAAATGTTTTATTGACATTAAATTTTTATATAAATAGATACAAGACTATTCATTTCAAGGATAATTTCTACATTTCTATAAGCAAATTACTTATTTATTACCAAACAAATAAATAAAGAGTTTTTTTTTACATTTTTAAGGCGTATAGTATGCAACTTGCAAAACCTGGCTTAATATTATATTATAGTAATAATTACTAAATAATATAAATCTAAAACCCCTGATAATAATCTAAGATTTTTAATTTTAATTGCTTATTTTAAAAAAATTGTTGTTAAACGTGTGTAATAATTATGCATTTATTAAATATTTTAATAGTTCCATTTTTGTAATTTATTAGGAGTAAAAATTTAGAGATTTTAACAAATCTTATTAAACAGTTTTTAAATGTATTTACAAGTTTTCTGTGTAGATTCTAAGAAGAATCGTAAGAACTTTTGTTTTGCTATTCAATTTTCATTTGAAAATAAAACGGTTTTTAATAGGTAGGTACTCAAAATCATACTAGTGAAATTATATTCGTGCCTTAAGTAAAAGCAAATGTTAATTTTTCACGAAGAAATAGTTAAACCACTGTGTAAGTTAAAACGCCCATTATATATTCTGGGTAAAAAGGCAATACAGTAGGACCAACATTTAAACAGGGATTTAAAGAGTTTATGAACAAAATCAACACCGACGAATTAACACTTATGTTAAAGAATAATATCCCAAAAGCTCTTTTGTCGGTTAGGTTAAAAAAAGTGAGATTGGCCTTTTTAGATTCAGGCTCAGTCCAGAATCCCGTGCAAGTCAAATTTGTACTGCCAACTTGCACATTAGCGTATGACTTACCTGTGTATAAATTTATTTAAAAAAATAAAAACCCGCTATTAATGTAATAGAAAGAAAAGTCAAAAAAAGAGGATTATAACGGGGGTGTCAGGTGTGTGTTTTAATGATGATTTATTGAATAGTAGGGTTTTGTAGCTTAACTTCCTATTACGTGTATATTATTATTATCATTACAATCACAAAACCATAAGCCCACAGAAGTTCAAGAGAGAACTGCGACATGATGCACGTAATAGGAAGTTAAATTACCTACTATAATACCCTACTCGATAAATCTTCGTTCAAATACATACACATCTCACACCTCCGCTATAATCCACTCTTTTTGCTTTTTCTTTTTACATTGCATTAACAAATTGTGTTTTCTGTCTGTTTTGTGTAGATATTAGTGCTGGTCGTTTTGTCTGTGGCGGCTGCCAGCGAAACCGGTGCCGGCAACAAGGAAAAACGGCAATCTCCCTATGGCGTAGGTACTCTGCCCTCTACGCCATTGCCTTCTCCCCCTTCTGTGCCCAACACCGTTCCCGCGTCCAGTATTAACAGCAACTACATTCCCGTTTGTGTGGCCCCAACTGCTGCACCGTACTATCCTTCCGCCTATAACGCGGACACATCTTACATATCCCAGTATCCTGCGTACCCTGCTTACCCGTCGCAGTATCCCGGATATCAGCCACAGTACCCGATCAACCCGTCGCCGAATCCGGCGTACCCGTCACCGAATCCGGCTTACCCGTCGCCGTTCCCTGCGTACCCGTCGCAGTATCCCGTCTATCCAGGACTGTATCCCGCTTACCAACCACCACAGTATCCGAGCTCCGTACCGTATTCGTACAACTACTTTAGCGGCCAGAACAACAACGTCGGCAGTCCACTACCGAACAGCAACATTCCGGTGTCCACCAAAAAGAAATAATGAGAGTGCAACCAGTTCAATAACCGTTGGAACATAGTATTATGAAAGCATCAGTGTTTTGTGAAATATTTTTTAGTTTAGTTTTATAGTTTTTAGCGGAATAATAAATAATTTAACGATGCTATTATAGTGTTGTTGTGTATGAAAACTCATTAGATTATTTGAATTATTGATTAATTACCCTTAAAAACACCGACATTTTTTCTCAAATAATTAAAAAAATTGTTTATATTAACTTTAACGTGATTTTTTGTCAAATTCAAAAAGATCGCTTCAAACTGTACTTAAAATTGTTATGCAATTTACATATATTTGCCAATAATAAACCCACTGGATTAAAACTGTCACCAGCAGAACCGCTACTATAAAAATGTTATCATCTATGGTGGTTTGTAAGTCTATGATTGTTTGATAAAGCAAATAATTGCGAATACAAAAACAATAGTATTGTGTAATCGTTGACTTGAACTTGGCATTTATAAGATCAATATATATATATTATAATACACCTAAACGGGGTCAGAATGTATACTCTAAGAACCAATACAACATAGTCCTATCATAATATTTATTATGAACGGCAATAAAAAAAAATTGTATTTATTACAGAAAATATGTATGAAATCAAAAATTGTTAGCTTTGAATACTTAATCGAATAATCTTGTTTCTAGCCACATGTACTAATAAACTGCATTTCTCTATCCACATTTAATAATACATAAATATATACATTTGTAAGGTATTTAGGTATTCTTATTTAATTATTAATCAGTATTTTTATTTTATTTTAAAACAAACAAAAAACATCAAAGAACTATCTTAAGAACTTAAATCAGGAGTATTTTATAATCACGAAAATACACTGCGGTATAAATTAATTACTTAATAAAAACCAAGCTATACGAAAATCAAAAACAAATGTAATACAAAAAAACGTTTTAAACCATTTTTATTGACTTTAAATCATTATATGAATTGATAAGACTTATAAATTCAAGAATAAATCTAGACTTCTATAAATGTTATGCATAATACTTATTTATTATGTACCAAACAAGTAAAATATTAAGACTTTTACATTTTTAAGGCGTATAAATATGCAATTTGCAAAACCTGTGTTGGTGTTATACTGGTGTTACAGTACGTATTAATTGAATGAGCTAAATGAATGGACTAATAATTTTTACTGGTAATCAAAGACATATTTTTTTTAATTTTATTTGAAAATAGTTATATTTTACCCTATAATGATTTTGCATTTATTAGATATTTAAATAGTTGCATTCTTGCAGTTTATTAGGAGTAAAAATATAAATCATTCTATTGAATAATTTATAATACTGTGTCCATAATAATATTTGATTATAATTTATGTTATTATTAATTTTCATTAAATTATAATAATAATAAAATTAAGATGACATTTTAAACGCTTACTTACGAAAAATTACACAATAAGTTAACTTATTCCCTAGTCTGCCTTACTTCACAAAGGAGACAATTGACCAACCAATAATATTTAGGAGATATAGCTCTACGAATAAATGCTCTACGGTATTTCTATAATACTATATTGGTTAATTTTAAATTAGAGCATCTGAAATCTAAAATCCAGTTGTAACTGTGTCCTTCAGTCACAAGAGACGAGAGAAAAAATTATGTTCTAAAATAATATTTTGTCCTCGTCGTGTAGTTGAAAATATAGTTTAGTATAAAAACATTAAACTTTCTTTATCACACTAATTTATAAAATAGTTATGATCGGTAATAGGTTTATTATTGCTCTGTGTATGCTGAAGCCGCTTTAAGTCACACTAAAATTATCAATTAGCATTAGGTTTATTCAATCTGTTATAAATCAAAAATATTATAACACAACACCCAAACGTATTTCGGGTTTCTACTTAGCGGTTTGTGTGGTTTTTTGACAATAACAACAACAAAATCAACACGTATATTAATGTGTGTAAAGAGTGTTTTTATTTTTATTAAAAAATTAATTTGTTATAAATATACATAAGTACAATACGATTTACAAACGAGTCACAATGATGGCCACTGATGGTGATGTGGTTTGCGATCACGGTGACGGTGGTTCTTTGGCTATCATCGCTCAGTAAATGGTCGGTGCGTGGTAAGACAGCGGTGCGTGGTAAGACGACAGCGGTGCGTGGTAAGACGACAGCGGGTAGGTGTATGGGGCGTGGTACGGCAGTGCTGCGGGGTAGGAGAGCGGGGCGTGGTAGGGGAGGGGAGCGTGGTATGTGGACAAGGGGTATGTGTACGGAGCGTGGTATTTGACTGGGGAAATCACCGACGTGGGGTAGGTCAATGGAGCGGCGATCGGCGCGTGGTAACCGGGGTAGCCGAGACCGGAGTAACCAAGACCGGAGTAGCCGACACCGGAATAGCCGAGACCCAAGCCGTAGATGCCGCGTTTCTCGGTGACCTTGTTCTGTTGTTTGGGTTCTTCGGCTGCCAAAGCGCAAGCGACCAGAGCGAACAAAGCGACGGTGGCGATTATCTGAAACGCGTCACGGACGTTGATTAATAGTTACAGTTATAGATCACGAAGGGTAAAGTACCCTTCATGAGATAAACAAGAGTTGAAGTGGAAAAATCATTTTGATAATAAAAACTAGTTAAATCTACAAAAAGTGGCCAAAGACCAAAAAATAGTTTTAAATATTTTCCATGATTTTTTTTTAGTATTAGAACTTTATAATTTACTGTCTGGAATAGAACTTGTCAACGCGACTTATTATATTTTTTTCGAGAGGAAAAGCTTTTAGTGAAATGAATTTTAATGAATTACTAATAATTGTATTTAGTTTTTGACTTATGAAAAACTAGTATTTTAGACATTCCAAAACGCTGTTATTTTTCACCTACCACACAAAAATAACCTACTGTAAATTTTCCAGTTAGACAAAATTAATATTATTTTTCTTGCGAATAAATGCTAGTAAAAACATTTCTGAATTGAAGTTTTGTAATATTATATAAAAAAAAATAATAATGTGCTTACATGAATACTTTTTTAAATGTTTTTCTTTTTTAAACGAATAAAAAAATCAACGATTTTAGACGTGTTGATATTATAGACCTACTTTTTACCAGGTACTTGCTCGTATATTGTATCATTAACCAAACATAACCAAGTTAAAGTAAAATAAGTCATACTATTAAAAAAAAACCAATACTGTTGACAATAATTCAACGCATGCGTATTTTAAACTAACCAAGTATAAATAGTTCAATGAATTGAATAACAAGGGATAGTATAACTGTGCTTAATGTTTAAGTGTAAAAGAGTTTTAACGAAAAATGGCAAATAAAAATATTGTACCAAAGTTAAAAAACAACGATTGTATCGGTGTTTATAATTTGGTAAATAAAATATAACAGTGTTATACTCAGACTTAGACGGTCCGAGGCGAAAAAACCTACAGGCTAATAATACAAATATATTTTTAAACTTACGGATTTCATGGTGAGATGATTGGTTGGTGGTCGGTCGGCTGACGATTGATGATGTGTGTGTGTGGATTGTGTGGCTGGTTAAAGCTGATTGATGTATGTCGATCGACAGCAGTGTTTTTTATAGTATTTCAAAAAACTGGATCATCGGCGGGAACCATATGATATTACCTATGTGACGTGTAACCGCCCCTGTGCTTAATACCCAAACGGGCGGCCCGGTCCGGTAATCTGAAAACCGGTTGATAACGCCTGAGCGATAACCTCGTGGCGTTTATAATTATTTATATTTTTTTTTATGTTGTTTAACCCCGAGTCTGCCAATTTTAGAACGTTCGAAATTTGAGCACAATGTTTTTTTTTGTTTTTTTCGCAGGACACTATTGTTCTGGTCGCATAATGATATCAAATTTGCATGTGTGGACATACCCCCGAGAGCGAATGAAAAACGTTTTGAGCACAGTTATTGAGCTCGTTTATTATATTATTATCGCACCGTGTTGTTACATCACGAGAATTGCGTGTGGAAATAATAAGAGAAGAAACCAAACGCCAGTCGTAGGCCGGTCAAGTATAAATAAAGTATATTAATTGACTTTATGTCGGTGTAATTATTGGTTTTTATCGCAGTATTATGTTAGTGTTACGTTTCGTCTGGATCGCTTCGACTGGTTTTTGTGCAATACCGAGTTTACTGCGGTAGTTCCAGCGACTCTGGCCGTCAATTAATGCGGTCGCAGAATCCAGTAATTTTTTTTTTATCCCTTTTGACAGAAAAAAAAACCCACCGAGTACATCTAGGTACGAGCAGGAAATATTCGGACGGCCGAAATTGTGCACAGGACCGAGTTTAAGCTAATGATCAATATCATTATCAATATTGTCTCAATATCATTAAGCCTACCACCTTCATTAATTATCGGCCATGGTGGTAATATGCATTCAAATAGCGGATTTTTCACCACTAAGAGTTCGGGATTTTGTTTACCGAAGCAGCTGTTATTCGTTTTGAGTGTCGATATTGTTTTTTTTACTAAAAACATCTCAAGAATAAAAAATATATTATAATGCTCCTACTACGGGTAAACCTCGGTCTTGGAGAATATTAAAGATTTATTTAAATACAAAATCAAGTAACAGTGTTTGCCAAAAATATTTAAAATATAAAAATGACTTAATGATCAAAAATAATTGCACGATTAAGTGTCGGCTAGCATAACTGTTTTGTGTCTTATTTGGTACAGTTTTCCATTTAAAACCGCGTTTATAGTCATTTTAAAATATACTTAAATTTTTATTCAGTATTTGTATATTTCACTTAATAAAAACAGCTGTGGTTCTGTGTTCACAAAAATGTTACCAACATTTTTTAATGTCCATTATATAATTTAACAAACAACTATTAATAAAATTGTATTTCCATTTTTTTTTTTTTTTTTTATAAACCTTGATCGATTAGGTAGACCTTAAAAAAGTACATTGGGAATTCAGTTTGTATATTAATATTTTTGTAATTTATTTGTTTTAATCGTTTAATTAACCTTAAGCAGATTTTTTTATTGCTTACGGTAGTGTATCTAAAATCGTAAAATGTCAATGATTATACTAGTCAAGTTGACATGAATTTATTTGCTAAATATTATTGGGATCACCCTTGATCTAAATGGAACTTGTTTAAACGTTAATCACAAATCGGGTAAAAGTTTAAAGCATACAGGTATACTACTATTAACTAATTAAATTTAGGAATTATATAATATATGTGTATGTACATAAAAAAAATTAACAATTCGTTAATTAACCTCAATACTATACGTCACATGGATTATTTACGGATAGAAATAATATTTAATTTAGAGTATTAAGGTTATGTAAAATCATAACCTTAGTGCGAAGAAAAATATGATCATAATTTCAATGGAGTTTTTTTTATTATATTGTCAATTGCATATTTTTACGAGTTACGAGTAAACTATTTTTTTACCGTCCGAAATTTAAGTATGTCGTAATGTCGTGGAATTTTACAAGTGACAAACGAGTATTTTGCTGTACAGAAAACGCCATGATGTACAGGGAGCGAGGTCGGTTACATACATATGTAAGTCAAACGAGTGATAGTCAAGACCAACGACAGAATATTATATTCTATTATTATTTTTAATGCAATTGCAAGTGTGATATTTGCAGGTCAACCAAATCGCTCCGCATTGAAGTCGAAATCCTAATCTCTAAAATAAACGTTTTGTAAAATTATGTTTTTAAAATAATGTGTTTTTTAAGGATAAAAATTAAATTAGTTATAAAAAATAGAATATTAATAATACATATTATTAATTAAAGTTCAAATGTACATTTTTTTTTTTATAGTGTTCTATATTATTGATAAAAGAATGTTATGGTAGCTACATATATACACATTTGTTATATCCTCGGCTGTATTATGCAATAATAAGGTTATTTATGAATGAAATAGTAATACAAATACATCTCGGTCCGCGGTCGTACTTTGGCTAATTTGAATTTCAAATGATGATTTTTAAATATTTATTCAACGCCATTATGTGCAATACATCGAGCAAATTTACAAACATAATAATATTAAAATCAGCACAAACGAATGGAACACTGACCGCGTTTAAATACTACAAGAATTCTGATATGTCATTATAATTTTAATGTTATTATTACTGTAGCTAAAGTTATTTTGCGAACAAAAGTATAATGAAATGCTTGTAAATTATAATATTTTAGCAGTAAACCATGAATTCAAGAATAACAATAAATTATAATGTTATTTTAGGATTGTGGTTTTCTTCTGACAGTGGTGTTAGTTGAATTGCATCAAAATAATATTAAGGAGTGAACGGACGACTCTGTTGTTGTGAATAAATTATTTTAAAAGGAATAAAACTTTCTCTGAAAAAACTATCCTGCAAACTGTATTGTGTTCACGTGAAAAGTTGTTTCTTAACCAAAACCAAATTATTATTTTATTGAGAAATTGCATTTTTTTATGGGTTGGGGCTCGTCGAACCCTGAAATTTGCCCATTTTAAATACGCTCATTAAACAAATTTAACAATAATTTTCAAGTATATCTTTTCTGCATTTTAAGAACATCCCTTTAGTAATGCACTTGGGCGGAACGAATTTTCTTCTTTCTCATTTTTAAAACCCCAAATATTATGTTGCGCGGTTAGATTTTAAATAGAGTAGACCAAAAAGTGGTTATGTTATCATTTTCAATGATTTCAAATGAACTGTTTTTGCGTAACAACTTATTGTTTTCTGACTCTACAACAATAGGTATTTTTAACGGCAATTATTATGTTACACAATATTATTTCCATCGACGTCCGTCTTTGAAAGTGATAAAAACTGTGGTCTACGATAAAGTTTGTTGGGTCAACTTGTTTTAGTCGATAATATAGTATTTTGTACAATAATGTTTTTTCAATTAAATTTTCAATTAAACCGTTTAATAGAAAAAAAAACCGTCACGGGCGATTTGGCAAATTAATTAACCGTTTGATTGATTGTGTTTTTTTTGCTTTCTAAATATTCCACTAAAATAAAAATACTAGATATTGTTTATGTATGTATAATATATAACCAAATATATTGATAGAAACACAATCGTCACGTCTCGACTGACGTCGCATCGGCGGCGCCACGCAAGATAATAATAGTGATAATAATAATAACAATAAATAAATGAGTAATATATTGGAAAATATCTAGTTCATTCCCGTTGAAGGTTATACGAGTACTTAATGAATTTTCCAGGTAATAACAATATCGAATAACCGGAGAACCAATGGCGTGTTAACAAAAAGGGACTGAGTTTCTTAGTCATTTAACCAGAACTCGAGATTTGCACGTAGTGTACACATTTAGAGCAACGTGAAATCCAAACAGATGAGATATCCATTATAGTAGATCTATATTATGACCGTTTTACCGTTACAATACTTATATAGTAATGATATTTGCACCGCAATGGGTTTCACGTTGTATGTTCGTGTAAAAAATATACATATAGTATGTAATCGACCGTCTTAATTAGTACAACACGTCTAACTCGACAATTATATATTATTACTATTTTTTTTTTTTATACTATACTTAAACGACAAAAAGGAAAAAAATTATCTTTTCGACATTCTCCGAGTAGAAAACTCAAGTCGTCTCCGTCGTATTGTATATTATTATTATTACTATTTTTTATTGGCGATACATATAGAGAAAAAAAAACACACACATACATAGATAAAGCCATAACGACTTGTTGCATCACCGCACACATTGCCCGCGACTTACGGTCGCTCCAGCAGTTGGTCGCCGTTGCCGCAAAATAGGTACATACATACATGATTTCACTTATAAATTGCTAAAGTAAAAAAAATACACATATTTCTCGGTTATTTCATAAACCGGCCTATGAAGCGTATGACAAACGTTTCACTAGAACTAGAAATCGGCAGCCGCAGAAAATAGCAAACGGATATAGTATTATAACCTATTGGGTTAATCGTCGTCACAAATGGCAAATATTTTAGTTATAGTGGTTTTATACCGGTATACAATAAACTGTATTGTATAGTAGCTATGCTATGAGATAACCGTAAGCTGTGGTGATATTTTTTTGTACGGCGAAGAATGATCAATATAAAAATTAGGCGTTTGCTAAGCTATTATTACTATAAAAGTTTCAAATTTCCACTTTAGGGCTTAGATAGAACGCGGTTAACCGCATCGCTAAACATTAATAGCTGATTCATTTTTTTTATTATTATAATAATTAAATCGTGTGTTTAAAGAAAAAATGTCTTATTATTTTTTACGGTCGATAGTATAAGCTCATCAATTAAATCAATAAATGTATGAAGTTAATTTTAAATGTTTATACTTTTTATATTTTTCTTATTGAAAAGTCACACTTAAAAAATATATAATTATTACTTATTTCCGCGCCTTAATATAATATATATATATGTATAAAAGCGTCAATCTCGATTTTTGGCCAAATCGAGTTAGACACTATTGCATACATTGCTTTCTTTAAAAAATGCACTATCTAAGTGCATGCGCCCTTATAGAAATCAAATAATTTAATATTGTGTTTTAGTTTTTTTCAGACCTACCTTTGTTTATTATTTTATAGTTTAAAATCACTTTTTACAATACTTCATAAAAAGTATTACAAACGTTGAAATTGTAAAAAGAATATAAAATAATATGTTTGTTAACTTAGCGATAACATTGTTAATTATTCTCAAAACTATTTTCCATACATTGAGCAATAGTCGTAACACAAAAAGAAAATATTTTATTACACTGGTAGGTATAATAATTGATGTACTGAATTTTTTATTTTGTATGTAATGTAATAATAACAGTATTATAATTATGTGTATGTAATATTGTACGCATATATTGTTTACTATTATATATTATATTGTGGTCAGTAGGGCGTGTGACGAAATACACTATAGTATTATTCAATATGATTTTTTTTTTATTGAATACTAGACCTTTTATGGTAGTTGTATGATAATGCTATACCTACTGTTTAATTTGGTTTCTATGGTTTTTAATCGATGGACATGTCAATTGACTGAGTTTGAGATAGTTATTCTTATAATTGTCAAGAAAATGGACGACTACAACAGACCGGGAACTTCGGGTGGAACTACCGGCCGGTCGGAAGATGTGGACGGAAGAGGGACGCAGGCCATTGTCGATGGTCAAGTCGGCACGGACTTTGTGGAAGAGTTTTTTTCCGGAAATTTCGGTGTCGTCGACTTGAACGCGGTCATTTCCGACGAGAGCTTTGAGATCGTACCGCTGGATCGTTTCGTCGACGCCGTTTCGACGGTACCGGTCGAGTGGGAAAACCATCCGGCAACCGGCAAGGCCGAACCGCATGGCCCGCTACCGGCCGCCAACGTGCCTCGTGGCCCTTACTTTTACCCCGACCAACGGTTGTCGATGACCGGGCCCGCGTGTCCGCCTTGGTTGCACGCTAAACAGTCACCGGCCGGGACAATATCGGCGTCCTATCCGGCGGCTGAATCGTCTCTGCTGATCGTCACTTGCTCACCGGACGGCGGCTTGTGGCCGTGGACGACGTGTTGCACGGCTTTTCTAGCCAACTTCGTTACCGGCGGACTTTGTTTTTCCATGTTCGCTATGGACGAACAACATGTTCGTTACGACCACGCTCTTTGTCACTTAATAGTGTTCAACTTGACGGCCGCTGTAGCCAGTAAGATCTTATTCCTCGCTTTATTCCAGGCAATTGGTGTGGGCCAGCAAATGTCTTTAATTTCAAAAATTCATCTCCATTCTTATTTACTACAAACGTATCGCTTTTCCATTTTGTTATTTAATTTTAGTTTAAAATCTAAAAAAATATATCTAATTTTACATTTTAACTACAATAAACTTTAGAAGGACGTATTCCTCAACGTACTCGGCCTGTAAAGACAATAATTATTTACCCACTAAGAACCAAGTTGCCCGTATTATTGTTCTGAGTATGAATTTTAGTTTAAAATAGCCAAGAAGCCATTGCTACAATAAACCATTTCACTAATATTTTTTTTTTATTTATAATGTATTTACGCCTTGATATTTAAAAACGAACGTATGAGTCAAAAGTGTGTGTAAAGTGCATGTGTGTATGTCTAATTCTGTCAAATTTTTTTGGAGGGGGGGGGGGTCAGTACTTCTTCAATTTTTAAACCTCAAGATTGTCTTTTTTTTTTAAGTACCTCTAGCCGGCGTGCTCGTCAACATATACGGGTACAGGTGTATCATGGCACTGGGCGGCGGCCTTTTGATCTTGTGGCTGCTTATGCTGACGACGGGGTGCACGGCATTTTTTAAGACGGTTTTGGGCATCGTCGGCGGTAATGGCACGTGACTGTATGCGATTTTGTATAATATATTTATGCTACAGGCGTTTAGGTTTCGGGGCCGGTGCAATAAACGGCACTTACTCGCTGCTGTTGTCGGTGTTGTTCACCGAACGGAGGGCTCTGGTGCACGGCATAGTCTATGTTGGCGGAGTAGCTGGGCTCATGGTCTTACCGCCGGCAATCAGGACCATATCGGAGAGCTCGAGTTGGCTGTGCGTGGCGGTCGTGTACTCAAGTATGTCGTACAAACAGTCGTGGGGGTCACGAAGATTTGTCACGAGATTTGCATGCGTTCTGTACACAAATTTGTCAAATCCTCGTGACCTATGCTGGTCACATTACTTACTAGTTGAGCTGGAACAGTAGCATAGACAACATTTGATGGACTTACAGCTCACGGTTGGCATGCCTGCATCGCCTCTGTTTATCAATCCGACCGTAACAGGTCGGTTAGGTCACACATTCGTCTCTAAACTTCTTCGCTAAACGTGAACTATGCACTCTTTCGGTTCTTCTAATTGAATTCCTAGCACAAGTACCTAGTAAATTCCCCGGTGTTTCTTAAAGTGAACCGAGGGTGATGCAGGTGGTGCGATGCACCGAGGCCGCAGCAAACCGACATAGTCTAGATTCGACCTCAACCCAAGACTCTACAACTCATATGATCCGACAATGCTTTTTGGAGCCAGTCCGATCTTGGCGGCGATCGTAAAAACACTTAATGATGACATTTGTTTTGTTTCAGCATTGACGTTGGCTGTATTCGGATTCGGTCTGCTCGTGGCCGTCCCGTACCCGTTCGAGTTAAAAGTGTTGGACAACGACGACGAACCGTTCGGCACAAGGCGGATCAGTCGGCACAAGGCGCAGCGGGCTGCTTACAATCACCGTTTGTTCAGTAAACACTATCCCCGCGTCAAGTACCCGACGGTAAAAGAAGTGATCGGCGATCGACGGTAATTGCTAGCTGATAGCACGATGGTCAACACAATGTCGAATTTGCACAGGACCCGCATGGTGTTGCTGACGGAGGACACGCCCAGGACGAAAAGGATGCCGGATTTGCGCGACGAAGACGTGTCCAACCAAATCAACGACCGGCCGAGAATACAGAACGTCGCCAATTACTGGACACAGCCTTCGCCGAGCGGCGTCAGACCGTTGTACAGGGACGACGTACACTTTGACGGCAACGTCAAACTGTTTTCGGATCAAACGGTGAAGGTTCAGCGAACGACATTCTATTCTGTTTCACACCTTAACGATCAACAGCTACGACGACCACTTTTTTCCAGCAATCCATGTTCGACTATCACACGTCCGTGAGCCGACTGTTTACGGTGGAAGATTTGGGGAGAAAGTTCAACCGCACTTTCGACGTTTCGCAGGATCCGGCGCGGCGGTCGTTAAAGATAGCGTTTGACGTCGAAGGCATCGAATTAGGGACGTACGCGGTTCTCTTGTGCACCGACGGGCTAGTGAATTTCGTTCTGTGCGCCATACTGGCAAGCTTAGCAGGCGAGTAACGCTCATCATACTTACTAGGACTCGGTTAGGTTAGGTCCTAACTCGGTCACCGAACTCAAGGGGGTGGTGGCTACAGTAGTTTTAACGTGACGTACACAGAAAGGCAAAAGTCAGTCTGGCCATGGTTTCCCTTCTGGTTATTATGTGAAAGTATTTTTTTAAAAAAAAGCTATAATACTTAAAGGTAAAAACGTATTTCTTCATAATATAGAGTGCCAACCACTCAATGATGGAGTTTTCCCTTTCTTTTATGTTAGTTCATAGCTTTTTTTATATTATAACTCTATGGTGTCATTGTACGTTTCTTCTTTGCTGTGCCAATATTATAGTGATGAGCAAAAACGTCAAGAGGCCGCTGTACGAGGGACTGACATGTTGCACTTGCGTCGGACTGTTGCTCGGTCGGTTTTTCGGATTCGTTTTTTGGGAAACTACGCCAAAGAACGTTCCGTTTCACATTTCCTTCTTGTGCTTAGTAATTGGCGGCTTGTCCGTTGCTCTACACGCCACGTTCGACCACGACATCTCACTTAAGGCACTGACCCTGATGGGATACGGTATCTTTACCGGTGAGCCGAAAAACGTACCGAGCCCTAAGAGATAGTCAAGCGACAACCTTGGCATGTGATACGGACAGAGTGTTTTTTTTTATCATGATTTTTTTGTACTTAGAACTTTACCGCTGCGGTTTGAAATCCACAATGTGCAGACTGATCGAAATTAGCCGGTTCACTCAGTTCCACACCTACCACACGCTGACTCGTGGAATAACTTCGACGGTTTCGTTCATGTGGATCGGTAAGAAGAGGGGGGTGGGGGTGTATCCAATTATTATATAATATTTTACACGTGGTACCCATTGTCATGAACTCGAGCCCGGCTCCAAGGGGTAGGCGACAAAGGCATTTCAAACCCGTCTCATTCACTTATGCAAAACTTGTGTGGTTAAGCGTTTGAGCCGGGTCTGATTTTACTGTAGTGATGGGAATCCGAAAATCCGGATTTTCACAAAAAAACGCTATTTAAGCTACGTTATTTAAGTGTTAAATAATTTTACAATATAAAGCTGTGTACCTAAGCAAAATGTGTTTGATAAATATGTAAAAATAAAACAAAACATCAAAAAGATCAACTGCTTTTGGATTTCGGATTTGCTGAAATCCGAAAGCATTTTATAGACAAATTTAAGAGTTTTTTTTTTTAATTTTCATCAACAAATTTTACTTAGGTACACATCTTCATATTGTAATAGTAATTAATATATGTATAAGATTTTCAAGTGGCTTAAATAGCGTTTTTTTTTTTAAAAAATCCGGATTTTCGGAGTCCCATCACTAGACTATAGTTCATTCATCAGTGCCTGACGTGGACGTATTCTTCTAATATCTTTCTTCGAAAGCTGGAAGAGCCGAGCACTTCCTAGCTCCAGTGTAACGTTAATACGCATGTTTTACCATTATTGGCCGTTCAAGTAGGCACACAATACGGTCAATTATTATGTTAACAAACCGTAGCACGTCTGACACTTCATATTAGCGGTTTAGCGTTGTTAAACGTTCCGTAGGGTGGGGGGAGGGGGTTTCTAAGCAAAACACACTGTTGCTGTTGTGAAATATCCAAATTATTCTAATGATGTGTAATAATGCGCAGGTTCGATGATACAACCAGTGGCCAATACCGGAAGTTCCGTATTCACGCTGTGCGGTAACGCGTTAATATTCAGTGCGTTTATTTTGCTCTTCGGTCATTTGTATTTGAACCGTCAAAGAACAAACGACCGGCTGCAAGATTACCCGTGATGGCGGCGGATATTTCCACGTGTAGAATATTCATTATATTTGTTAAAAAATATAATACACAAATGTTATGTATTAAACGAGCGTTGAGCCTGATGTGATCACAAAACCAATATTTTGTATTTGAAAATATAAAAACAGTACTATCATAAGTCCTGTCCTACATTAAGACGGCTCAATTGCTATAAAAAAAATATATACACTAACAAAATAATAGCGGCGAGTGTGATATGTGAACACAATAGTATTATTGTGTATTACAAATATGAGAACAGTACTATGGCACTCTCCTTTTTAAAGTTTTTAAAGGGCTAATGGACAACCGATCTTAAGGGGTTTTATGATTTTTTTCGTGGGGGGGGGGGTGAAGAGGGTTTACTCAACGCAAAGGGGTTTTGTACAATACGCGTAATACGCACTGTTGGTATACGTTTCCCAACGCGCGTGCAGGTATAGCCGGTAATAGATCAGATATTATTTTTACATAGGTGTGTGTTAATTTGATCATGTGTTGTATATTTCCCTATAAACACTTGTACCTGTGTCGGGCGAGCGCGTGTTGCGGAATTGTGTCCCTACGCCGTGCCTGGCTAGTTGTTGAATAATAGATCACCGAGACAAATCAATGAGAAAGTGACCGTGCGGATCTCGACGTCAGCAACACACACACTACCGTTGTACACGGTGAACTATATAGCCGATACTTAGAAAATGAAAAAGTAGTATAATAACAGGCAATAGCTATTCAATGTGCCTACGTACCTAGTTTTTGATTGATATCCGACGTCGAAAATTATCTATGAACTACCGCGGCCGATTTTTCGAAAAGAAAAAAAAAACTCAAAGATCTTGAACAACTACAACAAAAATATATTATAATATTAGCGGCCGTATAAGATGTATCTCATTGGGTTTAATTGATAATATAATTTGTTTTTTTCATAGTATTTCACAATGTTTATGTTCCTACCACCTCTCAAACTAATAGTTTTTATAAATTCAAACTCTTATAACTTCAAAAATAGTTGTTCAAGCCTGGTTAACAACCGGTCAAAATGTTAAGTCAAATATTCTTAGCTTAAAAATTTAATAAAACGTATACGTTACTATTTAAGTTTTAAAAGTTGGTATAAAAATAATTAGGGGAGGGTGTAAAAAAAAATTGTGATCTCATTCTATAAAAACACTATGAAAAAAAAATTACATTTTTTTATTAAACCCTATAAGATATGGCGTTACCAGGATTAAGCCGGCTTCAGTACCCTTGATCATTTCAGAAATATCTGACAGTGCTGCAGCCCCTAAATACCCGGTAACTATTGAAACGTCGAAAAAAATAGGCTGTATTATCAATTTCGAGTCAAATTTTGAATTCGACTAACGCCCAACCGGTAGTATCAAAAATGTTTTTAGTAATAATCCGTTTTGCATATAAGTATTTGGCGACAAATCTAGGATGTTTTGTTTACAGTTTACTGCATAAAAAACATAATAATATGTAACTCGATAGGTAATAATTTGTTCAACATTTAACCACAGAATAATTTAATTTAGATTTTCATCGGAGTGTATTTTTTTAGTTAAATGCGACAATGTGTTCCTTTTTTGGCCTATTTTATAAACTGACCAACCGGAACTTATTCATAATTGTATTGTGTTATTAACCGCAAAAAAAAATCTTAAAACGGTTTGTTGAAAAGTTTACACCGCCAAAAAGCGGTTTAGAAAATAAAATTAATTGTCGACTAGGAGGTAATCAATAGAATAATTTTTAAAATGCAATAATATTCTCTACAAGTTGTTATTTTTACACTCCTTATTTTTATTTTTTTATCAGTTCATTAACTTGCCAATCAATAATTTTGTTTTGATAATATTTTATTGAAATAGGTACTAAAAAAAATAATAAATGAATAGATTTTGTTTATAGATATTATTACATTTTGTAACATTTTATACCCATGTGTTGTTTATGAAGTTAAATTCAATATATGTGTGTGCGTTTTTTTTCTTCCAACAAGTGCCTATAGAAATACTGTATAATATATATATATATATATGTTTTAAAACTCAATTGCTGTATTATAGTAGTAAAGAAAATCCAGAGAAAGCAGTGAGCCAACACTAATAGTGGGAGGTAAAATTATATGATAGCATTTTTTTTCTTATTATTAGGTCGGAAAACTCGGTAAGGCAGTGGGAAATGTGGACAATATATAAACGAATATTTTACTTAAGTCTTATACTCAGTTTGAATACAATACGATTGATTCAGTCGCGTTGATAATATATTTGCCCAGAACATATTTTGTGCGAAAAAAAAACAATATGAAAACCACTCAGGTACGTGGAATTACATATATTTAATGAATACCTACTTACAATTACCTATTTGTTTACTTTTATAGTTAAATTTTGTCATAATAGATCATTTTTTTATAAAGTTACGATATGCCTATATTTATTTAATTTGGTATTTTAAAACAGGCTTTTAAATTAATTCTTAGAAAAAAAATGATTATTTTTTATTTATTTAATTAAAAATATGTTAGGTCAAAATTGATTTTAACGTTACACCTACACTAGTTCATTGTGTTTTTGTCTAATAGTAGATACACTAATAAAGATACAATAAGATAATAATTTTAATATTTTAGTTAATTTTAACTATCGCTGTGGGTTGTTGAGTAAAACCTTTTATTTAATTATGGAATCCTTAATGTCTTTTAATTGCCAATTCTAAAACATTTAAAGATTTTGTATCACTATTTAAAAACAAAAACATTTTTTTTTTTTTTTAGTTTAACATTATCAACGGTAATAACTGAAATTAAAGCAATACATTAATGATCTTTTATTTTTTCATATAACAATTGGTTTTTATAAAAATATTTTCAATTTTATGATTTGATTTTGTTCATTAATACTTCACTTGACAGTATACTTTAATACAAATTTGCAGGGCCGTCTTGGGCTGTGCAGAGGCACTTGAGCACATAGAGTGGGGGGAGGGGCTTTAAGAAAACCCCCCAAAAAAAAGGAAAGATGTAAATTGTTGTATTATTTGGGGTCACCTATCAGGCCAGGGCCCTGGGTTCATGCCCCACATGCCCTTAGGGTAAAGATGGCACTGAAAATTTGTTTAAAATTCTTTTTTTTTTTTATTTAGGTGTTTGTTGTCTTTTTCATCGTGTCCATACTTGCCACTGGCTACTCTAGATCTTTGGAGAAACGTGATTTACAGGAAGTCGAAGACAATGAAGCGCTTTACACTTCACACGGCAACTACGGAGGCGGCGGTGGCCACGGACACGCCACGTCTTACCAAAGTTACGTGCTACACGCTTTCCATCCGTCCAAATTCCACGTCAAAGAACACTGATCGAACCAAATGAGCACGTCGTCGAAATTAAGTCATCCCACGAACAAAGCCTACGATAAAAACTGTTTGCAGATTCAAAATGCAAAACGTTAATAATATTGTCCTTCGTTTCACCATTTTGTAATCAGATTGTAAGATATTGTTGTTTGTATTAAATAAGATCTATTATCAACAGATAAAACATACTCATTCGTCATAGTATATACCTATTATACATATGTATTCTGTTAATTGTGTACTGATATTTTTCACTTAAACCGAACGCTTTAAAATATGTTTATATAAAAGTGAAATAAAATATGTTTATTTTTTTATATTATTAATGTATACTTTAATTTTTTTAAATACAATCTCTTAACGATACGAAATGTATTATCACACTCGAGTGTTGTGTTTACAAAGAAAAAATAATATAATTTCTTAAACTAAATAATGTAAATAATTTTTTATAGAACTCAACTTTTTCACAAAATTTAATTGTAGAACTCGTGTTCTGATTCATCTTTTTTAATGTTGTTTTTGTATCCTTTTTCGAAGTCTTTAGGTAGCACAATGTATCGGTTTTCACGTACTGCATGCATTCCAGCCTAAAAAATAAAATAAACAGTTCATTGGGTTGCAATTGTTTTTTTAAAGTGTCATGGAACATAGATATTGTTTTTTCAAAATGATTAAACAGACAGAATATGTTGCCCAAGACCAAACTTGTTCGTGGTCAGGTGAACGACCAAATTTTAAATAACACAAAAAGACTTAACAAAACATTAGTTTTTTTTTTTTATTATTTTGATAAATTGTTTTATTAATGAATAGCGTACGGTTTAGTTCTGAAGACAGACCTTACATAGAGACTGTTATGTCAAAACAAAATTTATTTTGTGGATATATTGAAGAACAAAACAATGTCAGACTTTTTTTTTATGGAATACATATTTCAAATTCAGTCTGACCTGTTTACTGTCATCTAAATTTGCACGATTAAAATGTTATAGTTCAATAAACAAAAGTTAAAGAACAAATTAGGAAAACCTGTAAAATAAAAATGTTTTTTCTTCGATTGTAATTACTTTAAAAATCCGCGTTAGAAAAATTTGTGAAAATGCATAGAAATCCTATGTGGACCCTTTTTGCATTCGTCTACATATATTATGGACTTAAAATATAATTTATCAGTTATTCATCAACGATAATTGTCATAATAAGGTGAAAGCATTATTTGTTCAAATAACAATGTTATGTTACCTCTTGACAAATGGCATTGATATCAGCTCCAGAAATCCTGTCTGGTCTAGCAACGTAATCTTCCAAGTCGACTTCTTCGCTGAGATTCATTTTAGCCGTTATAGTAGAGAACACTAAACGCTTCTGTCTGCGATCTGGCAATGGGAATTCAATTTTCCTGTCTAATCGTCCGGGACGCAATAAAGCGGGATCTAGTGTATCAGCTCGGTTAGTGGCCATTATCACTTTGACATTGGTGGTTTGATCGAAACCGTCCATTTGGTTGAGCAACTCCAAGAGAATACGTTGGACTTCACGATCAGCACCAGTTTGGGCATCGAAACGTTTTGTGGCAATCGCGTCAATTTCGTCGATAAATATTATAGCTGGTGAATTTTCCTTAGCTAGACGGAAGACATCACGCACCATACGTGGACCTTCACCTAAATACTTTTGAACAAATTCCGACCCGACAACACGAATGAAAGCAGCTGAAAACAAAACAAAATTTTTACAGTTGAAATCACAAACAATTGTGTGTTAAATTCATTCTCCAATTTGTGTAAGTCCATAAAAATAGATTTTATACAATTAATATAATATATATTATTTAAAAACTTTTTGTGCAAAATTTGTCACTTGTAACTAATATTAGTGTTTGTAACAAAAAATTATAGGAAAATAGTTGTACAGACAAGGCAGATTTTTTTTTTAAAGTAAAATGCGTTATTATTACAAGTCAATGATTAGAATACATTATTTATAATTATAATATTTAATGTATTATTTAGTATTACAATAAAATTAGTAGTAATGTAATTTTTGGTCATACTTTAATACAAGATTTTCTGTTTAATAATAGTTCAATAGAACCTTTTTTTATTTGTATTGATCAAAAATATAATCTTAAAAAAACTGAATTTCTCAGCATTTTCCCTAGGTAAATACTTTCCTATATTTGGTTTTTTTTAAGTATAATTTGTAGTTAAATAAGGTTTTATTGAATCAGAATAAAAGTCCATGGAAGAGATTCAAAAGGAATTCCAATTATCGATTGGTATATTGGATCACAATAATAGGCCTTAATTTTGTATGTTGTGTACGAGTGGAACAAAAACAGAAAATAACAAATCCCTTTAATAGTTGTTACAAATTACTATGACAATAATTGGTTTAAAAATATATTTTATCATCGCATAAACATTATTTATTAGTTAAAAGGCTAAAATGTTTTTTAATTTAATCAGTCGTATTGTTATTACCAGTAGTGTGATGAGCCACGGCCTTAGCTAACATGGTTTTTCCACATCCTGGTGGACCGTACATCAATACACCTCGAGGTGGATCAATACCAATTTGCTTATATAACTCAAAGTGTGTTAATGGCAATTCGACCGCTTCACGAATTTCTTGTTTCTGCATGTCCATGCCTCCGATATCAGAATATTGAATATCAGGTTTTTCGTCTGCAATTGTACAAATGATTTTATTGTCAATTAGTTTTTTTTCCATACAAATATTGAAAAAAAATTGTTCCCTCAAAAACTAACAGGTTTCACTTGTCGAACTAAAAACACCACTTCAGACCTTTGATAATCCAAGTTGAAGCTCGGTTTTTTATTGGCAAATTGTAACGTATTAGTTATTGTACATGGTATCGATATTATCTATCTGTATAAACTCAGTTATCTAAGTGTTTATACATTTTTTTGTGAAATCTCCCTTCTCCTTTCCCCAAAAAATCAGGACACGAACAGTCATACAAACGTGTCTATTATTTTTTTTAAATTACATACCGGCCTGTAACATAGATATGGAGGAGTCTGCTTCAGGAGGTAACACATCGACTAGAGCGTTACTGTGTTTATGTAAAGCTACGCTGGCCGATGGTTTGAGTAGTTCACGGTCAATGGTCGACAATATGCGTACATAGTAATTTGATCCAGTAGTACTGCCGACAATACCAGTGTTCTGGTCGACAGCTTCGAGAAACTGTCCGATCACTAGAGGCACACTCTGAATACGTTTTACTTCTTCTTGGGCATGTAAATATTCTTTTTTCAAATTCCGCTGTTCATCTTTAATGTATTCTTCTTGAACAGTCAAAAATTCTAAATATCTTTGTAAACGCTGAAATAAAAAGTGTAATCAAAATATATGTTCTTTTGTCACCTTTTGTACGAAAACTTACCTTATATCTAGAATAGTGATCCAAGCTGTCTAATCCGGCTTCAACGTTATTCAAGTTCGGTAAGGTTGGCTTAGCGTCTTGGCTATCATCCTAGGTTAACATAAATAATAACACATGTATAATTAGTTTAAAAAATGTACAACATAATGTAATAAAATAGTATGTTCAATATGTTTGCCGGAATAAACTAATATTGACTTGGCAAAAATTTTTTAATTTATTCCATGTTAGAACTCATTTTTATTGTTTACATATTATAGATGAGAAACCCTACAATATAAAACACTATAATATTGTTGTATATTATACAAATGTTCAAAATAATAAAAAAAAATGTAGCATTTGTTATACTTCACTAAAATATATTAAATTAATAAGACAAAAAAGAATTGTTTAAATACAGGTATAAAACATATTATATTTGTTATTATTTATACTTTAAAATACTCGATTTTATTGAAATGAATTCGGTGTTAATACATTTTTTTTTTTAATGCAAATGTAAATAGGCACTGTATAATTGCATTTGTTTAATAAAAGATGATAACATTATTTTCAGCTAATTAATAAAATAACAATGTTACGAGGATCTAAAATCATACATTAATAATATGGAACGGATAATGGTGTATTACTAAAATTATTAGTTTTCCAAACGTTTAATATTTAATTAGCTTCAAAGTATAATAAGTATACCCTGAACAACAAATATAATATAATAATATATTAACTTTGACAAAACAAAATATTTTAGTAAATCAGGTCCAAGTAGTTGATATAACTGTAAATATTTTTTTACGTACCCTTTCCGGTAAAACAATACCGATTTCTTCCATTTTATTAATATGTATATCGTATAATTATTATTTAAAACTAATTAAACAACTTTAAAATGCTGGGTGTTAAAAACGTTTTTATTTTATTCGAGTGTTAAATGTACTTGGTTCTGCTAGAATATTATTTTCCTTTATTCGTTATCAAAATGATTAATCACAATTTTTATGATAGCACTAACATAACCTCAAAAAAACATAAAAGTAAAAAACACAGATGTAACGATATGAAGTTATGGACGAGATAAGCGGACGATGTTTGTTATAAAATATATTATTGTGTAATATACTATATAGCAAAAGAAATGGGAAACTTTTTTATATATTATATTTTGTTTACAAATTTACTTGTTATTATATACATACCTCATGTTACAGATGCCCAATGCAGCATGCATTCCCTGTGCCTTTTTGGAATTTTTTATTCATTATAGACAATAGATAGAAGTTATTAGTTTTGCATAACTGTTCTGAAATTTGAATCGTTGCCAATAAAAATGTCCATTATCATCCATCACGTTTATTTTGACATATATGTATATATATTTATATTATATTAACTAACTAATAATAATCTGTACATTGATGTATATTGTTTACGAATAAAGCAATACTTTTTACATAATGTACTATTTGTTTACTTTTCGAATTTCAAATAACCGAAAAAAAATGACATCATAAGCGAACCAATTCTGATTGGTTTAAAATTTGAACACTGTATTATCAATATTATATAGGTGGCTATTTAAAATTCTATAAACATATTATATTATACAACATACCATAGAATTAGCAATTCCTGTCAAAATTGGCAACGATGGAAAAATTGCCTATAATGTTACAAAATAGAATGTTGGGCTGTAATACCCGATTTTTTTTCCTGTATGATTTTTGTATTTTACATTGAACTAATAAAGTGATTTTTGGTGATTTGTTTTATTAAAATATGTACACCTTGTTATATATTAACATGGTTTTTATTTTTAATAAAATAAGTACCTAGGAAAACAATACTGTACACTCGACGGTAAATTAGTCAATTATTGTAACACATTAAAAAAATGTTATCTACTAATTTAAGTTGTAAAGCTGTAGGTAACATGTTTCACTTCATACATTCCATCAACACTTGAAAAATGTGCGAATGCGATAGGACGTGTCAATACAGGCAAGTTAATTAATATATTAAATAATTGATATGATTATTATTATACCTATTATAATACTGTGTATCGTTTAAAACTAAATCTGAAACAAATCATTACCTATTCGTTTATTAACGTTTATTTCTTAGTTCTTGAAAGGTAAAGTATTTTACTCTTCATGGTTTGCTTTATAACGGTTTTCGAAGATTCACTTTTTGACCATTAGATTGTGCTCCAATGTTGCGTTGTCGTCGAAACAGTATAGTTATAGTAATAATTACATAGATCTTTACTTAGTTGATTCTTAGGCTTAGGCAACCCTAAATACAAAAAAAAAATGTAGGTTAATTGTATACATAAATACGGTACACACGTATTATAATTTTACGCTATTAAGTGCATAGAAACAGGGAACTTGAATAAATAGAGCAGGTTCAGGTTATAATACAGTTTTTAATTTTTTTATTTTATTGCAAATGTGCTATTCGGACAAAAATATAATACTTTATACATATTTTACTTGTATAAGTTAAAAGTATGTTAAAATGTATGATAATAATATACTAATTAGTCCTTTATACATCTTATGATAAACATTAAACTTATGTTTTGGAGTTTTTTTAATGTAAGTATTACACACAAATAATAGCAGCATCAAATTAATCATTTAATACTACCTACTAAATTAATCACAGATATTTCCATTGTATAACTCATTTTAAAGGCAAATATCTCCAAATCTAAAGCCCACCGAAACAAACTAACGTCATTTTTTTAATTAGGGCCTTAATGTCGGTAAAAAAATAAAGTCAATTCTTAAGACCACAAAGTGTGTGAATGCATCATGCTGTTATACATCAACATATAATATATTTTTTAGATGAAATCGTGTAGTTATTTAAGTTGTTAAAACAACAATTATCATAGTAGGACATATTTTAAGGGTTATCATAGTGTTTAAATAATTCGAGTACATACATAATAATATTATAAAATTTAAAATACATTGTACCTTATTGCGGTTGTGTGATAATAAATTATAAATAGTACTCCAATGTTATTATTCTTTAATATTATGATCGACTAAGAACTGTAGTTTAATAAAAAAATAATAGAGTTTATTAACGCACACTTAATTACTAATTTGTATCAAAGGTCTGGGGAATGATGACTAGGTCATTGTTTTGTTTTCTGTGTAAATGTAAAAACATAGTAACTGTCAATACTAATCGATATGAACCATTTGTATATGTATAATATACAATTGCGTTTGGTTATTGTAATTTGGAACATTGTAATCTGTACTCAATAATTGTTAAAGATATCTAATGATTTATTATATATTAATCAATTTTACAATTGAGATATTTGTATATTAATAACGTTAGTAGTCTACGTTGCGTTGTTCTTATCATTCAACTAGTTCAATTATATTTTGATGTACATAATTTGAAATGATTATTCCTTAGAGAAACTTCTTGTAAACTTAATGTATACTGTTTTATTGTAATAACCTAAAATTATTAGAGAATAACTGACGAAAAAATATATATTAATTATACCGAGTACATTCAATCACTACAACTGAAGAATGAAGTTTAAATGTTTTTAATTGTTTTAGACGTTTATTGTGTGTACCAAACGTTTGTGTTTTAAAAATGTTAAAGTAGTATTGTGTTTTAACTATAATGAAATTCAAAACTTAATTTTTTTTAAATAAAATAAAAATTTTTTATACGATAATAATATTGTGTGTTATGTATTTTTAATGTTTTACTGAAACTTCGTGCTGATTGAGTCTTACGAATTATTCATAAGGTATATAATATAGACAATTACAAGTAAGTTAGCAAACAAATATAAAACCCTATTATATGTCTTACCTAATACAGTTCAATTTTCATACTGCAGTTTTTACACATAACTCCGGACAGCAAAATTTCTGAATTACTAACATCTTACACTATAGCTACAGTGAAACTAGATAGTTACATGCAATTTTTTTGGTCTTTTTATATTTGTATATATTTCATATTATAGACATTTATTTCCTTGGCAGAGACGCAATTTCCAAAAAAAATGAATTGACAATTTTCATTTATTTACACTGTGGATTAGAATACGGGTTTGTTTATCATGTTTGTTTTCCGTTTCATGTCAAATTCATTGAAAACGAGTTAAAGTCAAGTTTTTTTAAAAATAAAAATGATTTCAAGTAGAGGATATAGTTGAAGATTATTTATTTTGTTTTTGATTTATTGAGTAGTATTATTAACTTAAAACATAGGTAAAAATTTTATATTAAAACGGTGCCATGTATTATGTCGTTTAATTGTGTATTATGGTGTTTGTATAGAGACACTCGATTACTTAAAACTGATTATTTGTATTCGAACGCCTTCATTCAAAGATCATTGTTACACAACCGTTTGTGCACGCACTCAATTGCATTAAAAAATGTTTTGCTTGTATATTTGGCATCTATAAGATTCTGACGTTATAGAACATAAATCAGCCGAGAAAGTAATTAGCGTATCACCATTTTATTACACAAGAATAATGAATATGTTTGATATTGAGAGGCTCGTGTCGGGTATATTATACTGTATTATTATATCTTTTGGGCAACAGGATCCTTTCATTATAACCTTTTTTGTCCTTTGGCGAATGCTCGGCTCCAAAAACCCGAAGAGGGCTTAAGGGGATCAATCCCGGGCCCATCCCCCCACGGGCTTTGATATTTATATCTCTGATAATGATAATAAACGGAATTTTCACTTGGCAACGGATTATGTTGCTTAATTTTACTGTAAAACAGTTTCGAATAGGCCTCTGTTATTATTGGATTATAAAATACGCCAACCCGTATTATGTGTACCTTCGTCACATTAGGCCTGGCGCAAAACGCGAAGGGCTAAATGGCGGCAAACTGAATATTTACAAAACTGTAATCTTATTGGGATTGTGTTAAATGTTTTATTATTAAACTACGTTTTCCGATCGATTATAATCGTATTATGCCCACTAAATTTCAATTAATTTTACATCAATTATTTCCAAGCGATTAACGTTAATATCGACATAAGCAGCTCTTATCGTGTTTTTTTTAAAAATATTATAGAATTATAATTGCAAAATTACTTTAATCAATATGACTCAGAACGGATTTAATATTGTATGTGAAGTATTGTTTATGATCGTTACGCATTCATTGGCAGTTAATTTTCCTTTGCGTTTTGTCGACCAAATAGGTAATCAAAATGAACGACCATTTTATGAAATTTTAATTTTTGAGTCTCCAAACCGTTCCTTGATATTAGCGATAAATCAGTGGCGTTTATGTTTTTGCAAATCATTTCTTACCGCATTTGGTTTTTTTTTTGTTAATGTTTTAGGCAATTTAAAATGGAACAATGGAAAAAAGTGTGCTACTATGTAAGTGTATTTGTGGTACTTCGGGAAATGCGCCCTCTGGAAACATTTATTATCACATATATCATGTCTTTATCGGATGAATACTCCATCGCTACGGTAAGTAATAGCGATTATTATTTTGAAAATGCTTTTTGTTAATTAATTATTGGAAATTTATACGGTAATGAGGTTTGACCGTAGAACTTGAGACATGACCAAAAATATTATTGTGTTATTGACTATTTTTGTGATTAAGCCAACTATGAAATTTTAAATGCAATTCCTTTTAAGATTGAGACAAGAGTTGAGGCAGCTAGAAACTTGTATTTTTATATATATATATATATATATATATATATATATTTAAGACGTGTTTCAAAAGAGTAGATCGTAAGTTCATAGTATTATATTACTATTAACTATTGTATTGTATTGTATTAGGTATTTAATTATTGTTTTTAATTAAAGTTGATGGAACTCTCGATAAAAGGTAAATTAATTAATTAAAAGAGAGGTTAATTAGTAATTTCATAATATTTTAAGATAAAATTAGTACAAATATTTTCAAAAAAAACAACCACAAAATGTCGAGTATTTTCCGAGAAAATAGGTGTCCTACGTTAAATTGATCGCCCTGTATACTATATGACAGCATACGTTCGGTTTGTTGATGTTCGGTAGGCCGTTAGCCGACATCCCATAGGCAATTACACAGAAAGAAATTAGGTCGAATAGCTGTCAAGAGTAAAACAAACTTGGAACTTTAAATTCCCAGCATGCTTAGACTTGCGAAACTAATACCGCCAGACGTCAGCCAGTGTCTGTACAATGTAGTTTAGTCATCCTTGTGGACTTAACGCCTCTATTCTTATACTCGAAAGCAAATTAGAAGTTTATACGGTTACTTTTATGCGTTTAAAACCGATAAAATGTTATACGCTTTAACGTTAATCACAATCTGGGAAAACTTTTCTCGAACGATCGAATTTCAATACCATTATAATACAATTTACTGGACATTTAATGTCCGCTATCGATACACGATAAATTTCTAATAATGTTATTATGTTTGTATTTGAGATACTGTTTTCGTAGAGTTTTGCCTTATCTAATTTTCTCAATTGATTTGATATTTTCACGAAGCATAAAGTAAAATAGAATCTTCATTTAGTTCATATTTTATCTACTGATAGGATTTGAAAAATGTTCCTTTCAAACGGACTGCATATTTTTGGTATCACTATTAAGTACATCTGAGCTGACTTACAATGCATTTATAACCACAAATGTGTTAGATGATTGTACAATGAACCTTGGCCCTCGCACACATTTTAGCATTAACCAATTTGAATAATAATATTATATGTTTTCTCGTTTTACGCAACGTCGCAATCGTTAATGTAAATGGATTAAAGAAACTTTTCTCGGGTTAAAACTTTACATTAGGTACATTTAACGATTAAACGTAGATTAGCGTATAACTTTACTTATCTGAAGTATGAATTAAGTACCTATTACGTGGTATCGTGTAAACAGCTGATATACTGTTAAAGAACATATAGATTACAACTTGTATAAGTTATATAAGGTGTTTTGCTTGTCAGTATTTAGTAGAAACACTTGGACGTTTATGTAATTGTATATTACTGATTATTTTTCCATATTATTATTTTTCTTGTTTATTTGGTTGGTTTTTTTTTTGGGGGGGGGGGAGAATATAGCAATTATGTAAATTTAAAAAATGAGGTTTTATAACTATTTTCAAACCTTGAGTTTTTTATATTTGTTTTGTACAAATTGGAATACTTAAATAAATACTGTTTTCGATTTGTTGATGCAAAAGTTCATTATAGTGTTCCGGCTTTTTTTTTTTTGCATCTATCATTTTGAATGTAATTTTATTTTAATTTAATACGAGTAAGTCAAAAGTACATATTTGATGCGTGTACACATTACATTGTACATGTATTGTAAAAAAAACTGTATAATTAGTTGGTTGTGAAATTGCTACGTTTGAGTGTTACTATACTTTTTAGGGATTAGCTTTTTTTTTTAATTTGTAATTGGTGTTTTTTTAGCAGTGTACATTTTCGCGGTAATAATAATTAACAACGGTAGTTGGCCGCAGTGTATTTTTTTGTTTTACCCTTTTTTGGGCCGTAGGTATAGATATAAAGTTTAACCGATAAAACTAATAATAAGTATAGGGTATATATCCAGTTTCCCGTTACCTGACTAGGCTGGTTGTTTATACGGATTTTAAGGTCGTGCATGCATATCATAACGCTGGCAGGTTAGATAATACATTGAACAGCCACTCGAAATATGGCGAAAGCGCTTTTAGCTATAGCTAGACTAGCAGATAAGTACACTACAAGACAGTATAGCGATTACTGTTTGCATGTATTAATATTCTACGTCAAGTTCCTTTTAAGTTCATGTTCAACCCCTTTGCTGTTGCACGATGCCCGTCTTCTTACAGCGTAGAAAGGGCCTTTGGATGGAAATCCATTGATGTAGTAATTAAATTACAAATTAGTACGGTTAATTAATTTTGTCGAACGAAATCAAACAATAATTCTTAAAAAAAAAATGACTTATAATTTTACACTATTTATTGCAAACAAGTCTATAGTATATATTATACATTATGTTTTTTATGAACGACGTCTAGTTGTTAAAATAAACTGTTGACTGTTGTTACGCAATACTAAACTAATAATAATTATTATAGGCTAGACTATATTTAAATGTTAAACTATAATGTCGAGAACTACCATAAATGGTTTAAATGTTATTAATAGAGGATTATTATTGGGTGTTCAATTTAAATATACACAAGCATTTGTTACACAACTTATACACAACATTTAAACAAAATTATGACAATTATTATCATGGTTTTATTGTTTGTATCAAAAAACTGATTTCTGGCTCTACATTATTCAAATAATGCCCAGCTCTGCTTCTGAGTACGGTTTCATTGTAATATTATGAACAGCTGTATGGAATGAAATAATAATAATTATTAATCGAACTAAATGATGAAATAGTTTAATATCATTGCTCGTTATTAGAAAACAAGTATTAACTAAGAAAAATATAATTAAATTATTACATGCATTTAAATTATTTATCTTAAAAATGAAAAGGTTAAAAAAACGAATTCAATTATTATTTAATGGATTAATTACATTTTTTTGTTTTAATTATAATTTGACAATAACATTTCTTTTTGTGTCTATCTACTATTTATTTTGATACTGTTGTATATAACAACTTGTCTGTAGTGTGTTACTCTATGAAAAAGAAAATGTTTTGCTAAAGTTTTATAGTTGATAGATTTTTGTTTTTTTTAAATAAAAGATGTTTAAAAGTTCAAGGTTTGAAGAAAGGCATTAGGTTCCTCTAAAGAGGAAGTCAAGGGCAGGGCGTGTTTTTATTTTATGTAAATAGTTTATATTATTCTTAGTTACAACACATTTTTTCACAATGTTTCGACAAAGTCGTAAAGGAGATACTTTTATTATTATTTTTTTAAAAATATTTTTATAATAAACTTAAAGCTAAGATATTAAGGTAAAATTTCGATCTTAAAGACTTAATGGAAAAGTTTTCAGTGATAAAGTTAAATGTGTAAGTCAAATGGAGTTTTTATAAAACGGTGATAATACCAGTTTAAAATTGGTTCACGAAGTTCGTTTAATTTTTTAATGTCTTACCGACTTATAAAAAATACTAGTAATATACATTTAAACGTAGGTATATTTCAAATAAATTTGAAAGTGAGCTTCTGAAATTGAACTAATGTTAGAAAACTTTGATGTGGTCCTTTTTTATTTTAATAATTATTATTATTTTTGCCTTTGCTGTTTATAGTTAAGTATATTTTTACGGCAGTCTCTGCTGTCTCGTTAGAGTATACACATGATTAAATTATAATAGGTTTAAAAAAAATATATATATATTTATAATATTACCATACCTGGTTGCACACGAGGTGGGTTCAGCTAACAAGCGGACGGAGTTTGTATTCGCCTTGGTCCTGACGGATTAAGCAAATGTAGTATTTTATTCACATACAGGTAAATCGCATCCGATCATATGTTTTATAATAAAAACGGCGAATGGCTAACCTCGTTTACAAGCAGCTTTATAATTAATACCATTGAGTCTAATTGTAGTCGATTGAATATTTATTTGATTTAAACAGATATATTTTAATAAATTAGGTTATGTTGAAAAAAAAAAATGTTGACCGCACTAATAATACTCAATTTTTAAATTTTTTTTGTTCAATTTAGATCAAATCAGAAATGTTCCCTCTGAGTATCTACATCAGCGTGCTCCTCATAATTATATGTTTTCTAATTACCGATTATCTACGATACAAACCGATCATTATAATGAATGGATTATGTGGTATTACATACTTTTCCTTACTACTGGGATCGCCAAATATTATTGTTCTCAACGTATGGATACTATATTTTTTTTTCATTATACAAAAATTATAAATAGGTTTTGGTTTTTACTTAGAATAAATGTTTGTATGTGTAGATAAGTCAAATATTTCACTCGATATTTAGAGCTTCCGAAATTGCACATTTTTCGTACATGTTTGCCAAAATCAACGACAAAAATCAATATCAAATCGCAAACAGTAGAGTGAGAACTGCATTGATGATCGGCAAGTTCAGCTTCAGCTTACTAGCTCAAGTTCTTTTATCCACCGAATTAGCTACGTACACGGATTTGCTCTATTTAAGTATTTTCGGTAAGTTCATCCCACAAACGTTATTAGCTTACACAGCCGTGCATGTTTTTTCTTCTTCTTCTTCTCCTCCTAATCTCTTACAAATGAGATCGGCTATCGTTACTCACTTTCTCAGCTGAACTCCATCATTTAACTATCTGTTTCATATAACTTCATATGCCTTTATTTATAACATACCATGACAGTTGTCAGTTGAACTCTTCTACGGGATGGCATAAGCTCTAAACACTGCCATTTTATAACTTACTTCTTTTACCATTTTCTTTCTATTCTATTCTATTTCGGTACGACCGAACTATGTCAGTCTCTTTCATCTCACTTACTATAATGACGAAGCCCGTGAACTATACTTATAGTAATGTATCTTACCTTATCACTCTACACATCCATCTACCGACATTCTCATTTCAGCTATCTTCATTTTTTTTATCTCTATTATTGAATGCTCTAAATTTATTTCCATACCAAAAATTGATCTCACTACCATTGTACACAATTTTATTTCACTTTAAATGAGACTTTTCTGCCACGTCCTTACAACAAATTAGTTGAAGTCCATCTATCATTTGTACTCATCATAATTTCTTAATTTTGCCTATTCTTTTACATAAATAATTTTAAATTTATTTCTGGATCTTCGCGAAGCAACTATAACAGGTTTTTAAACACAATGTAACGTATTTATTAAAATTGTACTTTCAGGTATGAGTCTTTGTACGCTTTGGGCGTGTATCATGCCTTCGGTAAATATTAGCATGTATTTTTACAAAGAAACTGTTTCTGACAATATGACCGTGGGAAAAAATCAAGAAACCATCCAAATGAAAAACTTTGATACCAATGATTTATTTGATGGCTTAAAAGTACTTAGGTATTTTGAGTAATAAAATACAATATGCTCTGGGATGACTGTTGGTATAGTGTTGAGCTCTCTAGTGTTTATTAAAAAATAACTAATGCATTCAATTGTGAACATTACAACAGTCATTTTGGGTCATATTGTATAATACGGTGGTTAATTAAAAGTGTGTATTGTTTAAATGTTTAGCCAGTTAACAATAAAATGAAGTGGTCCGAAGTTTTGTGGAAACTAAGCGAAGATTTCAAAATGGCATATACCGACTTGAACGTTGTGAAATGGTCAATTTGGTGGGCAATGACTCTAACCGGCTACATACTGGTAAACGCTCTATACAAAACTTAAAAATAAAATAATACAAGCAATTAACAAAAAAATACATTTTTCGAATGAATCAAAAGGTGATGCAATACATGCAACTAATATGGCAGGAAATTTATTCAATTGATAATCACACGCCGTTAATGAACGGAGCAGTTGAATCAGCGGCGACACTCTTAAGTGAGATTACTTAATATGGTCTTATAAAGAGCTTGGAAGTATAGAAATACAATTTGGCAAACTATTGATCCTATTGGGCTAATATATTTTTTATACTTTTAAAACCATTTTATTTACCAAAATCGTATGGAATGCCTATTGCCTTTTCCTTAGGTTTATTCCAAACAATTAAGAAGTCAACCGTCGTCTGATCCTCTTATTCACTCTCTACACCCACTTCTTATCCTTCACATTTGCTCTGTCTATCTTACATACTGGGTTTCTGATTATGTTTTCTAGGTGCTGCTGCGACGTACACTTTAGGTAGAATGCGTGCCGACTGGGACAAATACGGAGAGCTGTGCATGTCTATTGTAGCTTTTGGTCAGGCTGTATTGTTGTATTTGTTGGCTTTCACGAATTCTCTGAAACATTCGTATATTTATTATATAATGTTTTGCTGTTCATATCAGACGATGTTAACAATATCAAGGTACTAATTATGTATAATTTTTATTTAAAATCGCTTTTTTTGTTCCTCGATATGTTTCCAAAATATCTGAAGTAAGCCACTTCAAGTTTCGCTCTCGTACTTAAGTTTTAGACATAAAATGCTATCTTTTATGATATATTTATAATTATAATTATAATTTATCTTATCTCTGCCCATAATATGGTTTTGTGTTATATATATTATACACTCCACTTATATATTACACTGTTGATATATTTATTAATCTATATTAATTTTACTTTATTAGTTTCTCCTTATGACTACTTCAAACTGTTTCATTCTATTAAATCTTTATTAGTAATTCTTCTTCTAATTTTGTGGCCATTCAAATTTTAATTTCCTTAAGAGGATTAAGACATAACCTCATATATTAAGGAGTTTGGTATAGGCAATTTTTTGCATTATCTTAATTTAAAGGTTAAACTGTAATGTATAACTATTATTTCAGTATTTAGGACTGTTTTTAGGTGGTTAATTTATTTTTCGGACCATCACAGCATCCTTGACAGCGATTACACAATTTTTTTTCATCTAAGCAAAGCGAATATTCTCTATTATTTTTTTTTTTTACATATTTAAAATAATGAGAACTCTATTTAGGTTCTCTCGTCGGTTTTTTTATATTAATCCAACATTCACAATTTATATTTTAATTCTGGAATTTTTTTTACTTTTTTTAGTGCTTGTGATTTTAAGGTAACATTTAAGTTTTCTAAAAAACCGACAAGAGAACCAAATTAAAATTCTTCTCTTTTTAATGGTATCAATTTTTTATTACATGACAATTTCGCTGTCCTACGCGTTTTTTTACTAACATGTTTTTACAATTATTTTTAATCGGTATAACGTCCTCTTAATGCACTCATTTTTTCTTTTTCTTTTTACTATCGTTTAACATGTTTATCGATACAACATAGCGATGGCTCTACAAGTGTAGTTTAGAAACTATACCCATTAGTCTAATGGCATAGCCCTATCATATAATACAACTGACGCTCCTTTTCTTTTCGTCTTTTCAAATCCATCCTTTTTCGTAATAGAGATACTAAGTACAATATTATTGCTTAATTTTTTTTTTTTTTTGTAAAAGGGATATGTGAACATTTTTTAATTTATTTACTACAACCGAATAAATAAAATAAATTTAGTAAATTGCAATCGAGTGATATTTTTTCTGCAAAACATTTTTTATTTTTTTTATTTCGTTTTTAGCGCAGAAGTAGCCAAGTTTCTCAAGAGAGATTGCTTCGCTTTAATATTTGGTTTCAATAAGTTCATCGCCTACATTTTAATCACCGTGTTCACAGCAATCGTTGTGGAAGACACGTTTTTCAATTTGCACATTCGACAACAGGTAAATTTTCTAATATTTCTTATCTACTATGAACTATGATAGGACTGATGCCACAGCGACGTGATGTAGAGCTAATCCTTACTTGCCAGCTGTCAGCTGGAACAGTTCGTGATTTTTTATTCATTTATTCATTTATTAATTTTTTTACTGAACTTTTTTCAGTTCTTCATCTACAGCGTTTATTACGGTGTACTGGGCTGCTTGTTTATATCGTTGGCGATTATCACACTGACAATGAGACTAACGCGGAAAACTCATGCAGAACCGAGACAATCCAGTGTGCATTGACATAATTTGTCTATAACTAATAAACTGGTATTTTGTAACTAATTTTGTATACATTGAGTGAGTATAGAAAAAAAATGTTATAACATTTAGGTCTTATACATTTTTTGGTACTGAATATAAAATTTTGTTTTAAAAAAAAAAATACTATTTGAAACATTATAATATGCGACGTGGTCTATGTAAAAATATCAACAATATTATAATATAATATAATATTCTCAAATATTATATATTAGTATAATATAATAGTTCAATGTCAAAACTCGATTTACCGACCGTACCGAATGATATAATAGCATTGCACAACATAATTTTTTAGAACATTATAATAATAATTGTTATAAATTATAGTGTACTGATTTTATAAAACATTTATGTTGTAATAATATTGTAATGTAAAACATAATAAGTACAGCTGCATTGTGCTCTGTGCGCAGTTGTTTAGTGTACATTAAAAATTAATTTATCGACCCGAGTGGTTTTTAATTGAAAGTACATATTGTTGAGGTCATAATAAAATTACTTAATATCCTGTAAAATATAATATTGGTTAATTATGGTCATTTTAATTTGACACAATACAAATAAAAATTGAAAACTCAATTAAAAACTTTATCAACAAATTAAATATGCATTTTTATCATACAAAATTCTAAATACTATCTGAGGTCTTAAATAATATAACTATTAACATCATAGTAAGGTTGTATTAGTAAAGTCATATAACGCCAGATTATCTGAAAATCCGAATTTTGGTTTATAAAATATAATTTTTAATATTTAAATTTTAGTAAAAGAATGTGCTTAAAGTCTTAGTTATCATTGATCTAAAGATATTTGTTTGCTTATTAAAATGGTTTTATTACAAACTATTAATAATAAAGTTTAAAAAAACGAATCCAAAATCCGGATTTACAAGTAATTTTGGATTTCGTACTCCAAAAATCCAGATTCTCGAACTTGGTAAAATCCGGATTTTCTCCTTTTATAGATTGGTTAGCTACTATATGTTTATTGATTGGGTATTTATATGTCTGTTACAAGGCGTTTATTCTTTGTAAGTTAGGGTTTTTTTTCAAATTACAGTTCAAAATTTACTCACAAATAAAAACAATTATTTTTCAAATCCTATACCTACCTTTATAAAAAAAAAATTGTTTCGTTTTTTCATTAAACATAAAATGTTGAGACAGTCACAAAGTTTTCCATTAAGAAAAAGTTCCATTATAATGGCTTAAAAAACTGCAACGGATAATGCCGTTATAATAATTAGAATTTTGTAATGTTTTGTTTAATATTACGTTAGTAAAACTTTGCTTGCGCTTTTATGTTTAAAATTGTAGTCTTAAAGTAAATTATTAATGAGGTACATATTGTCTTATGTATTGTATGGTTTTTGTAGAGTTTTTCAAACAATAGACAATACAAACATGGTATGATTTTTTGACCAACAAATTATTTTACACAATATGGAGTGGCTAATGTAACATACACTGTGTTATTATAAAAAAATTATAGCTAAATTTTTTGTCGTGTTGTACGAATTGCCCACGCGGCCATTTAAAAATAATTATGTTTGTTTTTTAGGTTTGTTGGAAACATTTTAATTACAATACTGATTGTTTTTTTAAAATAAATCCATGTATGATTTTAAATTTATAAAACTTATATTGGTGATTCGCCATTATAACGTTCTACCCAAAATGTTCAATTACTTTATATCTGATTCACTTGGAAATGTTGCATTGAAACGAGTCGTAGATGATTCATAAGGTTTCATAAATATATGATGTAATGTAATAAACCTTATACTTTTAGTGTAGGAGTAAGAGTCCGGTATGTCGTTGAACAGTCGAGGGAAAACAGATACCCTCGTTTAGTTGTATACTTACTTATGTAATATTAGGGTGTTTTCAAATTAATTTCCGCTGTACACCGTGTGTCATCTTATAAAACATCTGTGTATACTCAAGCAGACCCTTTGCGTAAACACAAAGCCTTTCTGAAAATGATATTTACTTTTGTTCGAGATGTACTATTTTACCAGTTAATAAAATAAAATGGAATACTAATGAACATATATAGATATACATCAGTTATTTTAGTCATCAGTATGACTAAACAGTCGGTGAACACATATTTATATTTTCCATTACTCGACATTTTTTTATATTTATTTCTTTCAATGATTTGATAGTGAGCTAAAAAATTAGTAAAAAAAAAACATAAAAAATTACCATAAAAATACTATAAGGGTTGTAGAAAAAAATATGTTTATTACGCGCAAACAACTAAATGTAGTTCATATACATAATGAAACTAGCTGCCTTATACCGACACCGCAGACGGATCAATACAAGTAAGTATACAATAAACTAATAATTAATAAACGCGATAAAAAAAATTGTATACAATATTAATTAAGCGATGATGTACATTGTATCTATGAATAATTTAAACCGTCTGGGTAAACTATGTATGAATATTTAAATTCTCGAGCGGTAGAAAAGAAAGGCTATTACGTGAACGCTAAAAAAAATATTTTATAAGTTTTTTTTATTAAACATTCCTTTGATATTTACTAAGAAGACTTATTTATCCGAGAATATTACAGATGCGCGACTTTTCTTTGGGTTGCAGACATATTTAAGTGTTACGCGTTGCAATTAAAATTCGAAATACTATATTAATGGCTATCGTGGTATAAATAAAATATATATATATATAAACGTACACATACACACAAGACAAAAATCTTACTTTTGAGTACAATGGGTTCTTCAGCTAACACGATATTATTTATCTGTCAAGAAACTGTACGATAAAATAACAATAGGGAAACTTTCAAGGACTTGTAATGGTATTTTGTAAGAGAATACAGTATTTATATAATGGATAAATGCGTATGCGTATACTTAGGTTAATGTACTTTATTTACTTGGTTTATCTAATATTTAGATATGATATTATAAGATAATAATATATTGAAGTGTACACAGTGCATTAGAAACTTTTTATTTTTATCACTTTTTCGAGCTTAGTTTTGAGACTTGAGATCTGGATGTGGTAGTTAATTTATTTTTCGGACTATCACACAGCATCATTGACAGTGATTATACAATTTTTTTTACGGTTTTACGATTATTTTCTAAGGGTATGACGTTTTCTTAACAATACTATGTTTAGAGAATATTCCATAAAAATTTGATGCTATAATAATATTTTCAACAAAACTATATATAGTGCGCCGTAATTTTAAGTAGAAAAATATGCACATTTTTTTCACAGTGGAAATTCAGACAGGATTTAAGTTTAGTGGTCAAGGAAACCGATTGTATTTCTTCTAATCGGTCGACCAAGTTGTTTCGTTATCCACATGGTTCTTCCCAATTAAAAAAAGCACGTGTTCTATTAAAATTACCATCTTCTTTTCAAAAAAAAAAAAAAATCCCATCGCAATCTATTCTGTTTTATGATCGTCGATCGTTATTTATATCAAATACTACACTGTCGATCAGAAACAATATTCAAAAGTAATGGGTTTTACTCGGTACCAATGGGGGGTGCCGGGTGATTGCCTGCAATTTGGTTTAATGTCATTGCACGTCCCAGCGGTGTATAGTGACATTTTGTCATGTTAAGTGCTTTTCAGCCGAAAAACGTCATCCATCAATGCCGCGATCGGGCAACCGTTTGATTTCGCAGAAACATTGGACTAGGATTTTTTAATTATTACATTGGCCGTCATTGTGAAAATATCGTACTACCGCAATAAATACTTGTGTGTGTGCGGTTTGGCAAAGGTATATAATAGCGGCGGCGGCCGGCCGGTTAGGCGCATGTGCTTAAGGTCGTACGCGGTATTTTGGGTACGCTCTGAGCTTTCGAATATCAGTGACCGTTAGGGAGCCGGAACACGAAGGTGTGTTGTCAGATACAATATTATTTCAGTGTGCGATCAAAAGGATTTCGAAAAATTCGCGATATCAAAAAAAAGATTTTTTTCTTAATAACAGTGTGCGGTTGATTGTTGTTTCAACCGAATCGACGCGTCGCCGTTCGTTCGTCTGATCGGTTTTTATTTTTTTCGGATTCACACACCCCCCCCCCCTTTGAAAAGTCACTCAAATCAACTAAAGGACGAGGTGAGTTTTTGTAGTTTTCTTCATTTTTTCCCCCCAAACGATTAAGCCGAGCTCTTCGCCGGAGCAGTTTTTACCGACAAAATGATTGCTTTCAAAAGTAATATTGCTTTGATTTTTGACGTTTTAGACCAAAAAAAGCCAGACAAAATTTCGACTACTTAGGTTGGTCCGATTTTAATTCTGTAAAAATATATGAGTACTTTGGCAGCTTTACTATGTTAAGTGGGAAACGGATTTTTGATTTTTTTATGTAAAAAAAATTGGGTTTTAATATTGTCTGGCTAATATTTTGTCTAGCTTTTTGGTTTAAAATAAGCCAAAATTACTTTTACTCATAGAAAAAATTCTATAAATTAATCATACCTTGAAGCTTATACAATTTAACCGGATAATTTATTAACATGGTTGAAATTTATTAAAATCTCTTTTTTCTTAAATATTGCCTATACAATACTCCTTAAAAACAGACCACATGCAATTTCCTTGAACTCTGATTCTCGAAAAATGGCGCGACTTCCAGTCTCTTTTGGACCTGAAACTATTGATATCTGTAATTGGTTTTCGACTTCACAAGATCGAAATAGGTTAGGCTAAGGGCACAAAATTACTTCCTACTTGTCAAAAAGGACGAGGTCACACTCACACTCTATTTTATTATAATAAAGTGCACAATTAGGCGTAGAGTTTAGACAGGGGTAGAAATGGTGAAAAAGGACAAGACAGGATAGACAGGATAAAAAGTGGTTATTGTTTAAGAAATGTCAAATTTTGGAACCAGAGATGATTAGGGATTGGCGAAGAATTAGATCTGGACCTTGCGGTTAAATGGTTTTGGAGAATCTAAATGATTCAATCATTTAGAACATCAAGTAATCATGATTTAATCAAGAGACTAAGAGTTTCTGCTAGACAGTATAATGTCAGAAAAGTATTTATTTATTTATTTTAATTTAGCTACCACATTTACTTTTGGTACAGGTGTGTAATTTTCTATGTAGACAAAAATGTATTAATACTCCGACTCCCCGTGGTTTTAAGCTGAACCCTCTCAAAGATTTAAGCCCATTATTTTGAAGTAACCTTCTTGTGCAGTATATGTATCAGGTAAACTGTCTTACTGGACAATTATTTCCATTGACCGTGTTTATTTTCTCTAAAAGTCATTAATCATAATACTTATGACGTTTTGTTACAACAAAGTTAAGCAAAATTAATAATGTCATATGTGACGTCATATTGTACGATTTTCCCATTATAATATACGGTTAGTACATTACTATTATAATAGTATTAACATATCAAATTGATAATTTATGTTATGAGCTTCTATCGTCACTAAGTCGACACTGTTGATGATATTAGATCACTGTAATATAATATAAGGTATGTAATTTTAATTTAACATTTTGTTTGACTTAACACGGTTAAACAAAAAGTGAACAATTAAATAAATTACTGTAACATTCATAAAAAATATTTTATATAAAAGAACTTAAAAAAAAAAAAATCTACTTGATTCAAGACGTTTGTATGTTTTTTACACTTTTTTATAGTGGCTAGTATGTTGAAAATGCTGTGTTGGTTCACTCTCTGTAGTTTATTTTTCATCTTTGATACGAAGCGGAAAAGCTGTATGCTTTTGATCGTTAAGTGCTCGTGTCTTGTATGCGTTTGCTTTCAACTTTATCGAGTTGATAATACTGATTATTTTTTCAATTAATTTTCTTTTTAGTTTTTTTACATGGTTTTTCTAGAAGATGGTGGATTTTTTACAAAACGGCATAATATAATAAATACAAAATTCGATGTGCTATATTTACAGCAGCTATAATAATATTAACATCTCCGAGTTTGTGCTGGTTAATTTTGTTTGTCAACTTCAAACTGGGATGTTAGTGTTCTGGTTTTTTGCCGATTTTTCTATCAGTCAATAGTGGTCAACTATGAAAAGTGGCTGAAAAGAGCGCATCAAGCCTAAATCCGTGCCTTCCACTAGGACTGCGACCGTCGGCTGTTTTAACGGTTTACTATGTGTTTAATACACATTTTTAGCCCTCGCTTTTAGTCACGTCGCAATGCATCGCGTCCGAACACAAAACCGGTATCCGAGGACATAATGTTTATAGTATGAACATTTCTCGGTTTCGGCTGGACTGTTGGGTATTATTATTCGTTTGCCGTGTAGGATGGGCGAGGAGGCGAAGAAAGAAAATATTATATTCTCCACCGTGTGTCTTGGTGTACAATATGTTTTCCGTTCAACTCGTTATAACCTTTACGGATTGTGTCGGTAAAAGCGACGGCTGTGCCGATCCTCTGACCACCACCTCCCCCCTTCCCCGATGAAATGACCGCGATAAATCTAGACCGTATATAAGCCGATATGTATTGCGGACAAACCCGGTATGTGCATGTGTCGTGTACCTAATCCGTACGATTGCCTTTTAATCCGGGCCGGGATTCAATTTTTCAACAGAGCCGTCGTCGACCACTGCTGCCCACAAAAAAACGGGGTAGGTATGCGTTCCAAGGTTTTCGAACCTAGTGTACAACAGCCGGCGTAGGATTGGTAGCTTAAGCTTCGCGGGTAATCGTTACCGAATTTTCCGGCAATCCAATTTGCCACGTGTGCCTCTGAATTAACGAAGAAAATTAACTCAAACGCTAGTTATCGAAACAATTTTCGGCGAACGGTATCCGAGAAACTAATTACAAGTGCGTTTGCTGTTAATCTCGGCGGTATCTCGTCTTGGCATCGTTTAAGCAGAATTTTCAACATAAAGACTCGTTTAAATAACGCTGCACAGAACCGTATCTTCAATAATGCGGGCGAGCGAATGAAAATATTTGGTTTTTCAGCTTTCACTCGCGATAACTTTGAATTTAAAAAAAAAACGTATAGTTCCTACTCTTTATTATGAAGTTCCTTCAACCCGGGTGAAAGCGTAAAAGGCACCCGGCTTGGAACAATTAACATTTGTTTATTTAAGATGTTAGGTCATGGAAATTTAGTTCATAACTCATTTAGCTTAAGTTTGTAAATGTGTTTCACAAAAAAAAAAAAATGTTAAACACAACTCTAGGTACCAAAATACAGTGTTCCAAGTTACACAAAATGTTCCAATTGATGATTAAAAAAAAAAAAAATCGAAAAAAAGGGTGTCCGGTAAACTACACATATACCTGTTAATAATATTTAACTCACTCTGGCGATGGACTAACTAATACGTTTTTCACTTTTAACACTTACAGTATTTTTTTAAAAAATAATATTTGTTTTTTTTCTTAATTTTGTCGATAGACATGTTAACTTCTGATGGTTCCACAGACGAACGGTAATGTGTTTCGATGTACAATTATAAAGGAGCCGGGTGAAATATACTCTGTGCTATTATTATACTGTAGAATATCAATGGGCCAACGGTTCGTCGTTAGGCAGACGGTTTTAAGTCGTTGACTTGTAAGTGGACTGACAAAGCCAGTAGTGCGAGTAGTGACTGTACATTACAGAGCGAACAAGAGGTTTCAAGAATACGGAATATAATGTAGCGTGAAAATGGAAAATGACGGTGGCGGTGGCAGAAGGTATTCGGCTGATCGTCGAGTCGTCGTCGTCAATGATCGATTACTGTTTGCCCGCTGTTAATGGCTGTTGCTGGTGTAATTTAACCTCCTAAAAGTGACCACTCACACAGCGCGGATTTAATGGGTTGTTCGAGTGCTGCACACAAAGGGGGTGTTGTCGGTGGGGTATTACCACAGTCCTACGAAAACACTGTTGTTTCCCCCGGCCAAACCAATGATAAGTCATTGGAACGTCCGAATTTCAGACGAAAAAAATCGGCGTTCTATCCATTATGACGGTATTGCGTTAAGAGGACGCCTATTTTTAAGGAGTAAAGCTATAGGAATATTTTTAGAAAATCTTAATTTAGATTTTGAACTATAGTGTATACTTATTAATGTACAATAATGAGGATACTTTATTGATTGCTACTACAGTAATTTCCATAGGATAAATTACAATTTTTCCCCACCAAAACTGCTTTGCGCGGGAAAAATATGCGGGGGTCAGTATTATTAACAGAAGATTTACTAAATTTTCAAAATGTGTAGAGAAGAACTTTATCAATAGGATAGCGTTTTAATTTTTTTTGACATCTATACTTAATATATTTTTATAAACAAATGAAAAAATAGGGGGAAAATGAATCTTCATGAATGAATAAATTTAATTGTACTCATTTATTAAAAAACTAAAAACGCTACCCCGTAGATAAAGTTCTTGTCTATACATTGTAAAAATGTTTATACGATAACTGTAAATTCCGCTTTCGCATTGTTGTGTCTGTCCTCCACAAAACCATTTTTTGCGGATAAATTACGGGCGGGTAGCGTCCTCTTAACGTCACATATTTTTAGAAAATTAAAAAAAAAATCATAAAACTAGTAAAGGTAGATAAACGTGTATCACTGCGACAACCAATTATGTACGAGATACGAGTTTTGGGAAAACACATTATGGACACACGTGTACCGTTTAGGTTTTCATCATTTTGATTGCGTTAAAATTCATATAATAATCAGTTCAATATTAACAATAACGTATAGTAATGTACACTTTAATGTTATTTTGTTTTAGATATAGTTTCTCAAATTTAATTCGCACCGAATGCCGACGGCTGTGTCGTTGATATTTAAGCGAGAAATAGATCTGCCCGGCGAACTTGGATGTTACAGAAAACTTTCAGCGCTATGTCGCGGTATCGGTTTTTGGCTCTTCTGTAAAATTGGCGTAGAACTTTAACTGACCTTTCATTTGTCTCCCAGCGTAATCATGCGGTTCCATTGCCAAAGTTTTAATGGCCGCCATCTCGAGTCTTTATGAACATCGGAAGTTATACCGATTAATGCGACTGAAGCCAACGACACTGCCGTTGCGGCCATTCGAAAATGATACTAGATTTAGTTTATTGCCTCTGCCGCCTACAATAAGAATT